CCAGTAAGCGCGTTCGCGATGTGGACAATGCGGATACCCTGCGCAAGGCCGTTGATGCGCTTGTGAACGCGAAGCCAAGCATTACCGACTTGGTCTCACAGATCTTGAACGAGTTGCCGCAGTCGCAAACTCGGGAAGATGCTAAGCTGATGTTGCTGTGGCTTGCCACAGCCAATCGCCCCCTCTCGGTCAAGGAGCTCAAGGCTCTTGCTTCCATTCAGCCCGAGAAGCAGACCATTACCGAATATGCTGAGGAGCCTCGCCGAATCCTTCAGCCAGTAAACTCCCTGGTGTTCCTGCAAGAGGACCAGGTCTTACTGCGCCATAGCCTCATTCGCACTGCTATCTTGGACATATTTTCCAAAGGCAAATTGGTACCGGCTATCAAAGATCGCCATGCTGATCTTGTCACCAGACTCTTGGTCTATATTAAGGCTACTGTTACCCAGCCGCATGAGCCTTCCCTTACACCCCTTGACTGGCATGACGTCAATCCTCTCATCAACAAGCACCCCCTGCTTGAGTTTTCGATCCGTTATTGGATCACGCATTTCAAGCAAACGAATAACTTTGTCAATAATGGTGAAGTTCCTGCTGCCAAGGAATTTGCAAAGCTGTTCCCGTCTTCCATCACGGTATTCCTCTTACAGAATACACTGTGGGAGAACCGACCAACTCCAGAATTGTTGGCATTCACGACTACCGTTACCAACGTCTGCCGCCAGGTCCTGACCAATAATCATGTGGTGACTTTACAGTTGATAATCACACTGGCATTTCTGTACCGCCAGCTCGATTATAACCCCGAAGCTATTCCTCTTTTCTATGAGGCAACTATGATTAGTCGCAATTTGCTCACCATTCGCCACCTGGTTACTATGAAAATGGCTGCCACCTTCCTTGAAATCACAACTGAAAGAGTCACTAGTACCAAGACAGAGATCATGACCAAGAGGGAGGAGATACTTCTAGTTCTGGTCGAGTGCTACAAGCACCACTACGACAGCACCCACGAGAATGTGATCAACACCTTGAAGCAGCTTGTCGAGCACTACAGGCTGATAAAGGAAGACAAGAAGGCCGAAGAGATTACCGTTACCATTCAGAAATTCAGTGGTGAGTACAGTCAAGGTCGTGACACCTATGGAAACCTGAATGTGCACCTGAAGGGTGGTAATGTGGTCACTGCTGGAGGTAGCACCACTCTCCTGCTAGACATTGAGGAGCATGATCAGTTGATTGAAGTTGAGGCTTGGAGCTTCGAAGCAGTGATTAAGCAGGCCGAGAGGTACGTTTCAGAGGGCAATATTGAGTTGGCCGAACGTACCTATGTCGAAATCTGGCAACGCCTGAGCCGGGAGTCCCGCGTTCAGTATTCCGCCCAGGTTGAAGAGCGTAAGATTCAATCGGTTCTTGCCTACACCCAGTTCCTGAAGACACAAAAGAGAGAATATGAGGCCTCGTCCATTCTCTCCAGTGTCTGGCAAGAGTACGAGCAGACAACTATGGCATTGTCGGAGACCTCAGTCTTCCACCTCCAGGAGATGGCCAAGGTGATGAAGACTGTTGGCCTAGCCACTCTTGCTCTGACTGTGTTCAAGCACTGCTCGCACTATTATCAAAGCACCAACCGTACCCAGTCTTCGACCTACCAGGAGATTCAGCAGAGCATTCATACAACCTCAAAGGAGGTTATGCAGTCTTTCAGCTCTTCTTCCACCACAGTAACCTCCGAGACCACCCTTGAGGAAATGGTTTATGAGGCATCAGCCTCAATCACGACCGTCGACCAGACTTCCTTCAGTGCGACACAGACCTTAGTCAGCTTGTATGTTGAGCAGCGGCGCTGGCAGGATGCTACTCGCGTCATCAAGAAGGTCTTGCACGGTGTCTGGTCTTCTCTGTTCGCTCCTTCCTTGCAAGATGTTACCCTTCCTGCCAAACATGTGGAAAACTGCATTGAGCTGGCTGAGCGACTTAGCCACTGTTACCACTCTCGCCGTCGCTTGACCAAGGAAGAAGATATCCGTGTTCGCATCTACCGCGCTGTTCGCTCGGGTCGCAGTGTTGATGATAAACTGCGAGAGCGCATCACCAATGAGCTGCTCCGCCTGTTTGAGCGCACTTCGCAGACCGACAAGATCATCAACCTTCGTCAAGAGACGCTAAATGATTATACCAAGCACTACGGTCCTGAGAACCCGCTGGTGGTGAAGATTCTCTGGACATTGGCTGAGCTGACTCGCCCCCGGCCTGTGTTCGTTGATTACTATCAGCAGATCATCCGTATCCTGAACAAAGACTCTCCTATTTCCCACCCCGAGGCCTTTGAGCCCCTTGTCATCGTTGCCACTGAACTATGGAAGCAAGGTCGCTATTCAGATGCTCTGCATCACTACCAGATCATCTTCACCACGTTCCTGAGCGAGCCCAAGCAGAACCCCAAGTTTCAGGACCAGACCTTTGTGCATGAGTTCTTTGAGCGCTACACCCACTGCCTGCGCAGCGTTCGTACCGAGTTCAGTGTACTCCACCAGGTAACAGTTGATTATCAGACCAAGTGCAAGACTGTGTTCAGCGCTACAGCTTCGATTACTCTCAAAGCTACTTTGACGCTGGCCAAATTGTGCCAGGAGTCAAAGCGCTATGAACTTGAGGCTATTAGCTTGTATGAGGAGCTTCTGAAGACCAAGTCTGAGGAAATTGACCTTCAGGAGATTTCTTCAACTTTGGATGCGATTTACGAGGAACAGGCTGCCATTGTCACTTCAACCAAGACTGAGTCTTTTTCGTCTACTCAGGTTGAGCGTGCCGTCAAGGTTCTGAGGAAGCGGATTAGCACTGTTCGTGAGACCCACGGCTGGGCCCACGAAGAATCCCTGACCAAAATGGAAGAGATGATCAAGTTTCATGCTCAGCGCAATGAGACTCAAACTGTGGTACAGGAGCTCAAGGAGGCGACCGTGCAGATCTTGTCTTCCGAGACTTCGTCCACTCGCCTAATTGCGGCTGCCACGACCATCGCATCTAGCTACATCGCGACGAACCAGATCCAAAAAGCCACCGAGCTGACCCAGGAGATCTATCGCCAAATCGTGATGAAGGACACCAGTAAATCCAAATCTGTCCAGTTTGATTTGTCCTCAAAAGAGCGCCAGAGCTTGACTTTCTTGGCTCAGCTGGAGTACAGCCTTCGCCGTAGCTCGTCGACCACTATCACTGAGATTCTTGCTGCCTTGACCACCGAGTATGTCTACTTCGAGGAATTCAGAAAGGAGATCAAGTCCAAGAGCAGCTTCCACAGTGTCTCCGTCTCAGCGGCTCGTCTCTACCAGTTCCTTATAGCCCATGAGCGCCATACTGCTGCGGCTCGTGTTTTCGATGATTTTGTCGCGTACTTCATCAAAACCGAGGGCAAGCGGGCGCAACTGACTGAGATTTCCCAAGTCAAGATCTTCGTGCTCTCTATTTTGGACCACTTCAGCACCCATCAGTCTGAGAACTTCGTCCGGTCTGTGGGAATCACTAGCAATGACCATGTTGTTGAGCTGCTGAAGAACCAGCGGTGGGAGACTGCCAGTGACCTTGCTCTTGCTGCCTACAAGTATATCATCGCTGACGCTAGCTACCATACCCCTGAGATTGTCAAGTTTGTTTTCACTCTGGGTCTGAACATTGGTGGCCGTGATCTCGTGACCCGCCCTGACGAAGCTGCTCGGAAGAAGTTGCTTCAGGTCTCTGGAACAATTATCCAGGATGCCCTCCGCGTCATTACCAGCTTGAAGATCAAGTTGGCTGGCGTCAGCCTTGTTCACCTGAACAAGCTGATTGGCCTTCTCGGGGAGCAGCAGGACTACCGTACCCTGGCCTGGCTCTTGACTATTCTGTGGAACAGTCGTGAGGCCCAGCGTAACTGGCCTACTTCCATTACTCTCGCCCTGGGACGCCGCTTCATCATGGCCCGCTACTTGATCGGTGACTACTCCGCTGCCCTCCGCCTGGCAGAGGACATTGTTTACAACTGCCGCCGTGTGCACGGACCTCGGCACCTGAGTACCCTCGAGATGTCCATACTGCTGTCCCAGCTGTACACTGGCAATGCCCAGCGCTACCAGGCCGAGAAGAATGGTCAAGAGATTGCCAACCGATTCTACAAGAAGAGCGCTGCCGTGCACGAAAACATTCTCCGTGTGTTTAGTGACCCTGATTATGCCGAACTGGAAGGAAACGATAGCAATGGAAGCTTTGACGGTTCAGCCTATGGGGAGGTAGACGGAATTGAGGAGCACAACGGGACTTTGGGTGGTGGCGAGCACGTCCGCCAGCACTTGCACCTTCTCAAGCTCTCCGTTGAGCGCCTTGGTGACTGGCCCAAGGACTACACCGAATACGAGAAATTGAACGCGGACGTCTTCAGAGTGTACAATGAGTACTTGGTTGGGGTCGAGGGCGTTGAAAAGTGGAATCTGAAAAACTTTGGCGGGGGCAAGGCTGAAAGCAACGAGGATGCGTTGGACTTGAAGTTCAAGTCCTGGGAGCTTGTTGATACCCAACATCATGCGGAGATTGAGGAGGAATTGTGATTTTGCGATTTGATTTTTTTGCCTGATATATCCGTGTTTGAGTACTTGGACTGCTTCTGGATTGTTAATAATTATACCTGATAATTGAACTGGTTGACTGCTTTTCAAATACTGGCTCCATTCCAGCATTGAATGCACAATGTAGGCTCCGGAAATTGACACTGAGTCTAGACGACGAGAAATAAAGTTCTGGAGACCCAGCGATCTGGCGCCGAGAGCCAGGATCGGGCGGGTTGCCGAATGCGACCGATCGCGGGGGGCCCCACCATGACTGTATCCCCAGCATCCAGATCCATATGATCTCATTCATTCTGGAAGGGAAAGGAGAGGTCGATGAAGATGAGATCATGGTCATGATGTCATGCGAGTTATATAATGGTATCTATTTCTTCCATTGAAGAATTTTTCCCGTGCAATCTCTTCAATTCATTGTCATTGAATTCAACCTTACCAAGCTCCACTTGCTCTTCACTCATCCACTCTGCTGAGCACTACACTATAATCCCTACGTTCTGACTCCTCGACGAACGCCCCCATCAAAATGCCCTCCAAAAGCAACAACAACAACTACACCGACCCCGAACTCCGCCAGGAGGTCAAAGAGGAAGTGCAGCAGGGCGACAAGGGCGGGAAACCCGGCCAATGGTCTGCGCGGAAGGTACAGTAGACCCGTACACCCCCCCTTTGCCCCCTTTGCTTCTCCCCCATCCCTCCCCCAAGCGCACTCCCCCCCAAACCTAAACCCAAACCGAATCTGACAAAAAGTCACCGACAAGGCCCAACTCACGGCCCAAGAATACAAATCCCGGGGCGGGGACTACACGACCAGCAAGGACGAGCAGTCGCAATCCCAGCGGAACCTGTCGCAGTGGGGCGCGGAGGACTGGGTGACCAAGGAAGGGTCGGGGACGGCCAAGACCGACGAGAGCGCGGCGGACGGCGGGCCGCGCAAGCGGTATCTGCCCCGCGAGGCGTGGGAGGAGATGAGCGAGGGGGAGAAGGAGGCGACGGAGAGGAAGAAGGTGGAGGAGGGGAGGAAGGAGAAGAAGCAGTTCGTGGGGAATACGGAGGGGGCGAAGAGGAAGAGGGGGGAAGTTTCGAGACGGACTGGGGCTAAGGATAAGGATAAGGATAAGGATAAGGATGAGGATGAGGATGAGGATGAGGATGAGGATGAGGATGAGGATGAGGAAGAGGAAGAGAATGAGGAAGAGGAGGGGGAGGGGGATGGAAAGGGTGAGGGTGAGGAGAAGGAGGAGGGCGAGGAGAAAGGGAAGGGTACTGCTAAGGGTGCTGCTAAGGGGAAGAAGGATGTGAAGAAAGATACCAAGAAGGAAGATGGGGATAAGAAAGACCAGCAAGGGGATGAGGAGCAAAAGGACGGGGAGAATAAAGACGAGGAGTTAGATGAGGATGATGAGGAGTACCAAGAAGAAGAAGAAGGGGAAAGAGAAGACGAAGACGAGGAAGAAGAAGAAGAAGGAGTGGAGCAGCAGGTGGGCGATGATGAGGAAGCGGAAGGCGATGCCCCCGACAAAAAGAAGCAAAAGACGAAGTAAATCACCATGTCATAATATTAATGTGTAAGCTACTGAATTACTACCCTATCTTATCCTCAACTCTCCAGACTTCTCACTCTCATCGTTCCACGTCGCCCTCTCCGCGCCCCTCATAATGACTCTGCGGCAGATTGTTCAGCTCATCCTCTTGGCGATCCAATCTGTAGTTCGTCGCCCAGAATCCAATGCAGCCGACGAACGCCAAAATCGCAACCACCGTGTAGTTCCATACCAACAACGGGTCTTCCGACAGACTGACCAGCGCCTGTCCAATGGCCGACGAGAACGCGTTCATGAACAACGCGACGGCCTGCACGAGGGACCGCATGTTCCGCGGGGCCTTGGTGAACGCGTACTCGAGCGAGGTCACCGAAGCGAAGATCTCGGAGATACCACCCAAGACGTACGGCAACGCCTGCACCCAGACGGAGATCGGAGAGTGCGAGTTGTACTCGTCCAGACAGTAGTTGGCCTGCTTGCCGCACCTGCCCAGCTTGTAGATGTAGTGTTGCGTCACCGTGGCCGCGATCATCGACAGACCGGCCGCGAAGAAACCGGCCGTGATGCGCTTCAAGGGGGTGAACTTGATTCCAATGCGACGAAGACCCGGGTAGACAAGCTGGTCCATGATGGGGATGAAAATGATCAGAGCCAGAGGGTTCAGGTTGTTGATGATGTCATTGGGGACGCCGCCAAGTTGCATAGTCGCTGCCTGCGAAGTGAGGTTGTTCAACATTTGGTTGTACGCAAGCCCTGAATTGATCTCGATTAGACTAAAGTCTCTGCCGTGGCGGAAGTGCACACTTACAGTAGAGTGGGTACCACAGGAACACCTTGCAGGCCTTCAACCCACGGGCTACCTCGTCCACCCATTCATCATCAAAGGTCATCCACTCCGGTCGGTTTGCACCAAGCGCACTGGGCTTAACGGAGTCCCAGAACGGCCTAGGATTCTTCTGGAAGCTGTGATGGAATTAGCATAATCCGATGAGTGTCCTCCGAATTGACGACTTACATCCGGGCTGGGTTGAGAGACCAGCGTCCTTTCATAGCCAGCTTCCATGTGCGAAATGCCTGGAGGTAGACTGAGCCCGTCGGCTTGACCAGATAGTACTTGTTACGGCAGAGGAACAGAACAGTCGGGCAGAATGTGAACATAATCGTGGGCAGGAGGTAGGACAGCCAGAAGCCCACATATCTCTCCGCGTACACCATGCTGACTTGACCCAAAATCGAACCGATGTTGATCATCATGTAAAAGTAGAGGTAGATGCGGGAGACGGTGGCCGATGGGTCGACGATGACGCGTTCGCCTGACGGAAGGGTTTTGATGAAGGGGGTGTCTTCTCGATATTGCTCTGCAATCAGGGGGGAGATGTTGGATCTGTGTCTGTTAGGCAGTGTTGCCGAATGCAGGGCAATGGCGCGACTTACTTGAAACCGCCAGTGCCGATACCCATAACGATCAACCCGATAGAGAAGCAAGCAATAGCTCCATCAGGATTCTTGACTACAGGAGGGATAGCGGAGATGACGAGGATGGTGTGTCCCACCAATGCAGCGCCGATGGAGAACATGATGGTACGGAACCGACCCCAGTATTGATCGGCCATGAACGCACCCGCCAGCGGCATGATATACGACCAGAAAGCGTTAACTACTAGGTCAGCTGTGTTGGCCCAATCAGAGAATACTTGGACTTACACAAAGTCAACCCTGTGGATGCCTGCTGGCCCATTCCCAGAGCACCTGGCACCAGGTTTCCGACTCCATGAGTCGCACCGGTGGTGGAGCCTTCAGGTAAGGGACGCTGAATGAAGTTGACAACTGTAAAGGTTAGCAACGTCGACAATGGGTTCATGAGTTAACTCACACACTGCAGTGGTGCCATAGTATGAAAACCGCTCGCACAGCTCCACAAAAGCCACGGTGTAGGCTGTCCAGGGAATTTTGCCAGCCACACGACGCAGGGTCTGCATCTCCTCTGGATTGGGGAACGCCTTCTGCAGCGAGGTATCCTCATCGTAGGCGGCCCCCGATGAGCCGACCGCGACTTTCTCTGAGGTTGCTTGAATCACGTCGACGTCGGAAGAAATGTCCGGGCGCACTTCGGATGCAGGATGCTTCTGCTTCTCATCATGAGCAGCAGCAGCAGCAGCAGCATCATGAGCGTAGGCCGCCGATTTGGCGACCTCTGCCGCCTCCACCGGATCAGAGCTATTCATGTTGGAGAGAGGCAGGATAAAATGAGGGATGGTTGAAGGGAGCTTGGAGAAGAGATGAAGGGGAGATCCTGAGAAGGGAGTCGGAGGAAAGATGGGCAGAGGAAGAGGTTTAAATTTAGGCTGACTGGACCGGGTGGCACAACCGCGGTAGGCAGGCAGGCAAGCACTGGTCTACACCTGGCAGTGAGCAGTGGCATTTTCTCATATCAGCATCCATGATTCTACCCATCACTGCTATTGCACCATTTCCAACAGCTATCAGCATCTGCAGGGTCCAAGAGTGCCAAGACCGGCGATGCTTCCCTTCTCGGGGCCACCGCAGGAGTCAATTCCACTGCTGGCCCTCGCTTGGAATCGGCAGAACCCGTCCAGCCCACGTTTCCCAGGCTGGCGGTGGCTTGGATAAGAAGCACGCCAGATAAGCACGGCTGGCTGCGACTGGTCAGGATTGCTCAGGATTGCTCAGGACTGGTCAGGACTGGGCTGTTCTGGTCGGTCGTCCAGCGGAACGGACGCCTTGGCACCCTTGGCGAGGGGCATTCGGTGCAACCCCAGGCCTTGGCTGGCGGGGGTCTCACCCAATCACTTGCTCTCGGAGGGTTTGACCTGAGCTAAGGTGGGTTACATTGAGCCACTCGATGCACGCGACCACAAAGTCTGGAGAGAACCGGGGGTGAAATCCATCCATCGAATCATCGAATTAGGCAGGTGTATTTGGAAATGGAATGTTCTTCGCATGAAACACCGTGAACGCTGTCAGTACGGTTTGCCACGCCAGGAATCCTGCTCGCATCTTTAATTTATTATCTTTCTAGATAGAGCGGTTGTACTCGGGACAAGCCTTTGCCCGCCAGTGGCGAGTTTGGTGGTGGTGGTGCCAGCCTACCGAGAGAACTCGGGCTGGGCAGGTCGGATATCGACTATCAAAAAGCCTGAGAGAAAAGTCGTTGATGGCAGCATGGAACCCAGTGGTATTAAGCGAGGCGCTATTGTATGTACCGTTTGTGGAGTGCAGTGCGTAGCACCATACTACCTACTACTATACAAAAGTGGATGCTACCGCCCAATCTGAGTGGGGCAATTCCGGCGCGGCGGTTGATTATCACAGGTATCGATTCCGTAACAGGTACTTTATCAGTGGCCAACTCGACCATGTCTCAAATTCATCAATTCAAAGTTCTGGAGGATTGTCACCCTTATCGAGCTATGCTTTGCGCATGACATGCTATGTGTGTAGAGCGACCTTTCCGAATAGATCCAGACTTGGAGACGCAGTCCTCGACCCCGTCGGATGTCGCGTGGGCCGGTATAGAATCACAAGCATGGAACCTGAACCTACGGACACCCTCGCTATCTGTACAGTACCCCACAGTCGACTTCCCCGCGTTTTCTGTCAATTGTCCCATGGGAACTAACCCTGCTGGTACTACACGAGCAGTCTCAACGCCAGGGTCCCTTCATATCTGTTACGTACAACACTCCTGTACAGACCGGAAAGCACATGTTACACAGCTTGCAATTGTTCAAGGCAACCTCAACTCGTCTCTGTATGCCCATTGACGCGGAGGGATCGAGAAAGACGAATTCAATCGGGGTGTGTCTTTCTGCTGGACTCTTTGCTATATTCATCAGGAGACTCCAAGGCCTGCTTTCTCTCCTTCTCAAGGAATTACTGTCCTTTTGCAATTGACCTATATCCAAGCCATTATAGGAGTTCGCTCTCTGTGCTTTCTTAAACCTTGTCGCACGGCTAACCGCGGCCAGTTTTATGCACCATGGCTGACTCAGTTGCACAGCATAGTTCACCAATCCCCTCCCGGTCAGCGGGAAGCTTTTACTACAGTAGGTGTCCAGCGCGGGCCGCTGCTGGGTCGAATCTCATCTGCGCAGTGGAGGTGCCAAGTCGGTTGACAGCAACCGAGTGTTTGACGTCCATGTATAAATGGAGTGCCTAACTTACCTAGTACCTCATCATCAATTGACTATCTCTATCTAATCGAGAACATACCCGGTTTTGAGGTACAATGCATAACTATACTGACTGCTTACGCCATCCATGCTGCCTGCCAGACCGACCGGGTTGAACATGTCCAACAATGCTCTCCCGTCACTAAATAAAGCCACCCTTCGCTGCTCCCCCAACTCTTCCTCCATGTACTCCTCCGCTTCAATCGCGCAACCAAAACCCATCAACCATGCCCTCAGCCGCCTTCAACCCGGACACAGGCATCCCTAGTCTGTCTGGCAAAGTCATCCTGATCACAGGAGGTGAGCAATCCCCCTAATCTCATCTCATCCGCGTGAGCCAACACCCCGCCAGGAACAGCCGGACTGGGGGCCGAGACGGCGCGCCAACTTGCTAGCGGTGCTTACTACTTGGCTATCTACTCCTCCACTCATCCCCGATCCAGAACTATCGCACGAGAGACCCATTCCCATCTCCACTCCTTTGGCTCCTCTCGCAGCCTTGCCCGTTCAACGTCTTAATGCCAATCACCACCAGCCCACGCATAAGTCCTCTACTTATCACTTAGAATCTCGATACCACATAAGCGCAACCACGGAAGGCTTCTTCCGAACCTCAACAGCCAGACATGGCACGCACTACGAGATAACAACCCTCACCCCCTTGGTACTCTCCTTCGGCATCGGAAACCACAGATCATGATCATAGGCCACATTCCCCGCCGTGGTCTCATACAACCTCATTCGCGGAAGCACACGTAGCGCCAGAACGGGCAGCGTGACATAGAGACTGCAATACGCTAGACTAAGAAGAATTGTCAGTCGGCTTCATCTGAAATCCAAAATCGGAAATCGCCAAACCCTGACCCGATCTTATGTACTAAATGTCACTTGTACAAGACTTTTCACAAAGCGCAAAGGAAGGGAAGGGCACTCACTTCATCCCCGAACACTGCCGACTACCCTTCGAAAACGGGATCAAGCAGGTTTCCATCCGCCGGCGCTGCGTCTCATCCGCCTCCAGCCATCGCTCGGGACGGAAGGCGTGCGAATCCGGGAACACGGATTCGTTGTGGTGGTTGATCACGGAGGACATGCCCATTGGTGTACCGAGGGGGATAACGTAGGTGAGTCTGCGGCCCTTGAAGTCGCCACGGTAGGTGAGATGCTCGTCGGGGGCGATGCGGGGCAGCCGTTGGCTGACGCCGTAGGAGAGGCGGAGGCCCTCCTGGATGACAGCGTGGAGATAAGGGAGCTTTTCGAGGTCAGACCAAGGGGAAGAGAGGGCGTCGGTGGTATGGAGCTCGTCGGTGAGCTTGTCTAGGAGGGTGGGGTTGTGGAGGAGGTGGAAGGTTGTTACGGTTAGTGTCCACTGTTTTTCTCTTCTGTATGCGTTGAAGTACAAGGTGAAAGAGATACGGTGCAATATTAGGAAACCGCACTTCGAGCCTGGAAACTGGGTAATACTCACAGCAGTCGTCTCCGTCCCCGCCGCAATGAACGAATAACTCTCTCCACCTAGCCTGTGATCCGTCTTCTCCACCTCCGGCAAATCCGAAGCAACCAGAGTATGAAAGATCGCCGGTCGCTTCGGGACCGCCCCGGCTTGGTACTCCAGTCGAGCTTTGTGCACCCGCCTCGGCATCTTCTCGTTCCCTTCCTCCACCAAGCCCTTCACGCGGGGATCCAACCACTTGGCCACAGATGGCATGAGATCCACGATTGCTTTCAGCACCGGGAAGAACCGAAACACATGCATTGGGGTGAGCAACGAGTGCAATGCATGGCGGAAGTTCGGTTCCCAGGATTTCTGTCGTATAAACCCAAACGGCTCGCCGAAGCAGTAGCCGGAAATGATGTCGGAGGTGAAACAGCTGTACGCGGTGACGATATCGATTGGCTCTTCACTTTTGGTACCGATATTGATGAGCTTGTCACAGAGCTGGTCTGCGAGGTCTTTGATGTCAGACTCCAATTTGGCAATCTGCGCGCGCGAGAAGAACTTGTTCGCGGCGCTGCGGCGGAGGCGGTGCAGGTCGTGGTCGACAGCTGACACCATGGCTTCGGTGATGGGCCCGGCGAAGAGGTTCAAAAGATGGACTTGTTTGTTGCGTCTGCGTTTGCCGGTCGAGTAGATCTCGTCGGTGAAGGCGATGTCGTTGACGTGGAGCTCTTCGGGGTTGATGCGAACGACGGGACCTGTTGCCGCGGTTTCAGCGACAGATTTCCTATGTCTGTCTGTGCCATCATGTGTGGACGAAGGATGGGGTTTTACCATAGATCTGGTGCATGCGTTGGATCTCTAGACTGTAGCGTCCGCCGAGTATCAGGTCAAACCAGGCTTCGTATAGAAACGTGATGGCTGCGAGCTTGGGGCCTGGGATGTGGTACAAGGGGTGCAAAGGCGAGATATTGTAGACTGTCCGGACAATGCGAGAGAGCAGCCAGAGACAGGCCAAGTACTGAAGGAGAATGATGTGCATGCTGACCGATCATGCGATACGAATGTTGCTGAGCTCTGTGAGTATCCCTTGTAAATTGTGATATGGTGGATCCATATGTATCAGATGGGGAGTTCCACTCGACGGTCTGAATTCTATCTGAGGTGATCGACAGAATTTCAAACACAGCATCTATGATGCTTTGATAGGACATTAGATTCAGTCATTGATTTCATGACTCTTGTTCCACGCCACCTATAGTCTTCTTTCTCTGACTCAAGACTATGTTCTTTCGTCTAAGTTTGCTCGACTTAGTGTGCTCTATGATCCCCCCGGGTAACTTTCGGGGAGGATCAGCTTCCGGGAAGGGTGATATGTTTCAGCGATCGAGATTAGACAGGTTTTGATGATATGTCTCGATCCAATGATCTATGATTCGTCGGATCTGATGTGTAGAAGCGGTGGTGCGATAATATGCTTAGCTGAATGAAGTATCTAAGAGTGATCATGAAGGGGAAGGGAAGACGCGATGTGTCACGTGGCAGCCTGCCCAGGGGCCTGCCACAACATAGTAAACAAACATAGCAAAACATTTGATTTTATTTCTCATAGGATAATTTGGTTCTAAGTGTGCCACGCAATATTTGCTCTATGTTATGATGAATGTCTTGCCGTGGAGATTGTCTTACTTCTAAATCTGATCCACCTCAACACCCTCCCTCTCTAACAAGGCCATCTAACCAGAAGTGACTGATCTAATAATATAACTCAAGTGACTCTCCGACTATCGGTACATACCCAACTATGAAAGCGCCATCAGCGATTTGATCTTCGCGGCGTAGCGTTCTCGCTTCCCAACTGGCTCAACCTCTGGCTCCACAAACCGAACTCGATCTCTGGTGATCTTATTGAAGATCTCCTTGAAATAGAGGCGTGTATGCAGCCGCTCCGAGGCACTGCTTGTGCTACAGGAAGTCAGGAAGCACCACTGAACAGGAAGAAAAGGCCCCAGCGGGTCCGGAATCTCATAGATCGTGAGTTCCCCGGACGCGGGCTCGATGGTGGCGAGGTAAGCCGGCCGGCCGGTTTGACACAGCACCTCGGCCTCGGTGCACCAGACCTGCTGCTGCGCAAGGAGATCGAGAGGCCTTTTTTCCTGGGTGAAGTAGCACCTGGACATCAGCATCGCGGTCATTACGGCAGTCACGCTACCATTCTCCTGCTTTTTGCCGATCCGAACACACTTGTATCTCTTCCTTGCCTTCTCGTCTGGCTGGTCTTTGCCAACGCCGTACTGGAAGAAGGAGTATACAAAGCCGTCGGAGGCGGGAAACAAGGCCCGGAGCCGCACGATCCAAGCCAGCAGGGCGAAGTGGTGGGTTTCAATGGGGGCGACAAGCGGTACATAGGGACCGGCCATCCCGGCCATTACGGCTTTCCGGCCGCGCGTATCCCACCATTTGGTTCTAGCCTGAACAGCCCTCTTCTTCTGCTTGGGGGTGTCGGTCGGAGATGAGGGGTAGTGCTTGCGCTGAATTTTTGTTCCAAGCAGCGGACTGCTCGGCATGAAGGCGCCAGAACCGTCGCAACGGCCGCAGCTCCTGTACGAGGGCCTCGAGGTCGGTGAAGGTGGACAATTTGTACGAAAGAGTCGTGCGATACTTGTCGTTGCTGTGATTAGCAGTGGAGTCTGCAGCCTCCCTCCCACGGAAGAAGAGCTGTAGCAGGCCGTCCTCGCTCAAGACGGCGCCACATCTGGTCTCAATCCCCAGCTTTTTGTACTCCCCTTCAGACAAAAACTGCACATCGGTCAGCCACTTTTGCATGTGTTCATTACTTGGGGCGATGAGCATGATGCACTCCTCCTCGCCTGTGTTGGGCATCTTCCTAGTTACCATCACCCCATAGAAAGGTTTAGGGTCGCGGGCCAAATAGCATGTCACTGTGAAGCCGTCCTTCTCAGGAAAGATAAAATCTCGGAAAAAGGCTTGGCAGGCGAGGACATGATCAGGGACCTCCAAGAGGCTTTCTAACCGTCTGAGCTTCTGTGCAGGATATTGTCTGGACCTAGTGCGATCGTTAATATGGTCCAGCACGGCCTGCTCACTCAGTCGGCGCACGTCACCGAGTCGGGGCTTGAAGTCCATCGATGCTACTAAGCAGTGAGTGGATTTATTTGAGTTGTTTTTTGTCTTAAGGGTCCTCGAAATTGAATCAGAAGGTTTAATATAGTCAATGGCAAGTGGAAAATTGATGCGAGGGAGAACCGGATGGCATACGGCCCCGCCTTATAAGGCATCGCATTGCATGGCCTTTGTTCATTCAAGCGTTCGATCCTTTATTCCCAGCAACAATCAAATTGTTCCCGGCCTTGCTCAAAGCAATTTCAGCCACTTGTCAATAATTGCTTTTGTCTTGTAGCCGGTCGCGACGCACAAATGACAACGAGCGCATATCCAAGTCTTAGTCTCACAATGCAGCTTTTGTTTTAAGTGATGTAGGGTTACAGACAATTGAGGGCTTGTCCCCTTCTTTCCTTGTTGAAAGTCTTGCTATTGGTGAGCTTGGCTGCCAAGACTTTTGTTGCCCTACATTCCACTTTCAAGTTCTGCTTTTCTGGTGCTGGTACTTCCCTGTTGCCTTATGTAAGGTTCCTAGACAGTGTAAAGTCAAGCAGTGTCAGGCAGCTTGGATGCCAAGAAACTGGTAGCCCTACATTCCACTTTCGAGTTCTGTTTTTCTGGCGCTGGTACGTTCCTGCTGCCTTATGTAAAGTCCCTAGCAATGTAAGTGCAGCTTGGGAAGTAAGTAGTACTGGGGAGCCTAGTTGCCAAGAATTGAGTAGCCCTACATTCCACTTTCGCCTTCTGGTTTTCCGGGGCGGGTATCTCTCTGTTACCCTATGTAAATGCCCGGCAAAGTGTATGTCCAGCTTCAAGCTCAAGCAGTATTGAGTACTTAGCCGCTACAGAGTCGGTAGCCCTATATTTTACTTTCATATCCTGGTTTTCTGATGCTGATACTTCCCTGTTGCCCCATGCAGACCCCCCAGACAATGTTAGTGAAGCCTGTGATTCAAGCAGTGATAAGCATCTTTCAACTCCGATCTAATTGAAGCTCGATTACCAAAGAAGCCTGCCTATTATAGCTAGCTATGGAAGTGTTTCCTCAAAGCTGAGAACCTTCTGATGCACCATCAAAGCCCCGAATGCCCTCAGTCATCAAGAGTTGATGCGTATCCCACGTACACATATGGAATGACAGCTCCGCAGCCAGCAGTGTTAAGGAGCTTGAGCGGTAGCCCTACATTCCACTTTCAAGTTCTGTTTTCCCGGTTCTGGTACTTCCCTGTTGCCCTATGCCAACTCCCTAAGGTAGGAAATTGCGAGTGCGGCTTGGGATTCAAAGCGGCTAGAGTAACGACGAACAAGAGCCGCAGCTCGTTCCGTTCCTTCCTCTTCGATACCCATGCTGCCTGGTAGCTTGACTGCCAAGAAATCGGTAGCCCTACATTCCAGTTTTACATTTTGTTTTTCCGGTGCTGGTACATCCCTGTTGCCCTATGTAAAGTCTGTTGACAGGGTGGTGCAAGAGGCGCGTATGCGCTTTCGTCGCAGAGGATGCAGCCCGTATCAACTCTTTAATATTAAGTGATCTGACATTTGATGAAAAGATATATTCAGTGAGCCTTCTAGTGTAAAGTCAACAGGGAGTGGACTGGGACTGTTCCAAAAGGGCCAGCGCAGGACTTTGAAGGATTGGGCGTTCGATGCAGCGCGGATGGCATCTGAACACGACTGCAAAACCGAGTGCCCACAACCCACACAAACTAAGCTGGATGCACTGCATGCGTATGATTGATATTCCCTGTCTCGTTCTTATGCAGTATTGAAGTGTGGAATTGAAAGGTAAAGTCCGGAGAGCGCGCGCACGTGAGTCAAGATACAATTATCTCACAGTAGGTAACACACAAGGAAATCAAATGGACCAACAGTCGATACACGACAGGCAGCCTGTCCAATCAACAGCAGAATAGCATTAAAGTAAGGGAAATAGGGAGCGCTGAGCCAAAAGAGCTGTAGTTTCTCAAGGAGAAAGCTTGAAACCACCCCAGTTCAGGCGACTGAACACGCCCTGGGGATCAACCGCCGCCTGAATTTCTTTCATCCGCTTGATATTCTCCTTGGGGAAGGTTGCAAAAGCATCCTGCCATTCACCAGCATCGCCCATATAAACGTGCTCGCGTGCCAGAGACAGTTGGCGGTTCTGCTCATGCAGACTCTCAGACAGATCACGGGACCAGGACGTCATGCGGATATCGTCCTGGGCTAGATCCCATCCGGTGCTGAATTGCCACCCTGAGAAACCGAAGATTAGCCGGTTGTCTCCATTGCCAATTGATGCGGGCGGGGTAATAGGGACTCACAGACTGTAGGCTCGAGGGCCAGATCCCACGTGTTTCCGACGTCGGTGTTTCGTCCAGCGCGGACAGCACCCGTGGGACACAAATTAATCACAAATGTCGGGTAGATGCCTTGGACGTCGGACAGGGTCTCTACGCTCGCCCTCCAGGTCTGATAGATCTCATACAGTCGGTCGGCGTTGGGGACAATTGAGTGCGCGGAAAAGGCAATTCTGCAGACTCGATGATCAGTACTATGGTCCAGCTAGCCTCGGCGATGCATGTAATCATACCTGAACATCTGGTTGGGGGTATCCTTGTCCTCCGTCCACTCGAGCATTGTGGTGACATTGTGTACCTTAGTCGGGCCTTCAATGGCGGTGAAGTTGGCAAATTGTGAAGGAGGGTTGCTGATACCCTCTTGAACACCCATCAGCGAGGCTGAAACCGCCTTAGTGGTCACATTGTGCTGAATGGTGAGGATACCGCCGGCAGCAATGGGATCGCGGTCGTCCAAGCGGGACAAGGCCACGGCGGCCTTGATGAAGTCGTAGACTTCCGATCTCTCAAATGTCTGAATGGTGGTGCTAACATTGGGCATGTGGTATGTCTTGAGGGTGAACTTAGTTACGAGGCCGAAGTTGTTGGCACCGCCCTTGAGGGCCCAGAAGAGATCGTGGTTTTTGGAATTATCCGCAATCACTTGCGTGCCATTGCCCAAAACCACGTCGTAGCGCACGACATTGTCCATAGCGAAACCATACTTGTTGATGAAGTAGTGCACCCCGCCGATCAAAGTCAGACCAGGCACGCCGATGGTCTTGAGACGACCTCCGATAACAGCACGGTGATAGGGGTCCAGAGCACTGACAACATCAATCCATTTCATACCAGGGCCCACTTCGATGGTATCATTATGAACCTTGTAGTTCTGGAGTTTGTTCAAAGTGATCAAAACACCGCCGTCGATGTTGTTGGATCCCGGGAACTGGAATGGCATGTGAATATTAGCCTATTGCCTCAGGCCAGCAGTCATGCGCGGGAATTACGTTCATGTGACCTCCACCGCGAATGGCAAAGGGGGCATTGCACGTAGAAATGATCTTGACTCCCTCCGCCACTTCATCCGCATTACTCGGCTGGAAGATGCAAGCAGGGTACAAATCGGAGCGGATGTCCCAGAATCGGATTCTTTCCGCCGTATAATTCGCAGAGGAAGGCGACAACACCTCAGGTGAGTGGATTTGATTCAGCCGCTGACAAGCACAGGCAACCTCGCTGGTGAGGTGAAAGCTGCCCTGCCACATAGAGGTCGACGCGTTCGACGGCTTGCTGCTGTTGGCTAAAGTCGCCCCAGCGAGGGCCAAGGCCAGTAAATGTCTAACCATTGCGGTAGGAAGAAGGGCTCGAGGTAGGTGGTGGGAAAAGGTTTGCTGGCTTGTTTGTTTCTATCAAGAGCTAACCAGGATGCAACAGTCCCTTTTATAACTTTCTTAGCAGTGTATATACAAACTAGGCACCTCTCAATCTGCCAATTGTGTCTCTCAAAAGATGTGTCGGTCTGTTCTCATATACGGTGCCTTCGGGTTCGGATTCGAGTTGCAGTTTGAAGCCCTACCAACCACGGGTGGCAGCCCCACAGCGTCTTAGGATGATGGAAGAGAAGCGGATGATCTGCGGTTAGAAGAAGATAAACTCTTCTAGGAGGTTTCTGTGGAATCGCCACGCAGTCAGGATCTCTGGAGCCACTACCTTGTACCGCAACCTGCCAACATAATGGAGTCGAACCACACACTACTATGTCACATCAATAAGGATGATCTGCTCAAAACATATTGAAAATGACCTTCAAAAAGTCGGCCTTCACTCAGAGCCCGCTTTCTATGTACATACTTGTGACTAGCTAGTTCAGTCTGGGCCCACTGAAGCCCAGGAACCACAATTTAAGCATAAGCTTTCAGTTTCAGGCTGCAAAGTTCGAAACCTCCAGTGGGCATTAACTACTTAGTAGGAATCGTTGCTTCAATCCTGCCAGCATAAGATGTCCATTAGGGAGTTCCCTTCTGAGCCTCGTCAGACAGACACGAACCCGAATACGAACCCGAACCCGAGGCAGACAACACACAGAACCCGCCAAGAACGATCGACCGTTGATACCCTCAACTGAGAATCACCGGTGGACAAAGACAGAACCTCCTTCTTTTCTGATATGACGTCATGGAAGATCATTCCTGTGCCATTTGAGGATCGGGTATATATAGATTACCTTCTTCGCTTGCTATACTACTCGAAACAGTACACAGACTGATACAGGGGTGTATTCAATCGAGTCAACGGACCGGCCGTCTTCACTTTGCTTCTGTCCCCGCCAGCGTTCGTCGAGAATCTTCAACAAGGGACCAAGGTTTGCAATGCACTCCCCGCTCCTTAAGACACATAACCGAAGCCGAACAAAATCATGATGGGGAGGTCTGCTGCTGTGAGATCCCGCAACAAATAACGGGGAAAGCATGAGCTTGGCCACCGGTGCATGGGCCGGGACAGAAGCACTCGCGTCAAGCACTTGAGCTACAGCGGGAATGCACAATGGTCGAATTTGAGGCCTTGCGCCGGCACTTGACCACTATGCACCAGAGCTTCGTTATAGATATCCAGATGAGAGGAAAGCTCCTCGTAACTGTTCTTCTTTTAGTGCTTTAGTCGTCGAATCAGGACTTGCATCCTCGCTTCCAAGTCCTCGAATTCCGAGTGCAAACCGCCTAGTCTATCTTCCGTAGTGCTGTGGTGCAGTACCTGTCCTAGCCGATAGATAAGGTCGGCCATACAATGTGATGTGCTAAGGAAGGTGTTAAAATTATGAAATAAAAGCGCATCATTACTGCTGCTACCGCCATGCTCTTGTCTGGCAGCAATGATGTAGAAGTTTGGTGGTATTGGTGGAGTAGTCCGCCTCATCCAGTAAAGTCACATTATGCATATACCCCAGCCAGCGAATTAGTTGCAGGCGAGTCGGTAGTGAATCCATCTCGCGCGGGCCTCACGGGATGCTCGAGACAGCAGCGTAGGCTGTGCGTGATTCCTGCCGCAATATAAGCCAATGTCAGCGTTATCAGCGAAGAGGGCGTGCTCAGCCAACGCTGCGGATGCGAGTCGGGCTCTTCATGGCTGGAAGATGGGGTGTTCTCTTCTGAAAAGATAGTGTCATCTATGTAAACGACCGCCTGCTGCTCCATTTTGAGGGCAGTGGTTGTCAAATGCGTGACATCTATGGACGATGACGGTGGTTTCTGAGACGTCCAGTTGACTCGGACGGAATACGCTAGGAACATGACGGCAGAGAAGAGACCTGGCTTGCCCGTAGCCGTGAAGCAGATGTGCTTGGTGAATTCGTTGTCCGGGGTTTGGTTGTCGATGGTGATGCTCGGTGCGATGATATCAACGAATTCTTGCCACAGGTACGACGTCGCTGCTACCTGTGATAATGAGCCGATTAGTGAGTCTTTTGATTGTGAGTCTCCTGTGGAAGTATGTGAAAGCGACGAATGGCACAGGACCAAATCATCGAGATAATCAAATAAGATATGCGCGTTCAGGACTAGGTCATGGAGTCGCGAAAACGAAGGACCAGTCTCCAGGCCCAGAGAATATCGGAATCCGCCTCGACCGGTGCTGGAGCTGCAGGATGCTCAACAGCTTGGTCTTCGACAATGGACTTTAATGCCTCAGTTAATATAGACGGCCCGATACTGCTGCGGAGGCCCTTCTTGGATGAGAGTTGACAACCTGGATTTCTCGGATGCGCTGACTCGCTGAATCTATGCCTTCGACGCGCCATCAAGCGGTAGCAGACGGGATGCAGGGGAGGTCGTGATATTTACAGCGAGAGTAGCGAGATCGGGTACGGTCACACTAGCATTAACGTCTTTTTGTTATGTCGACTGCGCGCAATGATGAGGGAGTATGAGTTCAGCACACCTTGCGCTTTGAATTCTTGCAATTCATGCACGGCGCTCTGATCCTGATTGCGATGTTTCGTGGCAGTGGGATCGCCGACATGTTGTCACATCGGTGATTATTCTGCCGATGCTGTGAAAGGATGGGAAGTGCCAATGCAGGTTGATTCAATTGCCTCAGAAACTAGGCGATCCCCTATTCAACTTAGCTACGCGGCGGCAATGAGTCAGCGGCAATGCATCCCGAAGCGGAAAAACTGGCGCAGATAAGGATGAACTAAAGTATCGATAGTACTCTACACACTATTCACATTCATGTTAAAGTCCCTGACTGAGAGCCAGAAGGAGGTGCATCTCGAGAACAATTTTAGCCTCCCTTCACCTTACAGCGGGATCGCCACATTCGCGCACCTAGACCTGACCAACTGTTTTGTCCCCAGTAGCGACGGGACTTTTGACATCCACGATCGGTATTGTTGGTGCTTCTGTCGACCTCGGGATTACCAGTCTACCTGTCGACCTGGCGAGAGATTTGGCCCGTCTAGTGCCAGAGCTAGCTCACAGCGACTGGGACCCGGCTTTGCATATAGGCATACCTGCCCATGATTTTTTTTCAAACCAGTTGTGATAAAGACATGCACCAGCATGGGCCATGTGGTCCACCATTTTCAGGATTGGGCGTCTTTTGTCGATTGCGACGATATCTCCAACACCCCTTTTGATAATCTTCAGGCTATGACGGGGTGGGCCAAGATAGGCTCCAGAAAGCCACGGAAAATCGAGAAGAGGGATCATGTTCGACTACTCTCACTTGGTGGCGACTAAGTCATACAATCAGTAAGGCTTTACATATTCGGATAAAAGTGGAGCTTGTCTGTCTTCTCGAACATCCACTAATTTGACCTGCAGCACTTCCAGCACTACGAGCCTTGCACAATACCTGGGACAAGGTGGCATTCCTACAATTCTATTCGCACCTCGACACATGGGACCCCAAGCAACTGGGGTGGCTACACGAAGTACTCTGGGGTGACGCATGGAAGCATGCTACATCTAGCACATGAAAAAGGGCTTGTCGTGGACCACAGCATCATGCACTTGAGCTCGCGCTCCATGTTGTTCGAAAAGCATTATAATGTAGAAAACAACGCCCGCTGTGGATCCACGGCGATTCGCGCTCGGCAAATTGATGAAGTTGGCATTGAGTTCATTATTCAGAGGGGGTAGATACTGTGCAGGACCGTCCCGTTTACATAAGCATTGACACAGGTGTTCTGGATCCAGGTATAATCTCAGCGTAGTATGCTCTTATTTGAATATTGTCTCGCTGACTTACTTGTAAAGCCTTTGCGCCCGCGACAGGAACCATTGAGCCCGGAGGCTGGACAACCCACGAGCTTTTGCAGATACTCAATGGGCTTTCACATGCTGATATTAAGATTATCGGAGCCGACATTGTTGAGTTTGCCCCTGCTTATGATAACCGAGCCGAGACTACCGGTTTGGCTGTCGCGCAGATTGCGTACGAGCTTTTGCAATGGATGATTTGTGTACCAGTCAAACCAGCAGGGCCTCTAATTCTAGAGTGTTTATATGCTTGACAAGTGTGTATCATATGTTGGAGAGTTCGTTGAGAAACTCCCAACCCCCAAGGTCATGATTATGTGGCGTTCTGAAAGTGGGAGATCGGAATTGATGCCTGTCCACTCTTTAGAAAAACGGGGCCTGGTGCCAGCTCTAGCGGAGGAAGAATAGAGCTTGTTACCTTGAGACACACAAGTTTCAGTCGACAGGTACATGTCCAGAAGCCAAGACAACGTTGGAAGTAGAGTAAGTCTGGCAGAAGCTTCATGTCGGCCGCCCAATGCTTAGTGATAAGCTTAAAATATCCACCATGGAGCGTATCTTAACAAATGACTTGTTTTTCGCCCCTGACCGTGCCCTGTTTTATGACGCCTGGAAAAAATCAAGGTTTAGCCAACCACTATTGGGCTTTTCTGGCCGGAGGGCTGTTATGACAGGTCAGGTCGTGACTGATTCGCAGTTCCAGGCCTAAGCCAGATTTACGCACATACAACCCATGGCGGGCATAGAAGCCGAGAAGAACTTACAGCCCTTCTTACCGGTGTTGGTATACAGTCAGCTAAAATCAGGGAACATATCCAGACACAATCTTGGTCTAGAAGAGCATTTCACATATCTATGAATCAGCGTCAACATGCAGCAATGGCCGCGGTTACCCAATTCTTCCGATATCAGTGTTCACATGCCCTTCAGTCGACGTCCTGGACCAGCTCTGTTCTTTTTCCTTCCACTACAACTTCAACAAGTCTGCTCGCACATATATTTTGGGGCTTCCTTCCTTGGACAACGATGCATCGAGACATTGAACGTTGTGACGTCGACCGTGAATCTGATACCTCTGAAGATGTTGCCACAGGAGCCATCAGCCTGACGTATCCCGAAGGCGGCTGTAATGCATGGAGCTGTCTGGTGGGTTCTGTCTTCATTATGTTCCCATCCTTCGGCTTTCAAACTGCTGGTATGCTACTCCTATCTTGAGCTTTAGCGTCACGGATCGATTCTCACCGGACCCCAGTCGGCACGGTGCAAGACTATATTACCACCCACCAGTTATCCGGCTACAGCGTGGAGGACATCGGCTGGATCAGCGCGCTCCTCGTCTTCATGACGCTCTTCTTAGGCGTTCAAGTCGGCCCTGTTTTCGACCGCTATGGCCCTCGCCTTCTCCTCGCCGTGGGCTCTCTTGGCAGCGTCGCTTCCTACCTCCTCGTTGCCCAATGTGCGAAATACTGGCATTTTATGCTCGCCCTGGGCGTTCTGGGCGGCATGTCCTCGGCCATTCTCACCACTGTCGCCATTAGCGTGCTGAGTCACTGGTTTGAACGTCGCCGTGCCCTGGTCACGGGTATCTGTATGGGCGGCTCGTCCGCCGGTGGTGCGGTCCTCCCGATCGTGCTCCGCAGTATTCTCCAGAAATATGGCTGGGCATGGTCTCTGCGGATTGTCGCTTTCATTGCCCTCGGCTGTTATACTTTGGCAATCTTCCTTGTCAAAGGCAGGCAGCTGCCCGACACTGGCACCCCCACTCGCGCCACTATCAACTTTCGCGCGTTCCGGTCCCCGCGTCTCTGTTTCCTGGCCCTTGCAGTGTTCAGTTTTGAGTTCATTATCTTCGGATGCGCAGCGTTGCTTCCAACCTATGCACGCTATGCAGGTTTCTCGTCCCAAGAGCAATTTTACACACTAACAGTCCTGAACAGCATGAGTTTACTGGGTCGGGTGCTCCCGGGATTAGCAGCGGACTTTCTGGGAAGATTTAATATTTTGTTAGCGATGATGATCCTCACGCTGGTGGTCATGACGGCCGTGTGGGTGCCGTTCGGATCGCGGAGCGAAGCGACGTTGTATGCAGTCGTCGCCGTGTTCGGGTTCGGGTCGGGCGGCTGGATCTCGCTGGCTCCGGTGTGTGCAGGCCAGTTGTGTCGGACGGAGGAGTACGGTCGATTCTATGGAACGGTGTACAGCGTTGCAGCATTTGGGACATTGTTGACTGTTCCAGTAGGCGGCCAGCTACTGGAGGCAACATCGCCGCAAACATTAGTTGGATTTTATGCGGCAGTGTTGGTCTTCGGGCTGATCAATGTGATATGCTCGAGATGGGCACTACTAGAGTGGCGGTGGAAACGGACTGCCAAGGTTTGAGTTGTGTGACTGTGCAGGATCAGGGTACCTATTCGCTTCCACCTGGCTGAACCATTCATTCAACAAAAGGTGCAAAGGCTGACCTCCAGCAAGCAATGTCTTAGATCTTAATACTCAGAGGAATTAAATTTGCCAATCTACTCTTCTCCTTTATTCTCCCCTTTCTCATTCCTCAACCGATTCCTCTTCGCATTCCCCTCCAACCCATACAGCACATCCTCCGACATCCCCGGAATCACCATATCGAACGTATTCTCAATGACCGTATACTGATAATACCCGCAGCGGGCAATCGGCCTCGTCTTCCTGACATCCAGGATCCCGTCTGTGAGCACCTCATCCTTGATATGCACCGCCACCACCCGTCCAATCACCACATCCACCGTCCCCATCGGCGGGTTCCCCGGCAACCGGATGGTAGAGTGGTACCTGCACTCGAACTTCACGGGACTCTCCCGGACCATGGGCACGTTGACCAGCGAGGCGGGCTCCTTGGTGACCCCGGCTTTCTCGAACTCATCCACCCCGTACGGGAACTGCTCGGCGGAGATGTTGACGGCCTCGCGGAGGTCGTAAGTGGCCAGGTTCCACACGAACGAGCCCGTGGCCTCGGCGTTGACGACCGTGTCCTTGCGGGTTTCGGCGGCTGTCTGGTTGGACGAGAACATCACGTACGGCGGGTCGAAGGTGAGGTTGTTGAATTGCGAGTACGGCGCCAGGTTGCTGGTTTGCCCGTCCGGGGATTGCGTGGAGATCCAGCCGATCGGGCGGGGGATTACACATGCCTGTGCTGTTGTTGGTGGTCTGGTCTATGATGGGGGTGGTGGATTGGGGTGAGGTGGGCATGTACTGTACCTTGAAGGGATCATGCGGGAGGTTATGCTCGGTCACGCCGGGTTCGTAGTACATTTTCGGTGCAATGCGTTCTGTATTTGCGCAATGGTGCTAAGGGAGGGTTCTAGAGCCGGGCAGGAGTAGCGGGAGCGATGCGACAGGCGGCGTTCTTTTTTATTTATGTACGCACAGTACGTAACCAGACCTGCATCTTTGGTGATGTGATCGACCCTCCTCGTGCCGATAACCGCTGGAGGTGGGGATGTAACGATCAAGCGCGGGCGGGCCGTGATCCGAGCTCGCCGAGGTTCCGATATGAGGGGTCAGTTTGGCCGCCTGTCTGGGTACAGATTGTGGATGCTTGATGGATCGCGGGTGATAAAATTGACTAATAACTGCCGATGATAGTGAGGTGCTGATTGATATAATCTGGCTTCAAGTGCGTGGACTATGTAAATGCCATGGAATACTAATGTCGAAAGTATCGACCATGACCGGTCGGGTTCCGCTTATATACTATCAGGATCATTGTCATCAAGTCAGGCCAGAAACTGTGCTGCGACCGGTGGAAAGGGGGATTTAAAAATGAATTTAGTGTGTGATTCTTTTGGAGGAAAGCTCTGCATACGATAGAGGCTCACTTTGGAAAAGTAAAGGCCAAGAAAAAGAAGAAAAAACGATGGCCATTGTGAGCAATCTACAGCCGGGCACTGCAGATGGTTGGCAATATCCACTGTGCCTGGTTTCGAGGGGAATGGAACTTTGGCTCAAAGCTAATCTTTGAAAATGACGCCGGGATTACATCAACTAGCATCATTGGTCTAGTGGTAGAATTCATCGTTGCCATCGATGAGGCCCGTGTTCGATTCACGGATGATGCATCCAAAATTTCCTTTTGCCTTTACTTTTTCCTACTATACTACCTATTCCACCGGAACGCATCCTTGGACAATATTTCGGCTTTCGCCCTTTTTGCCCCTCGTAACCGCGGTGTATCCATGCCGTTGCTGCCGATGGTCTTCATCACTGCCAGCGTCCCACCATCTGCTTTCAGATATCCGCCTACAACAACACCATCCATCTATTAATGGTCGTCTAGGAGCGGCACCACAACAGCTATGCTTTACCTGGAAAGATTCATAATCTGACGGCAGATGTCAGGTAATCACCTGCTGATTGACAGCCAGACTGCCCTTCCCAAGAGACCGACTGTGGCGCCGACTGCTTTCGTACTGAATCTCCTTCTACTAGCGCTTCTGGCTCTATTGTTTCTCCGAGCATCTGCCTGAACACGTGGTGCAGGGAGATAGCCGGTTATCAGATTGATTGCCTTGGTTGTAACACGTGCTCTTCTCACTCGGCTCTCATGCACATCTCACGAACCATTCTGAATGCCATCGGCACGTGATGTCTCATCTATACACCTCAGTATGACTGAGCTTATTATGCGGGAATATCACTGTGAGTGAATCACCTACCTCTTCTCATTATCAATTCAATGAATATTTGCTCAGAATTCACCCATATCATTCATCTCTATCACATCTTGAATGATTTCTCAGCCCTTCACTCACCCTTGGTTTTATTAACATTTGGTCCTAGATCCGGACTTTTTAGTTCATACTCCCCTCTTAAGCGAGCTTCCCGTTCTATATCCTATCCTCCTTCCACACCTCTTCTTCCAAACTCTCTTCTTTCTATCCTTCCCCAGCCCACAGCTCCCACACCCTTATGGCTTCCACATTATTTCTTTGTTGTGTTGGTGTCACAACCGCTGAGCACCTTATGTGGCCTCACATTTCCCCTTGCAAAGCTTTACTGTTGTGATCGTTCCACACATTCAACGGAGACGAACCGGGTCTAGTTGACCTCCAACATCAAGTAATCCGAGTTCCACCTGACAATGTCACTTCTCATTTCCACAAGCTGAGAGACACGATATTCTTCATTTCAGTTCTGCTTTGCCCGACACCCGATCCTGCCCACAGAAGATATCCAGAGGCATCGTGGCTTGAATTTATCCACGTCGCACTCGACACGAAAGACTTTTGCGATGACCTCGAGGTGTCAAACAAAGGCAAATTTACCCAAAGACAAGTGGTAATCGGTTACCAAACCTTTGCTATCCACAAGAGCAGCGAGAAAGTGTCCCCAGGAAGCACTTGAATGAGTAATGCGTCCACAATTCTGGTCATATGTGAATTGTCTATTGCATTACAACAAGACAGATACCCCCAAGATTTTGATCACCAGGGTATCCTACGACAAACAAGAATCCCGGCTGAAGAAACTTCCATTTTCGATGCTTACAATCGGTTCTTGATTTCCTTCGCTGGCAGAGGCGGCTAAGAAAAGGCCACGACACTGGTACAACTGGCCGGTGACTGAAGAACTATGGGATGTATTCGAAGGCGAGTTCTAGCCGTCATCGAGCATCTACTCAAAATCCACCGTCTACGCAAGAATGCAGGCGTGGTGAAATGTCCTCAAGCACAAAGAGGATAGTTCCAAAACTCCATTGAGACCAAGCGTGCGGGACAACAAGAAAGAAGGGAAGCTGGAGCTCGTGACGGCTTCAGCTTCCGTGCCGGCCATGAATGACAGCCTTCAGGGCAACTCTGAATCAGAGCGGTTATTGAGGGATCCTCAAATTTATTCTCAGACGAGCTCTGGGTATTAGCAGACATCTGCTCAGGATTCGGCGTCTACGCAAGTATGTAGACGCGGTGAAACGTCCGCCAGTAAACGGACGATAGTCTCAAAACTTCATTGAGATAAGACAAAGCGTGCATGACCAGAAGATGGAAGGGAAGCTTGTGGTTGTGGCTCCTTCAGCCTCCGTGCCGGACAGGAATGATAGTCGCCAAGATAACTATGAATCGGTGCGGTGATTGAATAATTCTGAAATTCATTCTCAGGCGAGTTCTGGGCGTCAGCATACATCTGCCCAAGCTGCAGCGTCTATGCAATCATATCACAAGATTACCCGAACAACACGTTGACTTGCGGCCAGGCTTTACAAGCTCCAAGGTCACAAGCAGCCTGGTAAGAAAACGATAATCGCCATGAAGAAAGTCAAAAGACCAAGAGCCTACGGCAATTAAACCTATACCACAAAAAGGGAAGACTGTGGCCACCTAAGGGCACGCGACTCATAGATGCGTGGACACTCCTTGCTATATGCGAGCTGTCTACAGCGAAAAGCAAAACCCGGCTGATCTTGATCATCAAGGCAACACACGTCAAGCACGAACTCCAAATGGCAACACATTCCTGTTCTACGCACACGAACAGTTCTTCTTCCTTGTCTACCGAGGAATACACGTGCCGTGCGGGCAATCAAGCCGCCCCTACAGCATACGTGATAAAGCTTCCGCCATCATTGCGAGGATAATTACAAAAATTCTTTGGCAAAAAGTGGGCATGCCAGGAAAGAAGAAGGGAAGATGAAGGTCGTGGATACTTCAGTGTCCGTGCTTAATGACATTTTCCAAGGCAATCATGAATCAAAGTGCGATATCCAAGCGAGAAATACAGACTTGCAGTCAGCGCGAAATCCGACGCTAGGGGAATAATTCAACAAAGATGAAAAGCTCGAGGCCAAACCATTCATTTTCCTATACTCATCGCCAGCGGATTCTATTTTGTCACCAGAGGAGAAAGGCCTTATACGTATGCGGCAGCTCAGGACATTTCACAACCTGTGACCGGCCTTGAAGCAAAGGCACTGGGCCTGCGGCCGTGTTAGAGTTCGCCTAGTTCTAGAACGTTTCTGTTGTGCCGGAACAGCACATAATGTCACAGCTAGAGCTGGAGCACCCTAAGACGCTATTCTTTCGACTCCGAGCAGCGCCCGGGTTATGCCTCCACGTATGGGAAGGTGCGTGGCATCAGCCATTCCACCAGACATGGAGGAACCCCGTAAGACAATTGTAGCAGTGGCACTTTTGACTACTCATGGTTTCAAAGACACTCTTGCACACCGAAGAAGTCGCCCAACTTTTAAGGGTTATTGTACTGCCAAGTAATTGTCCCGCTCTTGAGAAACATGTGCTGATTTAACCGGGTACTGACATCGAATACTCCATTTAGAAGCTATTCCGTTCTCGATGTTCCATGAATTCGGTCAAACGTCCACTTTTGCAGACGATACCGCCGAGGCAGACAAGACCACTCTTGCAGACAAGACAGCCGAGGCAGATAATAGCGTCAGAATAAATTGGTCACTTAGCCAGAACCTTCCGAAACAATGGAAAGCTCCAACGGGCTGGTGGAGTATTAGCAGACTGCGCGGACCATGCTGGCGATGCGATCAATTGATGTTATCCACAGAATTGGAATGGTGGGCAAGTAGGGAAGATCGTCGGCTTCTTCGAGATGAAGCTATCCCAGATTGCCAAACAATCCCAACTCACCACGACGAACAGGGACGCTGCTCTTAACTAGTGGTTCTCACCATGAAATGGAATGCGAAGTGCCTCGTACGATACCGAAGCCCCGTATCGACTATGCAGCATCGAACACATGGTACGCTTCCGAGTAAAAGATAGAATAGTCCTGAAAGGTCAGCTGTCTTTGCGAACAAGAAAGGCGAATCATGCGTTCCTCACATGGGCCAAACCACGAATGAGGCTCTCTACTATAAGGTTCTTGATCAGATTGGCACGGCTAGCGATCTGATAGAACCGAACATGGAAAGCCGGACTCGAAAAGATGGGATGATAGCCTTGCCTTCATCCTTGCAGACAAACTTGAGAGAAAGGAAATCAGCAGGAACATAACGTGTGGTTTTCTACACCAATCCTCAATGGAACACTCCAGATATCTTTCTTTCGGAATCAATCGCAGTCGGTTCTCTTAGCTCTCCCTTGCCCCTTTGCCGAGCTGAAGATATCGACGCGCAACTTGAAACCTGACGTGGCGCACGATCGGCAACACAGTTAACTATACACAACCTCAGCCATGGCCTGTTGTAACGCGACAGCAAACCGGCGACGTTACGAGGCTGCGTGCCCTGCTTGAGCTGTTCTCGAAGCAATTGAGACATTTCTACCGTGTCTAGTATCTTGGGACTGCGATGGAGTCTACGCAAAGAGTTCAGAGCCAGAAACGCTAGTAGGTTGTTTGCAGGACACTTCATCTACTATAACCGAGGAGACGACGCCATGCCGAAAAAGCATGACACAAAACCCTCGAAAATCATGAGAAGCAACATGGCTATCTTGCAGAGCGAATAAGAAGAGACTTAAGCCTTCGTCAAAACGTGTACCTTATTCGGCTGTTACAGATTGAGACTATCGGCTTTGATTATGCAGTTGAAGCTGTATTGAAGAATTTCAATACCTAGTTATTGATTATTGCTGACCGCACCAGCATTAAATCAAACTCCACAGCAATCTCCTATGCTTTCTTATGCGATGTCCTAAGCTGCTCTTGGCTCGAATACATGGCGACGAGAGGGACTTCTCGATGCCTATAGTACAGACGCTTAACATCGTAGCATGAAGACAAGGCCACTCCAAAGCCAGTAGACTACCACAAGCATTTGAAGATTTCAGCGCATCACCATCGACACCACGCTCTCCTACTACCGTAGTTCCAAGCGATCCTGCAACCCATAGGAAGAACATACCGGGACCATCGAACTCCAAAATCCATACAATCCCCAACAACAATCCCACCCACCGCCAAAGCAAGCCGGCCAGCACGCTGGGAGTGGGGGGGAGGGGGGGGGGAGGTCGATCTAGCCCTCAAGCTCCTGCAGGATAGACAACCTCAAGGCAGCCTGCCTGCTGGCCGGGGGTTGGTACTTCTTCGGCCAGGAGTAATCCAGAGCGGAACAGGAGCGATCAGCCCCGGCGAGACGGCAGCCGGCGCAGCACGCACCCAGTAGCCGGGCAGCTGGAACGAGTCGCGGAACACCGCACCAGTGTCGTGCGTGCAGGGGTCCATGGCGAAAGGCCCGCGGCTGGCAATCAGCAGGGCATCAACCAGGCGGCAGGGAGAAGATCGGAGCTAGACGGGGGCGAAAAATGTCGGTACATGACATTAACGGTGTAGGGTAGGGCTAGAGGACGGACCTGATCCACGAAGATACTGTCCTGCGCGAGCCAGATCGGGTAGACCGGGAACATATAGACCGCGCGCTGGGTGTCGTTGGTCAACATGGCCGCCAGGGCGCGGTGACCGAGGGCCGTCATGTGCACGAGAACATATGGCTGGCCGGCGGGATTCCTTGTATCCGATGTCGCGACCACAGAGAAAAACTGCTTGGAGGCGGGACAGACCGTAGTCGGATCGAACGGAGTCAGCTCGGGCCAACGGCCGGGTGCAGCCACGTTAGGAAGGCCGGACTCGACGGCCGGGGACACGGCACTCATGGCGAACGAGGTGGCGGGAAATAGAGGAAAATAAAGAGAGCTGAAAGAAGCTGGAGGGAGCTGGAGGGAGCTGGAACGGGCTAAGATCCGGAGACACCTGTACGCAGCGGCGTGAACGTATAGAGGATGGCTTGCGTGGAGAAGGACAAGGATTGTAAAGAAGACGGACTGCGCAGTTGACAAGAGAGAAGAGGAAGCGAGAAGAGGAAGCGAGAAGAGGAGGAAAGGTGAATTGTATAAACCACGGAAGGCGGATAAACGAACCAAAAGGCCAAAGTATCGTCCACGATCCAATCCCACCCAGGCGACACAATTCATCAAGTCGCATAATAAATCCAACCTCATGAACGATAACCCCGACTACGACACGGAGCATGCTTCCACGCTGGGTAACGGCCCAATTAGCCGAAAAACTACTAGGTAGTTGTTTGCTGGCACGGGAAAGACCATACATAAAGCGTATATCAAATAGACCCTCCGCGATCGTCGAAGTCAATCTGGAGGCAAAGCACACAGCGTGCTTCAAGACGCGGGCGGTAGTATGCATGCTTCGATGAGAGCATGCATAAGTAAGGTACAGTATCAAGCTGGCTCAGGGGCTGGTTCGTCGGTTTGCTTGTATCTGCGGTGCTTCTATCTGCGACTGGGTCTGAGCTGATGGCTGCAGTGCAGTGGGCACCTGTTGCTTCTACAATAGGTAGGTGCCTCGGTGCCTCGGTGCCTCGGTGCCCTGCTGGGTAGCAGACACATAAACAGGAGCGGGTTTGCCGCGGACGTCCAAGATGGTGAAGGGGCTGTTGCACGTGCCGGTTGTGCTGGTACTGTGGTAGGTAGGCGATGGTGAGTGCCAGTGGGTGCTCTGCAGTGCCGAACTTCAATCGCCGGTTCCTTTGAGACTTGGTCACAATTGCTTCGGGTCTTTTGGGAGCTGGATGATCTCTTTCCCTTCAGCTTCCGTACCCTGGGTAAGAGAAGCTTAGATTAAGTGGCAGGGCTCTAGTGGACACGAAATTCGAGCATACCATCGTTTGATCTTGGTGTAGTGGCACACTACCTTTCCACTCAAAAAGGTGGAGGTCCCAAAGCCAACAGGAGGTTCAGCAGTGAGTGGCATGAAAACCATGACTCGAGAATTGTGGTAGTGACGGATCATCGCCGCGCGGACTACATGGACTCGAAACCGAGAGGGCATCCCAGAGCTTCAGATCTACCACCCTACGATCACAAGTATCCAAACAACAAACGTTAACAAGACGCTGTTCAATCATTATTCAGTCATAAAATCTCTATCATATCATTAAGCCCAACATCAAACCGACCCTTTACCCCCGGCGCGTTTCTGCTTGAACGCATACCACAGAATCAACACCAACGTCTGAACCCAAGAAGCCGCGGCTAAGGCGGCAATCGCAGTTAATCCATGACGATAGAGTGGCTTGTCCGACGTCCGGAAGATCTGCGAGCCCGAGATACCGGCGCAGTTGGCGGCCATGACGATCAACCTGTTGTTTCTGTTAGTGATTGGACTTCGGGATTTGTGGGACGAAAGAACATACGCCATGGAGACACTTCGTTCTTGAGGGGTCTTGCAGTGGAAGCCAAGCCAGGCGATGTTCAGTACACTATATTCTGGATTAGCAGGCTACAATGTTCGAGGCGAGAAGGGAAACGTACTGCATGCTGGCATAGATGAGGTTGGCAATTGTGATAACAGCGTATTTGTGCCAACGGGAAGAGTCATCGGGCATGGTGCGGAGGCAGGTGTAGGAGATGACGTTCCAGGTGATGCACAGCAGGACGAAGATGCCACGCTTGCCGGTTTTGTCTCTGCGTTCTCATTAGCACCAACTCATGGAGGACCACAACAACTGGGCGCAAACGTACGAGAGCCAAGCGAGAATGGTCAGCCAGACGATGCTCGCGTACACCGCGACACTGGCTAAAGCGTTGGCGCGGACGGCACTGAAGCCAAACGATTTAATCATGCTGGGGGCGTATTGGTTCAAGCCCTGGAAGGCGGACATCGAGACGAGCGTGATCATGAAGTGCTGGATGACGGTGGGCTTGCGCACGGTGTCCCAGACGTCGCGGCCAGTGATTTTAATGCGGTCGCCGCGGGCCTTGAGCGGGTCGTCGAGAAGGACCCGGTCGCGGATGATCTGCTTTTCGCGCGCGTTGAAGTAGCTCCATCGGCCCATGCTGGCGAGGGGGCTACCGTCGCCGGCCTTCTTGGGGATGAAGAGGATGAACAGGATAGCGGCGACGATGGTGATGAGACCCTCAACTGTTGCGAATCGGTGTCAGTGGGTGCCCATTGTCATGAAGGGTAAAGTCCAGGGCACATACTCAAGAAGATCCACTGCCATCCTGCGAGACCACATCTTCCCGAGAGCTTCAACAATCCGGCAGAGATGAGACTCGATGTAGCACCCGCAAACATCTGGCCGTAGAAGAAGAGCGTTGTGCGGAAACTGATCTCGTCGCGTTTGTACCACTGGGAGAGATAGTAGAGAGCACCTGTGCGACACATCGATTAGACAAATGTATCAAATAAACCCACCGAAGTTCGACATACCAGGAATGAAACCGCCCTCCAGCAATCCCAGCAGCAATCTAGTGACCAAGAAGGCAGGGTATGACTTCACGAAAGTTTGAAAGACACCGACCAAGCCCCAGGCAACCAGCTGGGCCGATAACCAGACTTGAGGCCCCACACGCTGAAGTATGATATTCGAAGGGATCTCGCTGACGACGATTCCCGCGGACAGAAGCTGGGTGCCGACATTGATCTGGTTGGTGTTGATGTGCAGATCTTCCGTGATGGTGGAGGTCAAGGCTGCACTGATGTTGCCACGATCGACCTGAAGACCGAAGAAGGCGAGCCCGAGAACAGGTAGGAGAATGAGGTCGATCCTAGTGGAGGTCAATGTTAGACATCCGAAAACCTCCCGCGAAGATGTATGGAATAATAGGATGGACCTACTTCCGACGAACTCGGGCCTCTTCCTTGTCGTCCCAATTCTTGATGATGTCAACTCCTTCCTCGTTGTCATTGCTGGACCCGTCGCTCAGGACATTGTCAATGACCTTCTTTTCGGAGAATTCCTGCTCGGGGTAGGAATAGGTGGCCATGGCTGCTGAGAGTATGGGCGGGTGGCCTTGGAGTTTCAGCTGGGAAACTCAAGCGATTGAAACCCGAGAGAAAAAGCGGCCGAGTTGCACGAAAAATTTGATCTGGCTGGAACGCATGATTGTATGGAGTAAGTGGGTTATTTATACGGTGGTGAAGTGAATGGAAGTTGACTTGTGCTGGCAAGCTGCGGGCGCGGGCTCGCTAAGATTGACCGGCAGCAGCAGTGGAGGAAGCAGCGGGATGGAGTGAGAGCCCGCCGTGATGGCGCAATCGCCGCTGCGGTTGATGTCAATCCACCAGGGTGGGTTTACTGTATCTTTTCCTGCGTGGCTTGATCACAGAACTATGTGTACTTAGAATCATTGCACAAGGGTAATTATCTAGCTCTATCTTGAGAGCTCTAAGCGAGGTTTTCTCGCCTCTCGAAGTCGATTCTGTATGGTCGCTCATTGTCCAACTCCCTTCAGGGATGGCATCATCAACGACAGGATGTTTCCTGAGAGCTTCCATTCTTCGTAGCGCTCCTGGCAAGGATGAAGTTCCATAACAAAGAATCCCTACACGTGGGCGTGGGCCGAACCACAGCAGGAAGCCAGGAACAGGCCAGACCCACACATACAAAGTTAGTTGTAAGCATCCCATTCTGTACCTTCGAATCCACTTCAAGATGCCCCATGGATTTTCACTAGCTATCTGCTCATGGCCTACAATGCTAAACTGATAACTTGCTCCTCACTTAACCTCACATATGATCATTACTCGCTGCTTTTTGTCGTATAAAGGTCATAAATACAAACTCAAGTCCAGGCCTCCCAGCTCAACCCGTCACGATACTGATATCCCGCCTGCGGGCCCTCAGCTTCGATCAAGTAGCCATCCTCGCACACCGAGTATGATACCTTGGGCTGTTCCGCATAGAATTTATCGTACTGGGCATCCAGCGCCTCTTTGAGACTACGCACATTCCCCGAAGGATGCAGAACCTTCCAGGGCTCAATGCAGGTACGACCCTGACAGGATTTGAGCACGAGAAGGAGTGCATCAATCCGGTCGATCAGCGTTGCCAGGGGACGACCGAGCAGTTTGGCCCCGCTGTGGGAGTAAATGTTGTTCATCTGGTAGGGATCCACCTACAGATCCGTTAGCTCAATCAAATTAGGCTAGGCAGCGTTACACATACCGAGAGGTCGTACAGCTCGTGGTCGTTGTTACACCACACCGAGTAGTACAAGTTATATTCCGGGGACAAGATCCGAGCGGATTTGTATGTATTGTTGGTCATGGTGGGCGTTCCATGGGGACCTTAATATAGTCGTGTCAGCAACACAGTACCCATATAGCGACAGAAAATAAACTCACCGATCCGCGAGAATTCCCCTTCAAGAACAGCTCTTCCCCAGTATTCCACGGTCACATGTTCATGCGCAACTGACTTCGTCTGCCGCGCCACGGGCATTGGAGTGCCATCAAAATCCGTCCGCAGAGGGATCCCGGCAAGTTCAAACAAGGTGGGCGCAATGTCTATGTGGGTGGTAACACGGTCGACACTGACACCGCGGGGAAGGCCAGGCCCACGGATGTAGAACGGAACGCGGATGTCCTCTTCATACCCAGTAGTCTTCCCGGGTGGCAGCCGATGCTGGCCAATATGATAGCCGTTGTCCGCACTGTAGATGATGTAGGTGTTCTGGAACTCGCCACTGGCAGCTAACCGAGTCAGAAGACGATCTACGAGCTCATCAACTCCCTGCAGGGCACGCAGACGTTGGCGGTAGAGGTGATCTTCATAGTCGATCACGCTTTGGTTTTTCAGCTCGAGATTACGAACCCAACTAGCACCGGACAACTTTCCAATCGTTAGCTTGATTTTCACAAAGTCATATTGAAACGTACCTTTGCAGGGTTGAAGTGGGGTGTTCTCGGCACTTTCGCATCTGGGAAGAGATGCGCATGGCGAGGCGCTGGGAGCGGCTCCGTCATGACCGGAATTCCTTGAAGTGCCTCCACGTCCACATTGGTATGCGGTGCAATGGGGGCGACTGTGAGAAAGAAGGGCGAATCACTCTGCAATGCGTCTTCCAGGAATCCCAGAGCCTTGTCGGTGATCACATCGGTCGTATAGTGGCCCTCATAGCTGCGCGGTGGCTCCTGATTTCGTTGATAAGTGGAGTTCCAGTATGAGTAGGTATAGGGATCGAGCAGGAAGTCGGAGCCATTGAAGCCGTTCACGAAGGGTGCATTATAGCTGTCGACACTATGTGCATTGAAGAGCTTGCCAGTGTAGAAGGTATTGTAACCAGCGGATTGCAACCAGACGGGTAGGAAGTTATCGTTAAAGCCTTGTGACACGAATTTCGGATAACCCCCTGGAGAGTTCAGATCTTTGCCATGTTGGAGTTGCAGTGTCAGACATACCATAAGGTGGATGTACATCCGTGACGTTTGTGTTATGTGCTTGTCGACCAGTCCAGAGACTGACTCGCGAGGGGCAGCATAGGGCGGTGGTGACAAAGTGATTCTGGAACTCAACGCCTTGGTCCTTTATCCAAGCGAGGGTGTGTGGCATATAGGCCGGGGAATTCAGCTGGAGATCCTGATCATCGGTAAGGATGAAAAGGAAGTTGGGTGGTTTGCTCGTTGTCGGGTGCTCTTCCTGCAATGGCTGCTGTTGTTGGCCCGGGATGGCCTCGGAGCCAGCGAAGAGGGCGGCGAGTACCAGGACGGAGTATCTCATGATTGCGGCCTCAATTGCCGGCGTTGGTGGTAGGTAGCGGTTGATGTCAGTTATACCATATCAAAGCACTCATTGAGTCGGGATGGCGAGAAGATAGCGTGGAATGACACCATAGCGGGAGCTTGACTTTGCCGACCGAGATTAACCTTTGGTTCGGCTAGAGGCACCTTGACAGCACGCGGTGATGCTCTTTTTAGCGGCGGATTGCACCATGGATAGCCAATAAATCATGGTTCCTTGCAGTGCTTGGCCCAGGCAGAGCCCAGACCCGGGCGACAAGCTCCACCCATTTTCTGGGGAAAGCATTCTCGATTGAATGGATGAAGAGTTGGAAGGATCCATCCGGAAGGAGTCCAGCGACCAACGCGCCCTTGATTGTGGAGCTCGGTTAGAGCGACTCGGGAGGTGATGGCGTGCTCCGCTTTAAGATGAGCTCATGGAAGCTGTTCATTGCTTGAGTGAATAGGAGCCAACTGACTGTTGTATGACATGCATACTTGTGGAATTGAGTGTCAAGTGGGATTGAAAATCGAGGATGATCGATTAGAGAGTCGTTTAATCAAAGACTTGTGCAAGGCTTAACATAGCATTATTTTGATTCATGACCGCCTGTATGACCGCTCAACTGTCCGGCAGAATGTCTTGCACTTTTTCGGCACGGGCCAATGAGGTCAGAAGGAAGTACTCCATAGCTCTTGCTGAACAGATTGACCACAGGCATCCGACTTCTCAGCCTTCTCTGGCAAGCTTACGAGATATCATGTAGCTCGGTGAGATCTGTTAGTCATATTTTGTGAAGATAGGGATGAAAAATAATCGAAATACTCATGTTGGCACCTTGTGTACCGTTCGGTGTTAGAGATTGACAAAAGATACATTGTCAAATGAAATCTTTCTTATCGAAAACTACTGGGACATGAAATCGCCCAAGTCGCACGCCATCCTATCGAAGCTCCGAGTCTCGAATATCTATATACAGTCCAGGGGTATTCGCTGGTTTATAAGTGTAAGATAAAAGTGCTGAGTGCAATAGAATGCTCCCATATCGTCAAGAGAGATTGATAGCATGGTGGATCATTCTGCCGCCGGAGGGAGGCGGTAAGTTCTTGAACAGACCGGAGCTCCGAGTTACGCCCACTGTTGAACAGCGGAGGCGGTCATCAATTACTCAGTAAACAGTTTTTCCCGTCCGAGTTTCTCCCGACTGTCGAGCAGGATTCTGCCGGCCCAAGCGGTCAGGAAAAGAACAGTCTCAATCCCCGAGTTTCGCCCGCTGTTCGACTCCTTTCTGCCGGATTTGGGCGGTCAGCGATTGAACAGTATTCTGACCGAGTTTTCGCCGGCTGTTCAAATATTCTGCCGTTCCAAGGCGGTAGGAGAATAACCAGTTTCCACCCTCCGAGTTGTGGCCGTGGTATGGTTGTGGTCGGTCACGGAGCGTAGCTGCTGCTGCTTATCGATAAGGATGAATGTTGACTATGGACACGACACGACCACCTCTATCCAGGTCATGGCTATCTCACAGAATCCGGAAAATCCTTCTTCATGAGTTGATAGCCATTCCTTTTCACTTATTAGCTACAGACTTTTATGCTATCCCATATTAAAAAAAAGGTCGGTTCAATACGGTGTGGTTCATACTTGCCACGTTCATTGCTACCCTACATCTCAGCTAGGTATCTCAAGCCGCTAGTCATGGGTCTTCTCATATTCCCTGTGAACTGTGGACTAGTGTCTTGGTGACCGATGGCTTCCCCGGACGCTAATTACAAAATCTATCAAGGCTTCTCGGCGCATAGCTCCTCAAATACACCCTCCCAGATCTTGCCCTCCCGCCAAAATCCTTCAACAAGTGGTTGCCTCCCCGGCCGACCCGCACGAGGCAGTTCATTTACCCATCCCCACCGTACCCTCTCCTTCCACCCTTGCTCCTTCCAAGCGTTCAAGTCTAGCTCAGGCGACTGGCTCAGAGTAGGAAGATGGCGTAAAAGCTCCGGATCATGCGCGATGCAAACCAACACATTTGGCGAAGCGTCAATGCGGCGTAACTGGTCTACAGATTGCTGTGCGACCGCAGGGTCATCAAACACGCTGGCGTCCAAGGCAGATACATCATGGAAGGGGGTTTTATCTTGGTTGGCTTTTGTGATTGGGTGACGATCAGCGAAAAGACTACATGGACAAGGGACAGGGAAGAAGGGATCGCTGTCCAGGGTCTCGGTAGAGAAGTGTGCGGGGAATGGGACGTCTGCGGTGGGTCTTATCGCTCCGGCAAAGTGGCAGATATCCCCTCCGAGGAGAATAAAAGTGTCTTTGGTTGTGCGAGCGAGGCCACAAACATGTCCGACACAGTGACCGGGGGTATCTAATCAAAGATGAGACTCCGGTTTCGGACGAAGAGATCAATTGACGCACCGAGAAGATAGAAAGACCCATCCCCGAAGAAGTCGTGGGCGCGGTAGCCGGCGACATTCAGTGGAAAGTCAGGCTCTACTACCTCACGACCCTGAAATGCATCTGCTGGGACCGGTGAGTTGAGCTTCTCAGGGTAGCCCGGTAGTAGACTTGGATCTTTCAAGAATCCTGGGCCCACAATCAATGCTGTTGATGCCGGAAACTTGGATACGTCCCCGACGTGATCCCAATGGTAATGCGACCAAACGATGGATGCTGTTGCCGTATTAGGTCTCATCTTTGACGCATTGGAGTACAGCCTCAAACTTACTGATTTCTTCCAATGTAATTCCACTTTCAGTCAGAATCTCGCCGACGTCCTTCTCTACCTTGAGCGCGGGTATGATCCTGGTAATGCCGCTTTTCGCAACTGTGGGAAGATTCCAGTAATCTTTTCGTGTGCCAAGATCAAACATGACTTTCTTGTTCAGCGCTTCGCTCTCGATCAGGAATGCGACGTCTGTCATATTGAGAAATTCATGGCCTGATTGTACGGGCTGGATAAGAGTTTCTGTGCGAATGCTCATCATAGTGGTTGTGTCCACCATCCTCACTCGCACTGTGTGATTGGACTGTGGGATATCTAGCGTTTTTGCCATTGCTGCGTGTCTCTATTTCAGAGTATATTGAGATAGGTTGTGGTCTCGACAAGGATGCTCGATTAAGAGGAAGGGGAAGTTTATCATATAACGTAATCGGTAAGCCACCCGCCATGGTAAGCCACCCGCCACCCGCGCCCACCCAAACAGCCTTCCATGAAAAGATGAAGCTTATATACACTATATATCAACGAAATAACGTGTTTATTTGGTGTTTTGACGTGTAGGACACCTTGTTCTTATATGCCCAATTGTTCCACACTCGCTGCAGCGAGGTGGTGCCCGGCGGCGAGGTTGTTCCTCGCCGGCAGCTGATTCCTCAAGCTGACTTCCACCAACTTGATCAGCTTCACGAATTCTTTTAAACGCGTTTTTGATCTCGTCAACGGTGAGGCCATTTAGACCAGCCATCTGGCGATAAGACCTCTTGTTCTTAGTATTTTGCCTCTCTAATCCAGTTCGTAATTCATCAACTTCCTGCTTAAGTAAAGCAGTCCGGTTGAAGGCGATTTCGCATCCTTTTATAATATAGGATAACGCTGCTTTTATCTGCGAGAACGGACTGATTGTACGTTCACGAAGAAGCCTTTCAATCGTAGTTTCATGCCTCCGTAATTGCTTCGTGTTTTTGGGCGTTTTTGGCACTGTTAATGTAGTGGTAATACTGCCGGTTGGAGTAGACTCACGGAGCTGTATAATCAGCTTACCGAAAACCTCATCCGGCTGGAATGGAATTAATTCTGAAGTCTTGAAGGTGTTGCATATAGTTGATTCTTTGAAGGCAAGAGAACGTGCTTCTGGGTACGTATCCAAGAAATCAACCTTATTAATATGGTAGATGCCCTGGCGGATTAACCGTTCTACCAAGCTTCCGTACACTTGTTTCAACGGTGCAAAGCAAGCAACGTCAAGCGGTTGACAAAGATGTAAAGAATGTAGAGGCATGCAGATAGGAATAACGCCGTTTTGACTACATATATGGTCAAATTCCGGAGTCAAATGGGAGTCGTATCCGTTAAGAATCAAGAGGCTATATCGCCCAATCCGCCGGTCCTTAGTAGAAGAAATAAAGTGTTCACGAAGCCAATGTAAACCGATATCATTGGAAGTCCAACTATTTGGCGATAAATTAATACGCTAATTAGAGGGAAGAAGGTCTTGATACCATGCCTCTATATAGACTTTGCTCTTAAGAATTAAATACGGTGGCAACACCACGCCGGCTGCATTGATATACTTAATTGGAGTCACCTATTCTCGATTTTCTGGCTGTATAAGAAACGGCTTGCCCACGCAGGCAGTGGAATTCGAGTCACGTTTTTGGAGGAGGATTGTTGCTATATTCCGCACGTATAACGGTCGAGGATGAAGCCCTCGCTTTACAAGCGAGAGAATCCAATTCTTTAAAGCCTCTTCTTCAAGATAAGTCAATTTCATAGAGTTAGCACGGTTATTTGACTTTGCTTTAACTCCTTGCAGGCGTCCTCGTAGGGATGAACGCGGAATCTCAAATATACGTGCTGCTTCCGCTATAAAAAGAAATTCGCCCTTTTGAATAGCCTCAATCGCAAGGCAGATTCGGCTATCTTGATCCACCAAAGATTTTGACGATTGAGGCATTTTTGGTGGAGTTGTTGGTGGTTGAATTGCTTCATGTTGAAGAACGCGAGACTGACGCGCGCGGGTGGCGGGTGGCTTACCATGGCGGGTGGCTTACCGATTACGTTACCGAGTTCAAGCCACAGCTGGCTAGCAGATACAGCGACATCCAAGCCCCCAAGCACCTCATTCGTTACCTAACTATCGCTAGCTGTAGTGGCTGGTGATAGGCTGTCTACCGCACCCACCGCCTGCGGCGTACCGTTATCGTTATCGCAACGGGCCGATCGAGTCCCGGGCCTTCCCCTCATTTCCCCTCAAATGTTACCAGTCTCTCGTCAGTATACGCTCTATTGTTAGGTTCCCCCATTGAAAGAAAAAGCTCCTACTCGCTGCACCTCTCGATATGACTGGGGTCAACTGATGGCATGCAGGTGCTGAGTCACGGTCCTTACCACGTACTCAGATAAGCCTGCAACATTATCAGCCTGAAGCATGTTAACAATTTCCACGGCGGGCGCATAATGATAAACCCCTCTCTGATCTCGGTGGTATTCCTGTTGACCTGACACCCCCAGGCCACACATACAAGCAGATCCCAGCCAGTCTGTATAATTTCTATACATCAAAAAAGTTGACCGAAAACCAAGATGGGCTCCATCAACCCACCCAACCCCGTCTTCCAGAAGTACGGCGTACCGGACTCAGTTTTCCGCCTAGGGAGCAACAGTGCGGGACCGCACCCCTCATCCTCCACCCGCCCCGCTCACCATTCAGAATGGGACATCCCATCCGACCGTGGCTATGTCGTTTCCAACCACTTGATCAACGAACCGCCACCAGACCACAAAGCCTTCAAGATCATTATCCTAGGAGCAGGGGCGGCAGGAATAGACTTCTTGCACCATGCACCCGCCGCCCTTGAAGCCCTGGGCGTTGAGGTTGTCTGTTACGACAAGAATGCCGATGTGGGAGGCACATGGTACGAAAATCGATATCCCGGGTGTGCGTGTGACATTCCCAGTGTGGCGTATACGTTTCCTTGGAAGACTAACCCAGGATGGACGAGTTACTATTCCGGTGCCAAGGAGATATGGGAGTACATGAAACAGATCGTGGAGGAAGAGGGGATGATGCGGTACATTCGCTTGAAAACAGCGGTGACATCGGCTGTGTGGGATGAAAGTCGAAGCAAGTGGCTGATCAAAGTGCGGCGGACTGACCATGATGGACATGCGGAGGAATGGCAGGAAGAGTGTGATATGTTCATCAATGGATGTGGTTTTCTCAAGTATGCTCCTGGCTATGCAAGCCCTGTGCGAGAGAACTGACGTCTTCAGTGCATGGAAATGGCCGGATATAACCGGACTACACTCATTCAAAGGCAAGCTTTTTCATACAGCTGCATACCCCGAAAGATTGAGCCTGAAGGATCAGAAGGTGGCCGTCATCGGGTCGGGTAGCTCAGGTGTGCAAGTCGTGGCTAGCATCCAAGATGACGTATCTCAGCTATACACCTGGGTAAGAAGCCCTGTGTGGATCACAGCGGCCTTTGGGCAAAGCTTTGCTGGGAAGGACGGCCGCAATTTTGACTGTAAGCTGTCTGTCCAATCTGTGAGACTCTTGGTTTTAACAGGTAATAGACTCTTCTGAGCAAAAGGAAGATTTTAGGCTCGACCCGGAGAAGTATCATCGGTACAAGAAAGCTGTAGAGAACGAGTTGAATCAGCGCATCAAGCTCGCTTTGCGCGATACGGCAGAGTCCGACGCCGCCAATGCAGTAAGTACTCTCTTGCAAACACTTGCCTGGATACTCACCCTCTATAGTACGCATACAGCGAAATGTATACTAAGCTTCAATCCAAACCCCATGTTCGCGATGCCATCATCCCTACCAATTTCAACGTTGCCTGCCGACGACCCACACCAGGCAATGGCTTTCTCGAAGCTATAGCTTCTGAAAAGACAACCGTCTTCACCTCACCAATCAAAGATATCACTCCTCGCGGCTTCATCGACTCCGCCACAGGAACCGAGCATGAGGTAGATGTGATAATCTGTGCAACTGGCTTCAACACCTCCTACCAGCCTCGCTTTCCGCTTATTGGTTTAGACGGGGTCAGTCTAGCAGATAAGTGGTCTGACACGCCAACAAGCTACCTTGCCATCGCCGTCGACGGATTCCCGAATTACTTCACCTATTCGGGCCCATTTGCTCCAGTTGGCCACGGCTCCATCCTCCCGATCCTCTCGCATATAACACACTACCTCATCCAAACGATTCAACGCATGCGCAAGCAACATATCCGTCGCCTGAGTCCCAAGCCCGCTGCGGTGGAAGACTTCGTCGAGCATGCTCAGACTTACCTTCCTCGGACCTGCTGGGCGGATCCGTGCTCGAGCTGGTTCAAGCAAGGGAGGAAAGATGGACCGGTGATAGTGTGGCCCGGTTCGCGCCTGGCATTCTTTGAATTGTTGCAAACGCCAACATTGAGCGACTATGATGTTGCGTATTGGAGCGGCAATCGGTTCGGGTACCTTGGGTCCGGGTTTGTGGACGTGGAGTTTCCCTCGGGCGAGCACGATTTAACTTGGTACTTGGATTGGTATTCGGGTAATGAAACATGGAAGAAGAAGGGTATGGAGGTTGAAAAGGATGAGGTTTATAAGTTCAAAGAGTTAAGTGTGGGAGCCTTGGCTAATGAAGGATGATATGCCTAGATGTGTATCCGAACTGCTGCAGCTGAACTACTGCAAGTAGCATGCTATGCTCTAGAAGTTCGCCACCCACCAAAAACATGCACTCAATTTACAATCCACTGTTACTCTATCGCGACCTATCTACTGCTAGATACATGAGAAATGCAACCAAGATGTGGAACCCTGAAAGGGGGATAAATCATTGTAATCCTACAAACCACGCGTTATGCAATCTTGCAAAGCAGTCGCAATGACGCCCAATCGCTTAGTCACATATCCGAAGAGCCAGCCTCCTATGAGCTTCCGCACGATTAACCACTGAACTCAGTGCCTGCTCTGCTGAAGCCAACCGACGCCGCAGCCGATCCACCTCATCCATCGCAATAAACGCCAAATCGCGCCCCAAACACGGCACTTGCTCCAGCAACTGCGGCGTCAAGGCCCGGCCTCGAAACCCAGGGCCCGCGCGGTAGATGGTCTGACTGTGCAGGATCTCAGGCATGACGCGCTGGTGCAGACGCACGTAGTTCCAGGCGCGTCAGTCATAGATCTCAGCCATCGCCGCTGCGAGCCCGTCCTCGTCCTGACGTAGCGACCACAGCGCGGTCGAGAAGCGGTCCGCCGCGAGGGCTTGAAGACTCTCGATCACGAAGTATTCGGCTTGCGCGTACACTCTGGCGTGAAAGCACGCGGCGTAGCGGATCGCTAGCCTGTCGCGGTCAACTGCGTTGGCGATGTTGGTGTTAGGGGTACGTGTCACGGCGGTGTTCTCGCGAAGCAGGCCGCTGTCGATTGCGTTCAAGATCGTGGCACTACTGACGGTGTAGTCGCCCTTATACAGGAACTCGAGGACTCTGATCAACAGGTAGGGCGGGGTGTGTTGGAGGAGGATGGGTCTCGTCCTGTTCGTCTGTCGTCCTCGCGGCTACCGTCAGAAGTTCGCATTGAGTAGGGTTGGAAGCAGTGGATTTACCTCAGGATACGGTCTTGATTGATCAATGGTCCGAGCGAAGTACCGCGACTGGGGACAGATGATCGGACGATGCGCGGGGAAGTACTGCCCGTCGCATATGAGAGTGATATCGCTGAACAGGGGGTTCAGGAAGTATCTGGTTGGTAGTGATGTTTTATGTAAGTATGATTTGTTGGGATGGATTCGTCCTCTGGGGCTCAGAGTTCTTACGCTGCTCGCTCTGACACATCTGTAAGGAGAGGAGTTTCGTTCATCGTGGTTGGTTTGTGGTGGTGTTGTCGTGTGGGAGTTGATGTTGCGCTGAGTTCAAGTTGTGACCGACTGACAACTAACTCGGCGAGATGAGGGTAGGTTGTGACGAACCTAGAAGGATTCACATCATCTGTCACGATAATCATTTGCTGTTACTGTGATCGTAAGGTCTCTATATTCAAAGTGTGCTATCAAGGTAAAGTGAATAGTCCTCGAGTGATGATGGTAGCATCAAAGTCGATTTACGCCCTGCACGCTCACCAGATTACGCGAAGAAAATATTCTGCTATCTTCAGTGCTATATTAGGCCCCATATGTCAGCGCAAATACTCCTGCAAGTTTCTGAGAAGGCCACGGACAACTTTAGTATACAAAGATGTAGATGTGCGTCGACTCGTGGTAGAGAAATTAGGTTCTCTGGAAATGTTCAACCGAAAACCTCCAGGCTATAGTACATTTCGCCTAGAGAACGAGACCTGGATACCTAAGGCATCATTCGCAAGAAGACTATAAGCGCAGCTAAGCTCTGATTTCGCAAAAACCATGATTAGCTGCAAGATTGCATAAACTACTTCGATAAGTGCCAGCACTAGCCGTCATGTTTTCAAGAAGATGCATAAGTATTGTTCATTTATGTCCGTGGTGATGGGTGGAATGGATTGCCCACAGCCCGAGGCTCCGAGACCGGCTCCCGAGCACCGAGAAAGGAGCACTTGCTGCCTCACGATTTACCCCTTAAATTTTTGTTTGACAACCTGCAGTCTCCATCCATTATTGACCAGGCAAGAAAAGACACGAAACAGCACAGTGCATGAAGGAATGGATCTACTTTAGCCTGAGATTGTTTGGGTTCAAAGTCTCCGTGTTCTTCTTTTGTTTGTCTCTATGCTTGCCGGCCACGTAGCGCAGCTCCCGCGGCTCGGCCTGTATATCCATGCTGAGGCAGTCTGGTAAGATCGACAATTAGCGTGCCTTGAACTGCCGTTAGCCTTACATAAGATCAGCCACTATCAAAGCCAAACTTTTCCGTAAAACCCATTCAGTGTCTATGTCTCACTGAATCAAGGCTTCTGTGCTGTACCTAAACTTTTCTAAGTCCGAAGTGTAGTTAGTTGCTGAGAAGATAGCTGACTCAGCCGGATCCGAGCTTCCGGGCGTCCCGCGGCTGATCCGGGGAGGAATGGCCGCGTCTCAACCAAGCACTCTCACTCTTTCAGCGAAAGGATCATACACATAGCCATCCATCTAGTATTTTCTGCCAAGAGATGTCATCTTACCTGTCAGCATCTCGCCGGAAACAATGTCAGCGCCTATCGATCGCCAAGAGATTGACCGCGTTCTGCAGTTGAAGCGCACTCAGCGCGAGGCTCGAGCATGCTACCCGTGTCGCCAACGCAAGGTTAAATGTGACAACTCCCAGCCATGCCGAACCTGTCGCCGACGCGGCCACCCCGAGATTTGTGTATATGATCCGAGCCCACCGAAACATGGCAGCGCTCGGAGGGCAAGTCGACGAACTTCAGCTACTGCCTCAGCTACTGCCTCTCGCGACTCCCACCCACTCCCCGCATCACAGGATGCATCCAATCTGGGGTACCCGTTACAGCCACTGGCACAGACACCTGCTCCAAGCCAAACAGTTCTGCCCCCCTTCTCACATCTGCAACAGATTGACTCATCTCGGAACTATCCGCCTGATGGCCCTGAAAGTGAATTTGTGTACTCTGGTGATAATTCAGTGGTCTCCATCCTGCGTAATCGTACACATGACGCCAACGGCTCAATGGCTCGTGAGGTCGGCTCGGTCCTCGGTCTCCAAAATACCTACCATAGTTATCCGTTCATGGAGTTCAGAACCCCCGGTGATCGATGGAGAGAACTGCTTCGCATCCTCCCCCAGCGCGCCGAGGTCCTGAAGTAAGCATTCAAAAGTCTCAAGTTGTCACCTTTTCTGACCGTGTACAGGTTCTTTCACTTCTATCGCCTATCGGCGTACCCATTTAATCCTATCCTTGTAGATATCGAGCGGTTCGAGCTGGATCTCTGTTCATATCTGAATGCATTGGCCAGTGGAGAGCTACAAGATCCCTCTCGCATTTCCGACCGCTGGGCTAGCGAAAAGTCGGTTGCTCATATCAGCCTGCTCCTCGCTACTCTGGCCGCTGGAGCACACTACTCCGACCTGGAGCATATACAGCGCTCGGAGCTGTGTCTCGACTTTGGTATGCACCTCTTACGCACATCTTCAGTTGTCTGTCATGATGAATGCTAACTTCTTGAAGCAAGGCGCTCCTTCCAAGCTTTACGCCTAGCGAATTTCCTCTTCCGACCAACGTTCGACATTATCCAGTCTCTGCTCATCCTCGGAAACACACTGCAGAATACTGGTCAATCAGATTCGGCTTGGGCGTTACTTGGCAGCACAGTGCGTCTAGCTCAGACCATTGGACTTCACACCGAAAAGAGCGTCGCCCATTTGCCAGATCATGTCAAGTCCAAAGCGAGAAGATTATGGTGAGGCACACCGGAACAATCACAGATTGAGAGCTAACATACTACAGGTTCACAGTTGTGTGGCAGGACAGCCTCTTATGCCTTTGCTACGATCGACCTCCAATTGTCACCGTGACCGGCTGGTCTCTCGACGATTCTGCTTTCTCGGGGAGGGAATTAAATTACATGGACATGATGCATTTTCTTTGTCGGATCGCCTTGGATATACTTACGGCTAGTGAGATGGAGATGCAACAGCCTTCTCGGTTACTGGACATATTGGCCACGGTGGACAGAGTTTGCCAACGAGCGCAACCTCACCTAAAGAGCCTGCAAGAATGCAAAACGCTGCAACACAACCTGGAGCACTTGGCCTTGAAGATGCACATTGCTTTCGCAGTCTCCGTCGTCACTCGACCGGCACTCAAGCGATCTGGAGTCCGGGATTCGGCCCAGGACATTCTGCGGATGCGCGCCAAGTGCAGTCTGATTGACGCGTCCAACACTTTCCTCGAGTTCCAGGCTCTCAGCGTGGTGCCTCTGCGGACGTGGTCCATGGTGCATACAGTAATTAGCTCGACTCTGCTGCTCTGCATTTGGGAGGAGACGCGCAACGATGCTGAGTGTCGTGACTTGCAGCAGAAGGTGATTGAGGTCTTTTCTGCCGCCGGTTCTGTGGGCTCGGTGGAGAGATCGGGCTCGGAGAACGGGCAATGGCTGTCGGAGAGACACATTCGGGCGCTGATTACCTTGCGAAACGCGGTGCGGACGGCACTGGAGCGGGAGAAGGAAGAGGGCGACGTCGGGCCACCGAATAATCCGGAGCAGGCCGAGACCCTCATGCCTGCATTCGGGTATGTGATCCACTGAACCATATCCACTTGTGGGGCTGACGGAGTGCTAACAATGGTGCAGAATCCCCAACGGCTTTCCTGATGTCTTGGGGCAGGACTTCTCGCCGATGTCCTATCTCGATTCAATTATGAATGGTAAGTCGAGTGATCGTTGTGCCTTCATCTTGCTAACGGCAGAAGTGCCCATATTCGATCTGTCCCAAGAGATTGATTTCTCCTGAGCCGGCTCCGACTGGAATGGATGACGTAGTTAGACCGTTTCACTTTACGGAGCCTCTCGGCACTTCGGAGACCTCGGAGTCTCGGGGCAGTTTGTCTTCCTCTGTGCCATAGCCCGAGTGAAGGCAAAGAAATATGTGAGAAGAAGCAACAAACTCCTCTGCGAGTTATCAGACGGATCGCCACGAGAGACGTATATAACTATCCAGGAATGCCTCATCGGTGATAGTCCTTCAAGCACTCACAGTCACTCATCAAACGCATACATTTTCGGATACATATTACCTGAATTCGCCCATATGTTCAGCTCAATCCTTCCCGGTACTGCTACACCTAACTCCGGTCGCTCCGCCTCTCCCCCTCACGACATGACCTCCGAACAAAGTCGTTCAGCGCACCCTGCGCCCACAACCCGTCGACGTCGCATTGTGGTTGCAATGACAGGCGCTACCGGAGCGTTGCTTGGGATCAAAGTGTTGATTGCTCTACGTCGATTGAACGTGGAAACCCACTTGGTCCTGAGTAAATGGGCGGAAGCTACGATTAAATACGAAACCGATTACCATCCATCAAATGTCAGAGCTCTAGCCGACCACGTACACAATATCAATGATATGGCGGCACCGATATCGAGCGGGTCGTTCCGGGCGGACGGGATGATCGTGGTGCCTTGCAGCATGAAGACTTTGGCGGCCATCCACTCAGGATTCTGTGATGATCTCATCTCTCGCACGGCGGATGTGATGCTCAAGGAGCGACGACGACTGGTTTTGGTGGCGCGCGAGACGCCGCTAAGCGAGATTCATCTGCGAAACATGCTCGAGGTTACACGCGCCGGAGCGGTTATCTTCCCGCCCGTACCGGCGTTTTATACCAAAGCGGCAGGTGTTGATGAGTTAATCGACCAGAGTGTCGGACGAATGCTGGATCTGTTCGATCTGGACACTGGAGATTTCGAGCGATGGAACGGATGGGAAAAGTGATGGGAGTTGTCTTTGGTCGCATTTTCTTTTTATGGGCGCATATACCTCTTTTTGAGTGCAAATGGGTTTAAGTTCAGGGGCGTGATCTGCTTTTACGGTTAGACTTTGGTTGAATAATAGACCTATTTTTGGGGCCGGACGGCCTTTGAGAATCGACGAACCGCGGATGATTTTCGCTACCACGAACCTGGATCTCCATGTGTTTCTACCCTTTTCGGATGGTCCGCTCGGAGACCCAAACAACCAACCTTGAATTCTTCACAACTTCCCCACTGAAATGTTGGGTCTGTGTCAGGAACAGCACTCAATCGGCTAAACGGCAATGCAAACCCGACGTCCAAGCCGACAATGCTGAGTCAATTTGACGAATGACTTGTCGACCAGCAAGTTTGGCAAGAATCCAGGAAAGCGCATTGACAAAATCTTCGGAGGAGCTCCTTGCCCCGCATGGAAATGATCACCGGCACAATGCATACAATAGCGGGGAAAGGGGTGCGGGGTCCCTCTCGTTCATCCTGGTATTCGGCAGTTCAGCCCTAAAAGCAGCGACTCCGTCTGGTTTCCAAGGCATTTAGACTGTCGCAAACCTCGGTTCATGTGTGAGATTTCAAACAACCGCTTCTTCAGGGTGCTCCGCTTCTCGACATCTCCACTTCTTGTCGGCTTGGGTTGTGCCTGGCGCAGTCTCCTGACCGGCCGATCGTATTATGCCAATGCGACTGATTTCTCGAATACGACGGCAGAGAGGGGAAGACAAGGGTTTCAACCGAGGAGACACATGGGCAAACAAAGGACTATGGCATCCTGGCTCTCAAGTGGACATGTCCGAAAGTGAGGACGAGGGGCTGCATACCAAAAATGGGTTCATGAAGACAAAATGGAGGCCTATATAACTCACGAGCTAGGTGGCCTGCTGAGTAGTATTGTTGAACGTTGAGGTTCGACTCTCAGGCAATCATGAAGGCCCCCTATTTCCTCTGGCTTGCCCTTTCGTGGGTGGCTCACGCGGTGCCCGCGCCGCGCGCCGCAGCGCCTACTGTGACAATTGCCAGTCCAGCTGCGACTGTCATTGGAAAAGCTGGCAATGTGGAAGTCTTCAACAACATTCCTTTCGCGCAGGCGCCCACCGGCTCACTGCGCTTGAAGCCCCCACAGCCGATCCAGACGTCGCTTGGGACAGTTCAAGCGACCGGGAGCTCCAAGTCATGCCCGCAGTTTTATTTCTCGACCAGCGATTTCCCGGCCTCAGTTCTGGGTATCCTCGCCGACAATCCTCTGGTACAAGTCGCCACCAATGCCGGCGAGGACTGCCTTAACATCGACATCCGTCGCCCGGCTGGAACTACCGCCGACTCGAAATTGCCCGTGCTTGTTTGGATCTTCGGAGGTGGATTCGAGCTTGGGTCGAAGTCCATGTATGATGGGACGTCGTTGGTTTCGTCTTCGGTTGATTTGAACCTGCCTGTCATCTTCGTTGCAATGAACTACCGCGTGGGTGGCTTCGGCTTTTTGCCTGGCAAGGAGATCAAGGAGGATGGGTCCTCTAATCTTGGTTTGCTGGACCAACGTTTGGCTCTGGAGTGGGTGGCTGATAACATTGCGGCCTTTGGAGGAGACCCAGACAAGGTGACTATCTGGGGTGAATCGGCGGGCGCGATCTCGGTCTTCGATCAGATGGTGCTCTATGACGGCGACAACACCTACAAGGGTAAACCGCTTTTCCGAGGCGGTATCATGGACTCAGGAAGCGTTGTACCGGCTGATCCAGTTGACGGGGTCAAGGGACAAGCAATCTACGACACCGTCGTCTCGACTGCTAAATGCTCTTCTTCCAACGACACACTCGCCTGTCTTCGAGACCTGTCGTACGACGAATTCCTGAATGCCGTGAACTCTGTGCCTGGGCTGCTGAGCTACAGCTCCATCGCCCTGTCGTATCTCCCACGGCCGGACGGAAAGGTGCTCACCGCATCTCCAGATGTCCTTGGCAAGGCCGGCAAATTCGCGCAGGTGCCTTTCATTGTGGGCGACCAAGAGGACGAGGGAACACTGTTCGCCCTCTTTCAGGGCAACATCACCACAACGGACGAGCTAGTCAAGTATCTCGCCGACTATTTTTTCTATGACGCCAGCCAGGAGGAACTCCAGGAACTCGTCGACCTCTACCCAGACACCACGACCTACGGATCCCCGTTCCGCACCGGCACCGGCAACAACCTCTACCCGCAATTCAAACGCCTCGCTGCCATCCTTGGCGACCTGACCTTCACCATTACCCGTCGGGCCTTCCTGGCCTACGCCGCCGAGATAGCACCCAACCTACCGACCTGGTCCTACCTGTCGAGCTACGACTACGGCACCCCGATCCTCGGTACTTTCCACGGCAGTGATCTGATACAGGTGTTCTACGGGATCTGGCCCAATTACGCGGCCAAGTCCAGCCACACCTACTATTTCAGTTTCGTGCATGACCTCGACCCCAACGCCCACCGTGGCGTTTATCCGGAATGGCCCCAGTGGAAGGAGAATAGGCAGCTGTTGAACTTCGAGGCCAATGCGGTGGGTCTGATGGGGGATACGTTCCGCAACGGCACGTATGATTTCATTTTGGAACATGTGGATGCTTTCCATATCTAGCCATGTTGGTTGATGTGTGGTACATATATAATTTTGGATAAATAGTTGATAATGAGGTATAATGAGAAACCTTTGGCTGAGAATTTCAACTTGAGAGATACGGCGTGATCTCACGAACAACGTGAATGCCCCAGAGGGGCTGTGAAAATCCAGTTGAAAAGAAAGGAATCAGGCGTTGGCCTTTTTGGGTCGTCCGGCCACGTGATCTCGAGCAAATCTCCAGGCAGGATTCTCCATTTGCCTCCATGGGTTTCATCAACCATTTCACCAACCTTGAGAGGTCAAATTGCTTATTTTCTTGATCCTACTGTAATTCATGTCAACAAGCCCAAACTGGTCCCCAATAGTGCATGTAAACTCGAGAAACAGGCGTGCTGATATCGAAAAAGATAAATTGTCGGGATATCAAGCTTGACTCTCCTCGATGCACAAGCTAACCAAGTCATCTACCCGATCCGCGATCCCCCAGCTCAACTTATACCCGCTTGGACCAGCTCCATAGCAATGAACCACCGGGACCGACTCCTGTTCGTTCTTCATACCATTTTCAGCTGTATCCTGAAAGACAAGATGACCTTTCTCTAATCGCAGTCCACCATGTCGCATCGGACGTCGAGCAATATACACCTCGCGAACATCGAATCCCAGCGTTGGGCTGGTGCGATCCTCTTGGCCCCCGAGTAGTTCCGGGCACAGTGCTGCAGCTCTCGAAAGGATAGAAGTTGTGGCATTATCGGAGATGACATGCGACCTGAACCATCAGCACTAGACAAAAGAAGCAAGCGATGCACGTACCAATTATTCGGCTCCTTCGTCCCACCTATAATCGTGCCCCCACCAAGGGGCCTAGGGATAATGACGGTCGTCGATCCATCCGACCAATGATGGCTCACAGTCTTGTCACAGCGATTAGCAACCGCAATAAACTGCCCTCGAGAGGGGTACGACTGCGGATCATCGAAGCCACGCCCACTGGCGTTGACCACCGCAAGAATCCCCCGATCCTTGTGGTATTCCTGTTCCCGATACACGAAGACCGCCTCCTCAAGCGCTACCAGATCCCGACAAATGAATTGGACCCCGAGCTTCTCAGCTTGGCGTTCCAGCCATCGTAAATACATAGGCGAGTTCAACACCCAAGCGGTATACGTCACTCCAAGCTTGATCGACTCATGCCCCTGTGGGTACTCCCGGGATTCGAGAACGCGGAAGCCGGGCCACGAGGCGTAGCCGTTTTCCTGGGTCAGCTTCGGGTCGAAGTAGGCCGGGTCCGCCACGTCGAAGAATTCCACGCCAGGGACGAATTGTATGCTGGCCTCGGGATGGATTGCCGACAATCGTTCAAGCTCTCGGTAGGTTTCTCGCATTAGTGTCTCCTCGAGACGGTCCTCGGGTTTGGTGCTGGGGACAGGTCGGAAATGTGCACCGGCCCATGGGGAGGCATAGTCGATGTGGAGGTCGCCGGGGAATTCTTTGGAGATGATGGTCACGCGGTGGCCGGTCTGAGCGAGGCGAATGGCGCTGCTGAGGCCGATGACTCCTGCGCTTCGTGGGTCTTAGTGCGCTAGATTTCATGAGAAGTGCAATTAGGCTTACCCGACAATGATGACTGAGGTTCTATTCATAATGGCGAAGATGAAGATACAAGAGAAGAGGGTAGGCTGTTGTAGTATAACAAGGAGTGAGGTACTTCCGTTTGACCTCGGATGTGTTGTCGGTGTCTCAATTCGGTGGCCCCGTGACCTGCGTGACTCATTATACTTTTACACTCCTTACAACTCCCCCTACAGCGAGCATTCGTCTAGGCTTGATTCAGCTCGAATATCTAGATCAAATCAAATGTTATCTGAAGTGATCGCATGGAACAACTTAATCGGAATCTAATATCCGCTGAAACCACTCACGGTATACTTATCAATGCCATGCCAAGTCACAGTTGATGGACAGCGAGGGAGCCATAATTCTTATTTTCTAAGACCTCTTATGATTGTAGCATTGTAAGTACATTGCACCAAGCCGTCGAGCGATCATGGCATTCTTAAACTAGCTATGCATAGAGAGAAGTTGCTCTCATCCCGGCAGCAAGCGAAAAGTTGGATATTGTGGAAAGAAGTCGAGAACAAGATGGGCTCTTTGAGCAAGACATTCGAGCACAACCAGTTATGTTTTATAGCACCCTGCGAAATATGCTTGCGCGATATCACCATGGCTTGACAGCGAGAGCATGCACCAGATCCGAATCACATTTGCGGAAGAGTTATCTGAGTGCCTAGCATCCTCACACTTCACGAAGACAACCCCAGTTGACATCTCTCGCAATGCGGGGAGTCAAGCTCGCTCTTGTTGTAATTCCTAATCTGCCCACATTTGAGACAAGTGCCTTTCAACACAAAGTCATAGCCATTATACACATCGGCCAATTTGTACCCCATCACCGCCTGTTCGAGCCGATTGAGCAGGGCCGCCTTCTCGTTCGACAATTCCTTGATTTCGCCCTCCATGTCTCGTTTTCTATTCTGCGTCAAGCGGAACACCCGTCTTGATAGGTCGTTTGCAAAGAACCGGGCCGGGAACTCTTGATGAAGAAGGTCCTCCAAATGATCGAACACAATTGTGGCCATCTTGCTACGAAGAGTTTCATCGTTCACCTCGAAGGCTAAATTGACGGCCTCTGCAAAGCCTTCGGACGACCATGGTATCTTGAGGACCTCATCCGACTTTACGAGAATGAGCTTCTGCAGCGGTTGAATATCGAAGTAATCCGCAATTGCAGCAACACGGAGGTGGGACATCAGTGCTTCGAATAAAATAGGGTGGTTTTTTAAAGTAACAATCCCTGTCTCAGTCAGCTCACTCGCTCTGTTTCCAATATTCCGGACGGTCACCGAGGTAAGACTGAGAACAGCAAAAGAGAAAGAGTGAAGGGAAATGTACCGTAGTCATCACGCGTCTCGTGCTCTGTGGTGTAGTCTCCGGTATAGAGGTATTCCCTCAGAAGTTCCACAGTGGATGGTTCAAATCCGTCGATGGAGTATACGCGAGTGGATGTCTCCTTTGGGTTGACATTTAAATTGAGAGTTAACGTAGCTCGTCTATTATAGAGACTGACTGCACTCACCTTGAATCCCCTCTCACAGGCAGCCTTGATGGCGGCGACTTGCGGGTAGACGATGACACGGTGGATGGGAAACTCGATACCAGCGCACTCTAGGGTCAAGTCCGTGTACTCCCCCTGTTTGGCCGACTCGTATTGAGTGACTTGTAGAAGGCTCGGCAACATAGTGAACCTTGTATATCCGTAGATATCAAACCGAGAGGTCAAAGCGGATGATTCGAGAGTCGTCGTTGGGGATGGCAGTGGTATGTTCCAGCCTGGTGGGTGTAACGGGTTGCGAGTCGAGCCACGCTCGCAAGAAGGAAGAAGATCCTCTTAACCATCCCAGGAAATATGAAAAGAGCCCCAGGGTGATGTGAGAGTGAGGTGATGACCGATTGAACTATCATGGCGAGGTTTCCTGGGTCAGGTTATGCTGAGTTGTGACGGACAGGAGAACGAAACATAGTTGCGCGCCAAAACTTGACAAATGCTTCGGGAGGACCTTTTAAGAGTCTTCTAGACCTTTGATCGAACTAGGGTGCCTCTTTCATGTCAGTCATTGGTCCAATGCCTCAGCAGGCCGACAATGACCATTTGCTGCTTGCGTATCTTATCAGCCCGGAACCCCGCGCGATAGCAACCCTTAGTACCCGTATCAATGCATCTCTTATGGTTTCCCCTTGAGGATAGCTCGCTCTTGGCCGATATCAGTACTGCATGTACATCAAAGTTATAAGTATTGGCGACTTGACCAAAGAATGGCTCAACCTCGTATAAGCATTTACCAAGATGTTGTCAACGTGGGTGGCAGCGGCTCTTATACTATGTTCCTTCCTTATCAAACGGCTATATTCTCCCATTGCCAAAATACCCGGCCCATGGCTCACCATATTCACGAGCCTACCGATCAAGTACCATGAGTTCAGCGCCAATCGTCGCATGTACATTCACCGACTCCATAAGCAATTCGGACCCGTGGTTCGTTTAGCCCCGAACGAGGTGTCATTTGCGACTCTTGATGCCATCCGCGAGATCTACGCATCGGGCGGGAGCGGCTACGATAAGACTGAATTCTACGACATGTTCCGCCAGTTTGGGGTCAAGTATGCTGCTTCGTCTGGTGTGGGGGGTGTATTTGCTAATGCCTGCTAGAACTATGTTTTCGACTCTGGATAAATACTCGGTCCGTTACCACGTATTCCAGGAGGAAGAAAGCTAACAGTTAGCAGCATAGTCAGCGCAAGCGGGAACTGGCCGATAGATATGCCATGTCAAATATCCTGCGCGAGAGCCACGTATCGGCCATTCGCGACCGCGCACAGGCTTTTGTTTCGAGATGCACTACTGTGGCTAAGAGTGTAGATGTTTATGTACGTATCCTCAGTCAAGGTCAGGCTGGCGCTGACAGTTTCAGGTTTTTCTCCATTGCTACGCTCTTGACTGTGTGACGCACTTCATGTTCAGCCCAAGAGGGCTGGATTCTCTCACCAACGGGAAGGATTTCGAGATCATGGAGGAGTTGACCTACCACCATAGCCTGCAGAGTATGTTTCTCAGCCACAATCCGACAAAGTACTGACCTGCGCAGAGAACCTTCTTCACCACTACCTCCCCACACTCAGCCCATACTTCCCCAGCTGGGTCAAGCCGCGTCGCGCGCCCAAGACTAATGCGTACGTCCAGAGCATCACAACGCAAGAGCATCCAGACGGCCACAGTCTTCTCGGCCGCCTCAATCGGAGGGACTCTCCACTGAGTCACGATCAAGTAGCGGCTGAATGCAAAGACCACATGGCCGCGGGGATTGACACGACAGGAGATGGACTGTGCTTTCTTATGTGGGAGTTGTCCCGACCACAGAGCTGCGAATTCCAGGACAAACTCTACGAGGAACTGCGTACCACGGCACCGGACACACCGCTCGATAAGCTGGTATACCTTGACGCGGTCATCAAGGAGGGACTTCGCTGTGCGCCGCCCATCCCGATGTCATTCCCTCGGTATGTTCCCAGCGGCGGACGGACAATCGATGGGACTTTTGTCTCCGAGGGGACGATCGTCAGCTGTCAGCCGTATACTGTCCATCGTTTCGATGAAGATGTTTTTCCTGAACCGGATCGATTCAATCCGGACCGATGGATGGACGAGAGCGGGGCAACAGAGCGGAATCGGATGTTCTTCGCGTTCGGGACTGGAGGGCGGGGCTGCACCGGGAGAAAGTAGGTGGCCTGAGATTGTTTCTATTCCTCCTCATCCCTCTCGACCGCTTCCTTTGCTTTCATGTCATTTGACTCTTTTCTTTTCGTTTCTTCTCGAGGGTCAACGTAAGCTAATATCTTGCAGCCTCGCTACAGTGGAGATGAAGATCCTCCTGCGGGAGGTCTATTCGAGGTATCGCACTACGGTGGCCGCTGATATGACTGGGTGTATGGATATTGATGATCAGATAATCTCTGCGCGACCTAAGGGGCAGACATGCAGGTTGACTTTTATGGCTAGAGAATAGACTAAGTCGACATGTTGTGGATTGTCATTATGTCGACTTGCTATATACAAAACTCTAGGCTAAACCAGTGTATTTCCCTTTCTAGTTTTAGTTTAACAACCTTGTTCACACCTTTACCCTTAATCTTTGATACCTCTTCGGATATGTACCTACTATAGCTCAGGTACTAATCCATGAGCCATCAGCCTTTAAGCATCCAAGAACGTCGTCGAATTCCAATCGGAAGCCATCTAGAATTCACATCAGCACAGGGCACTGGCATCTACACGAACTCCACTCCACCTGATGAAGATCACACCACCCGATGAAGAGAAATGTACTCACATTCCAAGCATCAATCCTCAAGATGGACGTCGAATTGATATCCGCCGCATGCGTAAGCACCCCAATCGCTAGTTAGCCTGTTAGCAATATCTCACCACGCACCACGCACAATGAGCCCCAACTCCAGCCCAGCTTGTCACCTCCCAATAGACAGATAATACCTACCGACGACATTATTCAACCAATAATACTTCCGACTGCCCGTCTCAAACACCAGGCGCAGATGCAGCTGCCCACTCGGCGACTTGGGCCCCGACGTCTGGATGAAGATGTCCGCCCCATCGTCGGTGCGGAGGTTGTACCGCGTATCGGCGGAGAAGATGCCCGTGGCGGGGTCGACGAGGCCCCAGTCGGCGCCTACATCGAGGATTTTGCCTTCAGGTTGTTAGGTGGTTGACTGATCTGGGGTAAGAGGTAAGCGGGGAGTGTGGAGGATTCGTACCTGATAGTCGTGGGCCGGTGAAATTGCCGCCGACGATGGGAATGGCCTTGCGGGTGCCGTGGGGCCCCGGGGAGAGCATGAGGGTCTCAGTGCATTCTACGTAGGCGGTGTAGAGGAAGGAGAGGGCGGGGGCCGGGGGTGGCGGTGAAGGAGTGGCTCTAGCGGCGACGAGGGGGGAGAGGGAGAGGGCAAGGGCGGTGTTTAGCCAGGTGGTGAGGGCTGGGAGGTGCATTTTATCGTTGCATTGACTTCTCCAAGGAGGTAGAGGGTGTGATTGAGCTCAATGTCATTGTGGTTGAAGAAGAGAAGCTGATATTTATGCCTCTCGATCCTACGAATGATGCCTCGGGCTGTAGGATATACTGTATTGCTGTATCTTAATACTGCAGCTTACGGTGCGTTCGAGGTACAAGAAGTCCCGTCTATTCAAGCCGAATGGAGAATTAGATGAAATCATGTTCTCCACTGGGGCAGACGATCAGGACTCAATACGGGGGTTCCCCGCATTCTAACCGAGCTCGCGCAGAGCTTTACCCCGCATGTCGTCTGCATGCAACTGAAGATTAGGTAAGCAGTAGCTATGTATAGACTATGCAGAGCTGTACCCTTGTGCAAGAATTGATCAGTATCACCGACAAGCTTCTCAATCTTCCTTCATCCAACCAAGACACCCGCCTCCCAGAAATACCTGTGTAGATGACCGGCCCAACCAATTCCACACCACCTACCAAAAGCCAAAAAAACCCTAGAGGGAACTAAAGCGTCGACCGAAACACCCCCCCATCATTCGAGCACGCATCCTGATCCGAGACGAAGATCCCCTTGCACGCCCCGAACACATTCAGCGTCATGGAGCAGTCCACCACGATATTGCCCTCGGGGTTGGGGTCGGAGCAGGGGCAGTTGTGGATGGCCCGCAGGTAGCCGCAGTACGCCTTCACGCCGTCCGGCGTCAGCCCGACGCAGGTGTCGGTCGTCAGGATCTTGCCGAAGAGGATGTAGCGCGTTGTCACGGATATTGGGGGGTGGTCTTGGGGTGAGGGGGTTGCGGCTTGCGTGGTGGCTGCTATCAGCGCGAGGGTTGGGAGGAGGGTTTCTTGTTCCGGTTTGCGGGGTGTTAGTGGGATGGCGGGGGATAACCAAATGGGAGGAAGGAAGGGGGCTCAGGTGTTGAGGGTTGAGGGGGATGAAGGGTTCGAAGGAAGAGTTGACTGCCAGGTGAGTAGAGTACTTACTGATCTTCATTGTTGATGTTCTTCCAAACTGAACCTCTTTTATAGTGCAGTAGTATAGGTGTATCGACTAGCAACTTATCCTTTGAACACAGTGATGATGAAGGGAAATGGCCAACTGAGAGCCATCATTAGTGCCAGTGATGGCGGCGGCTGTTGAAGTAGTATTATATCCCAGACCCCAGGAGACACAGCTGCACGAGAGTGGCATAGGCCGGATCGAAACATCGCCATCCCTGTTCGTCGCTGGCGGTCTGGAGGACCGCATGATCAGGACCCAAATCACGCTGCTTTCAAGTCGTCATAAGCTAAACAAGAGCATTCATTTAGGCAAGAATGGCTGGACAATGTCCTGGTGCACGTGGTGGAGGCACTAACCATCCACCCTCACTTCGAGGAGCTTGTTGCTCCTATTATTACCAAGTCATCAGATACAATCATTCGCCTTGCGATGGCAATCCTCCAATTCTGAGTCGTAAGGAGAAGTCATGCGATGTTTCTCCAGACATCATACCACGAAGATCGTTGTCCTTGGCATGCATGACTCCGGACCGCTCTACGATATACCGATCATAGAGCGGGTCATACTGCGCATGAGGAGACTTGCAACTTAAATACCTTGCTATTTGATCCGATAACGGACTCTTCATACTCAGGGGCTGATTTGTCATAAGAAGTTTCTGTTAAGCACATACACATGTTCCACATTTGTGACTCTAGTCAGGCCCTTTCCAAATGGGTCATCTTATCATGTGACCATTCTAGAAGAATAAGCACTTCCGCTCGCAGGAAAGTCACAGCAATGTATTATTGAGCCAGCAATAACGACCCACCTGGTGGTATGAATAGAATGGACCTTCTTTTGACACCGCTTCCAGCAACTGACTCAGCCACCTCCTCGTAACCTTAAAACTCGAGCCCATGAACCATTTCATTGTCAAAGACGGCAGCACCACGAACCAAGGGGCGACCGGGGTATACGGTTCCGGCCCGTATCTAGTCCCTGATCTTAGTCCCGCATTTGGATATCTTGCCACGGCGTCGGGCTCGGATGTTGTATCCGCAGGACCTGGCAATCTAATTCGAACCTTTTCTCTGCAGTCAATTACGCTTCGGACAACTTCGATATGGCGATTGGTATCTCATTAAAGTCGAGGTCAGAACATTAACAAACACCAAATGTACCCTAAACATCCCAAGGAAGGAGCATGCTAGGTATCCTCCCCTTTCCTACAAACCAGAAATTGACAGAAGGTGACACATCAAGCACTCAAACAACAACCGGATACAGCAACATAGAGAAAACAAAAGAATCATAAGCAGAAGGGAAAAGGGAAAGAAACCAAGCAAAGGAGTTCCACACCCAACCCCGCCAATCCACCAGAAATCCACTCATGCTCTACCGATTTTAACACTTGGGCAGTTTTACCGATGCTATTCCACACGTACATTAACCCCGGTTCGGCAAAAACAAAACAGGGAGAGGCAACGTACCGAATCCAGAGCATGGCTGCACAGCGGGATCATTCCGTCGGACCCAGGAGCTTCCAGCTCCGAATTGTCCAACTCTCATCCACGTCCTAGGTTATCAATGAGTATGAATGCTTTCATGAAGAAAGGCCTAAGGAAGCAGGAGCATACTCGTCGGTCAGGATCTGACACGTGAAGGTGACCCTAGTGTTCTTGGCGAAGGTAGGCCCGTTGACCGCACAGGGCGCGGGGAGCTTCTTGCTGACGATTTGCCCGAAGATCGAGCAGGAGACTGGACCTGTGGTGGCCTGACGGGCTTCGATCTCGGGCTCAGGCTCGGGGTCCGCAACGGGGTCGGGTTCTGCTTCCGGGGCGGCGAGGATGGTGGCGGGGAGGAGGGCGGCGAGGAAATATGGGGTAAGCTTCATGATGTGCTGGTATTCTTTGTGGTGGGTGTATCAATTTATGTCGCTGTGGGAGATGGGGACGATCGTGAAGGTAGGGCGAGGGATGTGGGGAACTTTATAGTCGGTGGTGGATCCTACTACTTCCATGGACTACACAACTAGTCACTCTGCATGTAAGGCTGTGCTGAGTGGAATCCGCTCGTACTGCCTCACTTGACCTTCGTCGCCGAGAAGTGTTCCACTGGTCAAGACTATACTGTCAAGATATATTGTAGATCATCCGAGGAGGCCCCCTGGTTCCGGAGCTGAGGACCCGGGGTTCCACCGTCTTGGCGGAACGCAACGGTCTGGCCCTATACGAAGTCGGGAACAAAAGGTGCGGCTGAGCTCGATATTAGATAATCTTCGCGTACTCGAATACTGATCAACGATATTTTTAGGCCGGAATAAGAATGCACAGCACGACGCTTGTGGCAGTGTATAGTACCGGTTCTGGCGAGAAGATACGGCCAAGTTTGTCACGGCGAGAGCCTGGACTGTAGTCCCGGGACTTCGGAACCTCTCTTGGCATTCTCCGCCCACTCTTGGCTGCTCGTATATTCCCTGTCAGTTACCATAGGACCATAGGATATCCGTGATTACACAGCATCTCAACAATTGTGGGTAGAACAGTTGTGCTCTCTGAGTCTACGATCATTGGCTTCATGTTATCCCCTGCAGCTGCAAAGTGACTGTTGAATAAAATTTTCAATTGTAAATGAGTGTATCGGTTAAGCTATCTATAGAACCCAATAGCCCTCCATCGATTTTCATCATCCTTGTCTGCAGGCAGCAAGCTCAGACAGCAACCTTAGCAAGGTCAACCGCAATGCAGTCGGTAGGAAGCGCGGCACCGGAGCGGGTGGCGTAGATCATGTAGGTGGGCGGACCCGCGGCGTACAGAGACACGTGAGGACAGGCGAAGAACTGACCCTGGCTCCATTCAAGGGCGTTGTCGCTGCCCGTGGTGAAGCCCTGGGTCAGACCTCCGGCGGCGATGCCGTCGGTGCTCTTGAGGTCGACATGGCCGTCGGTGCCAACGTCGACTGATTTCCTTGGTCAATACACGAAGAGGCGAGAAGGGAGTGATAATGTGCAAAACTCACCGACATCACCGTTCTGGATGCCCAGAGAACCATTCCCACCGGTGAATTTGATCCCATGTTCACCTGCAGGAGCCAGGATGAAGGCGTCGCCCTGGCTGATGAGGGCGCGGCCCTTGAGCTCGGTGGCGCGGGACTGAGCGTTGCTGATGGAATGATGAGAGAAAAGATGATACCTTACTGCCCTTTTATATGTCGCAAGTCCCACCAGGGTTGTCATCTTCTACACCCTTCATTACAAATCCAGCTCTAGGTCAGAAGATTGCAAAGTGGAGTAGTGCCATATTAATCCACCAAGGTTCTCACAATGTTTCAGATGCCATTGACAGATGATACTAGCAAGCCACCCTATCACCTTCTACTCATTTGCAGCCAGGGTCCTTAGAGTGTCTCACCTGTTGTGGAGAACTGACCAAATCAGACTAACTATTGCTCTACGCATATTAACTGACAAGGTGCTCAATCATGCTTTTACCTGAGACATGATGTCAAGAACTGTGTATCATAGGGTCCTATAGACAGGTTCGCGATCATGTCAGCAAGACCCATCTGGGAACGAATCAGAGCCCCATCCGGCAGTTACAACGGTCCAATGGGCATCATGTGGTAAGCAGAACAGCCTAGAGGCGATAAAGATCGCCTGGGACGACGTGCAGAATCTACGAGATGGTACGATGTGGATCCAATGGCTTTAAGTCAACAGATACACAACAAGCGAAACAGCAGACTCATGTTGAATGAACCAACCGTAGCGGAGCTTTCCGTTCTTTCTCCTGCTCAATCAAACCCCGAGCATCTTCCCGGCCGACACAACCTGACCCCTTCAAATCCTCCAAGCTCGAGGAGAAGCTGACCACGACAACTGCTCAGCTACAGACAGCTGTGAGCCGGATGGTGTCGAGGTTGCAAGTATGTCTCGCCCCACACTAGTTCTGGTTAATACATCTTCTTTTGCGAAATGAGAAAGAAACTCACGCGGTGGTTGTTGGGGCACGGAGCGTGATAGACGCTTCCCGGGCGCTTCTGCGCAGTGCACTGCTGCGTCACGCTGCTGCAGGTCTTTGTGTCTGTGTCAGCAATGCTTCTTTACAGAGTTAAAGCTGACTTGCCCCTCGCAGGATCTCCTGGATGGAGGCATCTCCATCTACCTCAGCCGGCGCATCCGCAACGTCGTCGACCGGGACGGCGAGGCCAACTCCGGCACACAGAAGACCGAGAAGGGAGAGAGAGATGATGCTTGCTTTCATGGTGGCGATTCTGCTTTATTGCAATTTGGACTAACGATGCGCTCGATAGGCTGACTTGCTGCTCTGGGGATGGATACCTCAAGAATCGCAGACGACAAGCGTCCTTTTATACCCGCGAATCTCCCACTCCGCTCCACAGACATACTCGACCACTTCATATTCTTGTCCATCACTGTGGGAATAGTGTTCCTGGCGGAGAGAAACTAATCCAACGTAAGCATTTGGCGTTGCTTGACATGACCATTCAGGATCGCGGGCTCACAGCCGTACTTCGCTTCTGTCGCACAAAACTCGTATACTTTGGGGGTTAAAGCCGCCCCCAAACGCATGGATGCAGCTGCTCACAACTCAAAACTGACTCGATGATGTACTCTGTACCTCTCTCCATCATGCTGGTGGCCACATCCCCGCAGTCTCGGAGGGTACAGGCACGACTGAATGGAACATGGTGGTGGGACAAGGCGTCCCGTGGCCCCTCGGATGGTCTGCAGCCGCCTGCACAACAGTTGCCATCGGAACAAATGGAAGAAGAGACTGCCAATCGCCTGCCTTCTCGAGACCGCGATTTCTTATTTGTGGTTGCAGACCGGACGGGCGAGAGGGCCGAGGATCAGATTAGGGCTGCAGCCCAGTCGACCTCCTGCAGCCAACCAGAATGGACCGTTGTAGGAGGCCTGTGATTGGCTGCACCTACTTGCATCATCGCCCTCAGAGGTTCTATTTAAACAGCTTGTTATCCACAGCAATCTCCCTCCCACTCCTCTTTATCAAGTCTTCTGAGTGCGAATCATCAGACAAGATGCTCTGCAGATACTGTGACCGGATCTTCCACTGCTCCACCTGGAGCGGCCCCCATCATCCCGATGCTGCCTCCTTGGCCGCGGCAGCCAGCAGCGGCTGCTACATCTGCCAGCCTATACTGCACGATCGATACCAGCATTGCGACTCCCTTGACGGGAGCTGGGGCTATCGCATCTATGTCAGCCAGGGCTACACCCAGGTGATCCTAGATCACCAGAGGGACGACCCGCAGCCTCAAGAAGGCACCCCATTCTGCTACATTCTGATAGCCATCCCAAGCGCCACCATCCCATTCAATCCCGTCCCCTGCCTTAGGGACCCTGCCGCTCGGATGCGCGATGCTAGCACTGCGGTGGAGAACTGGATGAAGCGCTGCCAGATTGAGCACGCTTGTGCTCGGATCTCCCAACCAGAGTACTACCCATCGCAGCTCTTGGAGACATCGGGTGGTGATAACGTCCGCTTTATCACTTCAGTCGAGACCGGACTCAAGAGACCGTACGCGGTGCTAAGCTTTGATTCCTCCACGACAGAGAAAGGGGAATGGTTCTCTACTGTGGAAGCTTTGCGCACCACTGGCGTGCGCATTCCTGATCTTCCAGCAGCGATCAGCGAAGTCATCACTCTCCTGCTTTCGATTGGAATCAACTACGTGTGGATTGAGCAATTGTGCCGTCGACCAGCGGATCAGCTTGATCAGAGCAACGTCGAGCACGAGAAGCTTCGTCTCTACTCCAACGCTGCCCTCACCGTTGCGGTGTCCACATCCGAAGATCCCGCGCAAAGCGTCTTCAGTAATTTCCCAGCAACCTCGCACGTCCAGCGCCTCCCCTTCCAGGTCACCAATGTGACTGGAGTTATGAACGAGGGTTTCATAAGCAACAATAAAGATGATGGTGATCACTCCCCAAGCTCAGACCTCACCATCATCCCCTGGACATACCTCGCGCAAACCCTACACCACCAGCGCAACTCCTCCGTATCAATCCAAGATCGCCTCGCCACTCCCCGCCTGCTGACGATTTTCTCCTCCGCTGCAGAAGTCTTCTGGGAATGCACCTGCCTCACCCCCGCTAGTGAGACTTTTCCCAGTGGTATTCTCCCTTATCTCCCGCCTTCCCTTTTGACGGGAGCGGACCGCTTCCCCCATCGGGACACCTCTATCCCTACTGATGCGGACTGGTCCACCCTGCTGAGCCTTTGGTATAGGGTTGTGGACGAGCACACTGCTACCTTTGCTGATGCAGGAGGAAGGATGGACTCGGAGAAGAAGTTGGCGGGTTTGGAATGGGTGGCCGGCGAAGTGGGGAAACGGATGAAAGCCATACGGATCTCTGAAGTCGAGGACGAGGGGGATATTGCAAAACGGGAGGAGGCAGCAGAGTATCTGGCGGGACATTTCTGGGGATCGATGCCTTTGTCGCTCGGCTGGAGGGTTGGTGGTGCAGGTGTTAGTGAAAGTGCTTGTGGAAAGAAAGACGGTGGCATGCCCAGTTGGAGTTGGGCGTCTGTTCAAGGAAGAAGAGTGCTTTCCCCGCAGGAATTGGGGGTAAGGGATGAGCAGCGGTGTCTGGCTGAAAAGGTGGGATATCATCGAGACTCACCAGAGGGAGAGATCATCAGGCTCAGTTTGAGGACATTTGTGCTTGACGCGCAATCGGTCTGTGGTGGAGGAGACAGGGTAAAGGTGACGGGGTTGGAGGGTGAGAGGTATTGGGTTGAGGTAGAATGGGATGGTGAGGATGAAGAAGAACCATCAACTTTGCGGTTGGCAGTGCTGGTAGAGGATGAGTGGCTGAGACAGTGGAGTGGACTCGTGCTGAGGTGTGTTCCTGGTGATAATGTGAGTTGTCGGAGGGTCGGATATTTCACGCTGAACACGGTGCAGGGAGATGATTGCGGCGAGGGGAGGTGGAAGGCTGATTTTCAGAGAGTATCTGGTGATCGTAAGGAAGTTGTGACTTTGGTTTGATTATCCTGACTGGTCTGCTTTTTCTCTCACTGCTTTTCGCTCTTTTTTCTCACTGCTTTCTCTCTTTTTTTTTCTTTTTTTTTATTCTAGTGGCGACGCAGATTTAGGATATGGAGGGCTGGTAGACTGAATCTAGTGCCCGTTATTGATTTCTTCGCTCCTCCTTCCCTGCAAAAAATACCTAGTAGGCATTGAGGCAAGCAAGAAGCGCAAATCGAATTATGCAGTAGGCACTATCTCCCATACAAGTAGAATGCCTCCCCCCACCACAGAAAGCAAGTAATAGTTGTGCCGTCATGTATAAGACATTAACTGATAGAGGCTTTAAGATTGTATTTCAAGCCTACGCTTCATCCAGAATGTGTTTGTCTATAAGCCAAATCAACCAAACACGCCTATGCTATTCTCTCTACTGATGCTAATGCATACTAAGTAGGTAACCTCTACCGACTAAACTCCGACATCATAATCAACCCACTCCGCGAACTATACTCCTCCCCACTCACATCCGCCGGCAACAGCTCCGCATCCCCGTTGGCCACCAGAGCCTCGGCCAGCGTACATTTGCCCGACACCCCAAACCCCAAACCCCGATATAAGCCCACGGTCGCCTGATTCTCGGGTTTGACCATCAACCGCACCCACACCTTCGACGGGAACGACCGATACGAAGCCAGGTACTTCAACGCCTCCTGACACAGTCTTTTCCCGAGTCCACACCCACGATGATCCGGGAGGGTGAACAGGCTGAGCATCTGCCAGAGTTCCTCCCCCTCCTGCCCTGGCTCTGCAGTGAGGAGGGTAGGTCTCTTCTGCCCCGACTCTTCAGGCAGGATAAATGTCTCGGGACTCAGAGCGCGCAAGGTTAACTGGCCCACCCAGATATTTTGGTCTCCCCCTTCTTGTGTACTTGATGGATCACGATTCCCAGTGCTAGGGGTCGCCGCACAGATGAACGTCTCCTTCCCCTCCAAGGCGAGGCGGCTCACCCATCCGTCTTCCGGGATGGCGGCTTCGATCTCGTAGGTCGAGGAGAATGAGGCCGGGGCGACGGACAGGGCGCGCAGGCGGAGCTGTTGGTATTTCTGGGTGGAGGCCCTCAGGGTATCATCTTTGGGGATGCGGAAGAATGTGTATTCGTAGGCCGGGGGAGGGGTCATCTTGGTTGGTTGAATTTTTTTTATTTCTCTGTTTTTGTTTTTTTTTCGTGCGTTTATCGTGGCTTGCTGCTCTTTTGAATTTGTGGGAGTTGGACACTAGAGAAGAGTTGAGAAGCTGGGATTATAATCTCGGCACTAAGTCTGTTGAGGGGGTCTAAATATACTTTGGCGCGATAAGGATCGCTTCTAATATTGGAACTATTAATGGACCTCCAGACCGCGGCAACTACCGAATCCCTGGCGCGCAGTGGGAGGGTGTGTGGGGAGTTTTGGATACATGATCAGTAATCATAATTCCGTAACCGGAAAATCGCGCACCTTTGGGATGATACTATTACTCTGATCTTATAGTCACTTTGCTGTGGTTGCCTGAGGCAGGAACCGCGTCAACAATTCTCAGACAGCGGTCGCGGTCGCGGCCGTCAGTCTGGCCCGACATGACAGCGAACAAGCTTTGAGCCTGCTTCCGTAGCTTGGTCTGGCTTCGTCAACCGTCTTTCTATTTTGAGTATATATTTCAGCTCGGGAATAAGTTTAGCACATACGACCACAGGGTGTGGAAAACAGGGCTTCCCGTCCGCTCAGCCGTACTTAAGCCACACGCCGGGAGGTTAGTAGTTGGGTGGGTGACCACCAGCGAATCCCTTCTGTTGTATGTTTTTTTCTTTTTCGCGTCATGAATAATTTCATCTATACCTCGATCGACTCTTCACATTCCCAAAACAACACTAAATATCCACCACGCCTGATGTGGCAGCAAGGTCACTCGTTCGCTTCAACTACGCAGCTTAATCGTCGACGAAGTGGGTCTCGAAGGAAGGATCTTTTATCAATGAGATGGAGAAAAGGAGTGCTCGAACGAAAGCAACAAAGACTGATTCGGGGATATTGATATTACAAAGAGGTGCTACACAAGCTCTAGTCCGGATTCCGAGTGAAGTTGAAGGTTTGCTGCTCATTCGCAAACACCGCCACGCATTCTCGATCCCGGAGGGCTTCTACCTCCATTCTCTCCCACTTGACAGCAAATTTCTCCTCGGTCTCATTGGCCCCCATGTCAACCACGCCATCCGCGGTACATAGCCCGAACTGTCTGACCCCAATGCCCAACTGGCCAGAAAGCCCATCGCCAGCCGACCACAAAGATCCGTCAGTGGCGACAGCTACGACATGCCGGCCACCCGCAGCTGCATGCTTCATTCGCAGACTATGTGTCTTTGCAAGCTTGTCAGGAGGAATGGTCGCGGGTTGAAACTCGAGAGCCTTCCTGGGATTGGCATCTTTGATGTCCGGCAATGCCCGCGTTTCGAACCCATCACATAAAGGTCGCCAGTGTGTGTGATCGCAGTAGCATAAGCGCGACCCGTAGATGGCTCTTTGATGGGCGGAAGGGGCAGTTTGTGCGGCTTGTAGTCGAGCCGTCTCGGGGTCTAGCAGGCCACGAGGTAATAGGCCCGTTCAAAATACGGGCCGCAAATTCAGCTTGCCCAAATCCTTCGTCATCGTCGGGGACAGCGGGTGGTTGTTCCAGAAGCTCGTCTCCCCATTGGAAGACTTCGCCTGCCTCCGTGAGCGCGGCAAATTCCGATGTCAACTGGATCACGGGAGAGGCAAAGGTAGCGGCGTGGATTGGAGGGGGGTTGCCGATGGGATTCTCCAGATTGGAGCACATGTGCTGCCATGAATCCCACGAGAGAACTGTTTTCCGATCATTTGCAAAGACCATCGTTACCGCTCCGGAGACCTAATCCGGGTTCCAGTCGCCGACTCGTCTTGCAGCAATGTGCTTGATGCCTTTGCCATCAATCCTGCGGGAGCCGGACTTCCTGGCGGTTAGAAGACTCCCATCTCTGAGCAGGAAAGCGACCCGTCTGCAAGTCGGATGATATGGATGAGGTTCTCCGTGCCCGCCTCCATTACCCCCGCTCGCTGAAATTTGGATAGAGACCCCCACCCAAAGTGTCTGAGGTCTCCGTCCACGTCGAAAAAGGTGGAGCCGGTATCGCAGTTGATGGGGCGAATCCCTTTTCCTTCGAGGACTTTCTTCGGTCGCAGAACCCACAGAGGACAATGCGGGGTGTACTCCAGGCCCAGGTCGGGATGCTCGCGATGATGAAAGGCAACGTTCCGTCTCCGACAAGCTCGTGGCTCCCCGAGAGAGCCGTCGCTGTTCTCACCGCAGGTGAAGAGTTGCATCTTTGTTAATGGATAAGATGTGGAAGGAGTTCGGGAGGAGAAAGGATTTCCAAGTTGGTGGTGACTACCAGAAAGCTGCACAGTGCTGACTGCCGCTTATTAACCAGGGGTTGTTTCTATTTGGTTTGTTTCACTACGCGCGGTAAAATTGTAGGCAGAAAGTATTTGCACACCCGCCCTCCTGAAATCTTTCCTTTCGTTTCAACACCTAATCAGATTCTCCCAATATTTGGACTATACCATTGTTTTTTGTTACCTATGTGGCTAAGAAACTCACTAGGCTCTCAGACAAGTTATTCAGACAGAAAAACCTTGTCCGCTTTGTCGTCCGTTAAGAACTATCGACTTCGGAGCAGCAAAGAGATGACAGCCGTTGCTCGATGAAGAGAGAAGCATTGAGGACGAAGAGGTTATATAAAAGATACTCAAACCTACGAGCATAAACAAGACACAATCTTTCATTCATCAGTATTTGAACGCCTGCGAAACAACTGAAAGCATGAGAATCTATAGCATGATCTATACAGTACAGCACACCTGCCCTCTTTCAATCCCGGTAAGCCGTGACAGGCTCCTCTCTGAATTCAGTCATCGCCACCTCGTCCGTGACCGCCAGCTCGCCCATCCCCAGCTCCGTCTCCGTGAACTTCAAATCTGAGAGACCATACATCGTGATAAAGCCCATGCCTACGACAGCCGACACGCAGGAGAAGACGAGAGCGATGATGCCGCGCGCCGTAAATCCGGCAGGCAGCCAGGCGGGCTGGGCGTTCTGGCCGGTCAGATCAAGGTAGTCGACCGTGTTCGCCGCCGCATTGCCCTCGTCGGGCACGCCAGCCGCGCGGCAGACCTCCCAGTGGTCGGCGGGAATAGTCAGTCGCTCCTGGACCAAGGCGGGGGCTTCCACAAAAGTCATGGCCAGGCCCTGGGCCAGGTGCCAGTCGATGTGGCAGTGGAAGAACCAAACCCCCGGGTTATCGGCAACAAACCGGATGACGAAGTACCCGCCGGGCGGGAGTACGAGCGTGTCCCGGCGGGCCGGGTACGCCGGGAAGCTGTCGGTCAGCGTTGTGTTGGAGCTATCGTACGTAGCGAAGGTCGTGCCGGCCGAGTAGTCGTAGAAGTCTGCTCCATAGGCCGGATAGCGCGTCACCAGCTGGAAGGCGTGGCCGTGTAGGTGGAATGGATGGGAGCCTGTGTCTTGGTTCTCTAGGACGATCTCAACCACAGCGTTGTGGTCTAAGACCACTGGGTGGGTGTATTCGCCATATACGGTTGCGTTGGTCGCTAGATCGCCTGCAGACATCACAGTGTATAAGGTGGGCACCTTGGGCGAAGTGTAGCTGATATCATTTAGGAATGCGTACCCCTTTCCGTTGATCAGGTTGTCCATCAGAACGGTCAGCTTGACCTGGATGTCGGGCTCCGGGAGCAAAGCCGCCCGATCGGACGGAACCAGACTCATATCGTCAAAGGCTTCCAGCTCGGAGGAGACATTAATGCTGAGAGTCGCCTCGGCGTACTCGGCCTGGGTGTTGTACTCGAGCCAGTTGGTCTGGTTCAAGACTAAATCCGATGGCACGGTGTCGAGCAGGACGGAGTCGGCTATAGTCACCATAGGGTAGTTCTTCTCAGTGGAGTTCATCATCGTAACGAGAACCGAGTACCGCTGACCCACTGCGATGTACAGTACCTCAGCCTCGGTCTCGTCGACATAGATCCCGTCGATCTCCACAATGCGCATGGTGTGGTCTTCGATATAGAAGTATTGAGACACAAAGGCCCCGATGTTAATCAGGCGCAGCATGTACGTCTTTCCCGCCTCGACCGGAAACTTGGAGTTCATCGTGTCGTTGACCAGAAACGCCTGCGGGATCGGTTCTGCTCCGGTGGGATTATACAACGAGAGGAACTCCGGGCGGATATCCTCCGTCAGCTTGTGGTACCAGTCGCTCATTGTGATAGTATACTCCTCATCGTACTTGAAAGGAGGGGTGTTGTCATGGACAATCAGCGCCTGGCGGTAGCCATCTGGATAACACCAGTCCGTGTGGCAGTGGTACCAGTAGGTGCCATTCTGCTCCACTGTGAAGTTATATGTGATGCTGGCCCCGGGGACCACTGGACACTGATTCAACATAGAGGGACCGTCCATGGAGGTCGTCCCGTTCTGATAGAGGCCATGGAAGTGGATGGAGGAATTGTGTGTCTCCAGCTCGTTGTACATGTTCACCACCAGCCGGTCTCCCTTGTCGACCTCGATCACGGGAAGCGGCCATTGCCCGTTGACTCCGATAACCTTGCGCTCGGCCAAGCCATCAGGACTCGCATTGACCCAAGTGAGATTGAAGTCATATGTGACGGTTTTCGCCTGCCCTAAGGCTGGCAGCGACAGAAAGAAGAACGCCAGTGGCCACATTGTCGGCGGCCCGATGCGAAGAAAAGAGCTCGCTTCAGAGAGGAGACGATGAGAACGGGAAGAAAAAATCAGCCCGATGTGATGGGTTATATCCTTCCCCTCGCGCCCTGCGAGGTAGCGGGATCACTTCTGTCATTTGCAAATTTACCATCGAGGGCGTATTCGGGCTGTTTCCCACTCCACTCTACGACTGATTGATAAGAGACTGCATCCTCGCTTAGACTTTCCCGCTGACGCTTAAAGGATTAACCAGTCCGCAGGTTAGTCCTCGACGTGCGGAGACTTTCTTAAGGATCCATGGAAAGTCCATGGCAAACCCTCCGGATGGCATGTGACAGGAAGGGGTTTGAACTGGTATGAGCGGGGAGATTATCTGATCCCGACGGATCAGATATCGTCTGTCGGCAATATTTTGCCAAGCTCGCCAAGCTCGCTAAGCTCGGCGATTAGAAGACTTTAGTCTGCCTCACATCTACTTGGTCGAGACCCCGTCGCCCGATCGGGTTATTTTCCCCTGGGACCTCGCCATAGCCATTCGATCCGCCAGGCGGAGGATATCGGAATAGAATCGTGCCGCTATACCAAACACAGCATGTTCAGCCTTATGTGTCTACTGGTATTATTATATTCTCTGTATCACTACCTACTGGGGCAGGATCGAATTCTCTTTAGGATATTAATTATGTGAAAGATCGGTTTTTGGATTGTGAATATCGAAGCAGGGGTCTAACGCAGATTGGTCTAGCGCGGATATCGTCCACGGAAGTATGCCCTGTCAACTTGGAAATATCTGGGGCGCCTAGAAAATATGGGAGTCGGATGATAGCTTCTCAAAATGAGAAGGTCTGGTAGAGTCTATATTGCTTCGCTCTCGTAATTGCTTCCTCTCTGGGGGCCTTGGCGCGCGCAGGAAAAAGGCTCTCAACTCCAACTCCCTTCCACTGAACGGAACATTGGGTATTTCATGGGCTCGGTGTTTTTTCGGGGACTTTTAGCCCTCGACCTAGTGAGTGCGAAAATATATACGTCCAATGTTTGGATGAAACGGGCCTACCGCAACAGGCTCTTTCAAGGCATGACACGCGAGCGGGCCAGTGGGCAAGGCTGCCTCGATATATCTCGCCATCTAGTCTGTGATGTTCACCAAACACGAAGGTCGATTTGCGTAAGCGAGGTGGTAGGTTATGTGCCCTTGTATGCTACGCGACAGTAATGAAGACGACCTCGAGGGAGCTGGTGGTTGCCCGGAGGCCTCGTTGGCTGGGCTGCTCACCGCCCACTTGTCACCCATTGCCTCTCAGTGCCATGATAACCTCGCGTAGGTGAATTTATCACTCATCCACAGTCGTGAACAAGGCCGTCCTCGCCACCAGCAGGATCGCTCGGATGTCGCATCTGGTCCTAGCCTCTAAACCACCCCCAACTACGGAAATTCAGACTGCAATGCTGGTATCATGCTTGTATTGTCACTATCACTCAGAAACTACACAACGAGTCCTCGCCTTCCCTGCTTCCTGCCAACCGCGACAAATCTCCAGGGTTCGTCTCTGTTGTTCTTACTTAGTTGGTTCCACAACAGTCTGCACCACGTCGTCCACAAACATCGAGGCCTGCACCTGTCGGACCAGGTCCTGCTCCTTCGAGTCCTCCATCTCCAACAACTTGCCAGCCGCATAGCTCTTCAATCCAGGGACGCGGGCAAGGAAGCTCCAGTACCGGTGCACGAGCGTCCTCTGGCCCTTCCGTTCCTCATACATCAGCCACGAGACACACACCATAATGAACACCCAGTAGAGATTATAGCTGATCACCGACCCGTAGGTGCCGGTATTCTGCCAGCCCAGGATCGCCTGGAACACGTCCCACCCGTTGTCGATCTCCGGGTTGCAGCAGTTGACATGCCACACGGTCTCCGCGATGTTGTAGGAGCCGGGCCCGGAGCCTTCCTCAGCCACGTCGCTGCCGACTTTGACCTGGAAGGCGTTGAACTGCAGACTCCAGACGGCCTTGGAGAACATACCGGCGGCGATCAGGTAGAGGACGCAGGTAGAGGCGATGAGAAAGATACGGATAGACATGACGTTACCACCGCGGTAGATACACCACCCAGCCAGGAGCCCGGCGAGGAGACCCGTGACCACGGGCAGGGGGAACGCGGTAGCGGGGTAGCCCAGCGAGACGCCGCCGACGAAGACGACCGCCTCAACTCCTTCACGCATTGTGGTGATGAAAGGAAGGATGAACATGGCATACCGACGAGCCCAGTCGCCGCGCAGCCAGCGGGTGCGGCCCTCGCTTTTGGCGATCAGCGCCTGCGCGATCTTGACTCGCCACTTTTGCTTCGTCTTGTTGATCCTCAGCAGCGCCAGCCCCATCACCGTCACGATCACCGTCGCGATCACGTAGAAGATTCCCTCCCACAGATCCTCCGAGTTGGACCAGATGTCGCTTCCCAGCCCGTAGAAGATGCCGATGAAAATACCCCCGATGATCAGGCAAACCACCACCCCGCAGAGGGATCCCCACCAAACCTGCTTGCGCAGTCGCCGATGAATCTCCAGGTCCATGCCCGGTTGGCCCAGGCATTGTTTCAGGAAGGACAGCAGGACCGACACGACGATCACGGCTTCCAGGCACTCGCGGAAGACGATGAAGAACACCTGCACTGCAAACACGTCGATCATGGTGACTTGCGTTGATTGGCTTCACTGACTTGGTCTTTGGTCGCAATGAGGGAAGGTGTCACTAACAGAAGAAATGACAGGAAAATAGAAGACACAATAAAGTAAGAATCTAAGCAGAAACCGGGTGTGTCGAGCAAAGAGGTACTGTGCAGAGAGGAATGTTGGAGTCTTATGAACAACGATTGAAGCCCCGTCTAGCTACCAAGACGAGGAGGTGTCTGCATTTGGCCCAAGTCACCCACCCGCCCCGAAACCAGTAATCCGGTTACCAAACACGAGACATCGATACTGGTATTTTTCAAAGCGAAGCAAGATAGAAGACAGCAGAAGCGAGAGAGACAAAGAAAACCTTCACGAGGAGTGGGTGGGGCTGGGCCGGAAAAGCTTTGCTTTGCTTTTTGGCGATTAAGATTCTCTAAGATTGTTGCCGAGTAGGATGGATTTCCTTGGGCGGCCCGGGCTATAGATTGACGGCGACTAAACCTCTTTAGGCCTCGGGGTTTACCTTGTTTGCCGAGCTTACTTTATCTGATCCGAGCCACTGCCTTGCTCGATTCGGAAGCTTGACCCGACACATGGATTCTTCCGCAGCGGTCCCCAATAACTACTGCATGGGTATTCTTACCTTAGTCATCGGTACCAAGAAAGAGGGTTTGTGGCAGTAAGCCGAGGACTAAACACCTTGTATGGACATAGACATCGTACTCAGACTTCAGAATGCGCCCTCGCTTCCTACACGGTGGGCCACCCGGGGAAGATTCATTAGCCGTCGGTGTTGTAAAACTTCATTCAAGTTCAGACGGAGTCGAGAGCAGAAATTTGCGAGGAAAGATGGTGAGATGGCGTGTTTACTCCACTTAGTCCGCCACTTGGCCGAGTTGTTTTGCTTGTCTAGCGAAACAGGAAATAGTCGAGGACCTTGCAGGAATCGTAGGCGAGAATGGCCCGGAGGAGGGTGTCGTGTGCACGCTTAAATAAATATCGCACCTCGGTGTCAATCACTTCAGCGTCTTGTTCAGTGTCTGGGTCTGTGGTGAGATCGGGCTGGTCTTGTTGTTTATCATGAAGTGGTCATTCTTGGCCATAGTCTTCGGCCTATGCTCGGTCATCTGGGCCAGCAACTTGCCCACCTCCAAGTCGTAGTATTGTTTCTATTCGATCTATAAATCCCTGACCTCGTTGACTTTCGAAGAGGGGACTTCTTCTTCTTCTTCGAAGACCAGCTCAAAGTCGAATAGCACCACCACATCTGCCGGTCATGGGGCGAGTATGGTCCGCAGAGGTGGACGAGGAGGCGGTGCGTCGACGACTACCAAGTACGAACCGTACTGTGAGGATACCATCGAGGTCACTTCTATCTACGCGTCGATGAAGGAGTATTGCTCCGCCAAGGAGATTGTCAAGGGCGTGGCGTACTGGCAGGTGCTCTGTGGCAAGAACAAGGTGGACCTGATCAATCTCACCGCGATCGACACCGAACTCACCCCCCAATACCTCGCCAGTCTGCCCGTCGTGGCCCCTGACACGTACAACACTTCGGTGGCTGTCACGAGTCCCGTGGTGTTGGAAAAGAGCTACTATAAACGGTATCTGCGTCGATTGGTGAGTGGCTAGCTCTTCCTTCCCAGATCAAACTCATTTCAATTCAATTCTAATGGTTGATGATGCACACAGGAAGCCACAATCGACGCCACACCGACGAACATTGTCTACGGATGGGCACTGATCGGATACTGGGGGGGAGTCATGGTACTGGGCAGTCTGTTCAATCTGCTCAGGGCAACCCCCTGGTCCTGTTCTCAAGGTCCAGGTTTCCTCGCCACCCTCCGATATTATCTTCGACTGCACCTGGTGATCCCCGCCACCATCGGCACATATCACCAGCGAGCATGGTACTGGTGTAGCATCCCCAAGCGATTGGACTCGCTCATTGTCTTTGGCTTCTGGGCGATCTCTATTGTCCTCTCATGCGTCAATCTTGGTACCTTCTCTGGAAATCCAACGTGAGTAGGCGCCAACCACTATTTGGCCTGGCTTTGACGAGACTTCTCCTGATCCTTTGCTTTCTTCTAGAACCCCCGACGTGTCTCAGCAGAATTGGGTGTATCTATCGGACCGGACTGCTGTCTTGTCATATGCATGTCTCTGCTGGCTTTGGATGTTTGGAGGCCGGAACAATATCTTCATCTGGTCAACCGGCTGGAGCTACGGGACCTTTTCAGTTTTCCACCGCCATATCGCTCTGGTGGCCACGCTTGAGGCTGTGGTTCACTCCATTGGGTACACCGTCCAATGGAACGTATACTGTACGTCCGGACCGTTGACACAAGGGTTTCTCTGTTGATTTCTACTAACAAGCTCTGTCTAGCTTCGGACTACATTCCTGCTTTGAAGGATTTATACTTTGTGCTGGGTATTGTGGTATGTTATGACTGAAGGACAATCGGGGGCTGTCTCGAACAAAAGGCTCTAACTTCACCTCACCCCAAGGCAACGATCATCATGTGTCTCATGATTGTTTTCGCGATTCTTCCTATCCGTCAGCGATTCTACGAATTGTTCCTCCTCGTCCACATCGCCTTCGCGATCGTGCTTCTATACTGCTTGTACATGTATGTCATCGCCCTCCCTTCGGGAGCCGTATTGCCGCCGCGCTCAGCTGCTAACACATACAACCGTCAATCAGTCACACGGCACAGATCGGGGCGGTATATTACAGTGGCTATCTCTGGCCCCCTGTTGCCATCTGGAGCTTCGATCGATTCCTCCGACTTGTCCGCCTGGGTTGGTGCAACGTCCGCGTCTGGTATGGCCATGCCAGCCGCACCCAGGCGGTGGTACACTACAGCCCCACCAGTGATGTGATGCGCGTGGATATCCAGAATGCGACGGTGCAGGGCGGGCCGGGACAATACTATCATCTATACCAACCCATGACGCTGAAAGGGTGGGAGAACCACCCCTTCACGCTCGGTGCGTTCTCCCCCGGCACCAATGCTAGCAGGCCCCTCGCCACCCCAGGGCAGGTAGAGGATGGTCTCAAGCCATCTGCACCGCAGGTGCAAGTGACCGAGACCGGCTCAGCATCACCCTTCACATCGACCCTGACGTTCTGGATCCGCCCCTACGACGGCTGGACCAAGCGCCTCCGCGACCAATGTATGCAACAGCCCGGCAACACCATCAATCCCGCCCTCCTCCTTGAAGGTCCCTACGGCCATCGCGCCCCGCTACACACCTACCACACTCTCATCATGATCATGGGCGGCACGGGTATTGCCTGCGCGATTCCCTACCTCCAGGACCACCTGGCGCGCCGACGCCGTCATGCAACCACCGCGACCGTCCAGGTCCAACTCCACTGGACCGTGCGCCAGCCGGCCTTCGTAATGGAGTTGATGCAGCGCGAGCTTGCAGACATCCTCGCGAGCGGCGAGGTGCAAGCGTCCTTCTACTGCTCTCGCAAGGGGGCTTTGGAGGACGAGCGTGTTCCCACGTTAGACTCCGCGAGGGAGAAGGGAGTCTCCACCGGCCAGAAACCTCTCCAGCTCTCTGCGGTAATAATCCGTCCCGGCCGGGCGCCCATTGACCAGATCATCGTCGAGGCGGGCGCCGTCGCCGCGGCGGAGAACACGCGGGTCGCGGTCGTCAGCTGCGGTCCGGCCGCCATGGCCGACCAGACCCGCGCAGCGGTGCATGCGGCACTGAAGCAGGGGTGCCGCTCGATGGACTACTTCGAAGAGGCGTATGGCTGGTAGAAGTGGCAAAGAGGGCAGGCTGGGTGGAGAGGAGATCGCTCTGGCTGGTCTTCCACCGAGGTTTGAAAATTGAAACAGGCAGATCTGCCATCCTGGCGAGTATGTAAAATCCTGCACTGTAGATCACCAATGACAATGGGTCTTTAGTCGGCTGGAGATGTAAGAAGATGTCTATGAACATGCAATAGAGTTGACCTACCGAAGTTGAGGGAATCGAGTTGAGGGAACATACTTAAGTGGTAGAAACCTGAGGTGCTAAAAGCACCACCCCGCCTTTGCACAATTTAGCAGAAATCACTCCATGACGCACACATTCTCTTGAATTTTCTTTTTACCGGGCCGGTTTTTCTTTCATTTGTTTTGATTTGATTTATGAATGGTGACTATACAGCCGACGGCCATCTTGATATGTGTACCATGGACAGTTTTGTAGCCAGACTTCGCCACTTCATGTACAGTACCGGGAGAAATCCGGGAAACCACCTCGGTGACGCCAACTACTCCTCCGCGACTGGATAGAAGATGTGCTTTGATTTGTAACTGCCCTCACGATCATCTGGAATACAATGTGCGAGAAGAGATGTCCCCAGAAAAAGAGAAGATAACATGACTCTCGCAATAGTGTGACGTCGACAGGATGTGGAAAGACCAGAGGTATCCCTACCCAGACTAGGTAAAAGAACAACCAGGCACACAAGCCCAACCCTGCACAGCCAACCCATCAATCACTTCAAAGTGTTGTGAAAATCCAAGCGCGACTCCTCCAATCTCAACTACCCTGTCTTGGCACTACCACCACTGGAGCCCCAGCCAGAGGGAGACCAGCCAAAACGTACAAGCAGCAGTGCACCACGTCGAGTGTGGATTTCGGTCTCGCGCGAGAATCCGATTTTCCACCACACTCGGAGCCCACTCTGCACCTCAAGCTAGGTTTCAGGCCCACGCATGATGGTCCAAAGAAAATAGACCCAGAAGACAAAGGCGTCCCCAGAGCTATGATATTCCGTCGGACGAGATCGTCGGGTCTATATCGTTCTTCCGCGCTAGGTGCATTTGCAGGTGACATAATGACCATAATAGGAGTAGGTCGTGCGCGACTGGCAAGCACTGAGCGACAGGGGCGCGACGGTGAAGGAACGCACGTTGCCGTTCTCGCAGCGGTGGTGCGGCCAGATGATCATGGTGAGGATCTTCTCGGCGAAGGCGTTCTCGAACCGCACCCCGTAGTAGGCCTGGTTATGGTTGTAGCAGGTGCTGCCGTAGCGGGTCACGAGCGCTGAGTCGGTGCAGGCCGAGTAGTCGGACAGGTAGCCGTAGTAGTGGTAGTGGGTGCGTTTCGCCAGCCCCCGGTGATCATCGTCCCGTCGCCCGAGGCCCTCATCCTCGTCGTGGATGGTGGTGCTGTTGGCGCTGGCGGACGGCCGGGTCCCGATTGGCGTTTGGCCTTGGGCGCCCTGCGCGAGGAGCCACGCGTAGGTCGCCGCGCTCGCGGGGATGCTGTTCTCCTCTTGGTTCGCGTCGGTTTTGACCGTGTCCTCGACGGCGAGTTGCATCCCCGTCATCACCTCGGAGACGGTCAGGCAGTCGTAGAGCCCGCTGTCCGCACCGTCCAGCGTGATGATTTGGTTGCTTCCCGGCGGGAGGATCACTGTCATCCCGGAGTCCACGTACACCCGGTAGCTGGTCTCCAGGCTGGACAGACAGGTCAGAAATGTCTCGGTGGCACCCGCCGGTAGCTCCGCCGCGCCATAAACGGTAATGTTTTGCGCCATCGCCCCATGCAAGGCGGCCGCACCGGTCAACAGGGCCGTCCAAAGTTGAGTTCGCATGGCTGCTAAGCGGGTTTACGATTGTTGTTGATAGTGCTGCGACACGAATTGATCGGTCTTAGTACGACACAAACTAGGACTTCAAGGAGGGGAAGACATACACCGTTGAAAAGGAGACAATGCTCTGGTTGAGAGAGATGCATTGTTTGGAAGAAAGGACGTTGAGCCTAGTATTTATATGCAGTACTCCGGCCATGCGCTGCAGCATGAATGTATCGTCTGTGCTATTGTGTGGTGTGTCATCTTGGGATTCGAGTCACGGTGGATCTGGAGTCGTGAAGAATTTGGGGGCCAAATGCAGTTTCTTTCTTCTCGTGGCCCCTGAGTACTATCCATGATGCTTGTATACCTCACCTGAACGAGAGTCTGAACAATGATTCTCCATCGCCCGGTTGAAAGGATTTATTGGTCCTCTTTCTTATCGGACTCGGTGCTCAGTGGGTCGTAGACCACTTCGCGAGACAGCCAATTATAATCCCACTACAATGCTGGTGCCTAGAAGATTTCGGTGTGCAGAAGTGCCAGAATCGAAGTTAGCTTGCTTTCCGTGGCGCTCCACTATCGAAACAAGGCTTGGTTAGCTTAATTAGCTTAAGCTTCCACTTGGCCGTGGCTGATGATTTGATGATCCTCCCCCACTTGCCACGCACATACGTACATAGTAAGGTAGTATGTACAACTTACTGTACATACTATCAAGCCGAGGTACAGCAACTCACCTGACCTAGTTTGGCTAGTTTCTACCCAACCCGACACACAACACCGTCAACATTAGTCACTAGTTGCTGTGCTTACCGTCCCCACAATCACTTTTTGACTTCACGTCTTCCCTTCGCAGGCACCACAAAAGAGGAATCAGAAAATGAAGATAATTGACTTACCAAGCGAGATCCTGCAACACATCGCAGCGACGCTCGATTCCGTCGCCGACCTCAACGCTTTCGCGCAGACCTGCGCCCGCGCCTATCAACTGGTCAGCCCTTATCTCTACCGGTACGACGGCCAATACTGCGGCGGGATCGCGTTATGCTGGGCGGTCGAGGGGGGCCGTCAGCAGACCGCGCAGAAATTACTGGAATTATATCGCCCCCTGCTGTCTGATTCACAGATGCAGTTCGTTGCCCACCGGGCCCTCGTGCTGGCGGCGCAGTATGGGCATCCGACGATCGTGCAGATGCTGCTTGGACTGGGATGCGTTGATCCGGACGTGCGACTGATTCCGAACTCCAAGGTGACACCGCTCATGTACGCGGCGTCTGCAGGCCACGAGGAGGTGGTCCGCGTGCTTCTGGCGACGCAGCGGGTTGAAGTGAATGCGCGAGACGCTTGGGGCGCCACCCCGCTGCATCGTGCGGTGGCGGCGGTGGCCGGGAGTTCTCCGAATGAGGCGGTGATCCGGCTGCTGCTGGCTACCCCTGGCGTTCGCCCCGACCTTCGCGATGATCATGGTCGGACACCGCTGACGTGGTTAGCGGGTCATGGCGAGGTGGCTTTGCTGGAGTCACTGCTGTTTACCCACCATGTCAACCCCCATCCAAGGGATGATGCAGGCAACATCCCATTGTTCGAGGCTGTGCGCAACGGGCACGAAGCGGCAGTGGATCTTTTGCTTCGGGCTGGGGGACAAGGGGATGTTGATGCGACCGACGAGGACGGACAGACCGCCCTGGCCATGGCGGCGAAAGACGGCCACGTGGGAGTCGCGCGGCTGCTTTTAGCGGCGGGGGCGAGTCCCGATGTCAAGGACACCTTTGGGCAGACTCCGCTGGTAAAAGCGGCGCAGGCTGGTTGGAAGGAGGTTGTGCAGCTTTTGCTTGCCACGGAGGGTGTGGATCGTAACTCCCAGGATGCGGAGGGTCGGACTCCGCTCTCATGGGCGGCGGAGAATGGATTTGTGGACGTCGTCAAGGTGTTGCTCGCGGCGGATGTCGATCCAACTCTTCCTGATCACGACGGGAAAACGCCTCTTGCTTGGGCGGAGGACTTTGGCAACGAGATCTTGGCGGACTTGCTGCGAGGTCGGGAATGATAAGCAATTTGATGAAGCACTTAGTGGTGGGCTGATATGGAACGACTCCTTGAATTCTTGGTGGTTGGTTGGCTGAACTATCTGAGATGACAACATTTGAAGGAAGTAGTAAGTAGCCTGCAAACCGTGTTGGATCACGTGACCAGCTTACCTAGGAACGCCGACAATATACTCTATGTAGCCAATGAGTACAGCGGTTGATTTGAATCTCTTCTCTCATTGATTGTAACTTTGTCTGCTACCTCCAACATCTCATTACTCTTCAGCTCTCCACACGCTCAATACACGAGTGCCACTGCTACATGAACTGCATGCTGCCGGACGTCGGGCCGGTTACCGATGCGCAAAGTGCGGAGTACGTGCGGAGAGCCCGTTTAGCCACGGAGTGGCGGGACCTTGCCTCACAAACTGACTGCTAAGTCCTTGTTCAATTTTACACGTCGCAATCAGGCTAAAAACACCAGGGGAAACAGTCCTGCATTTCGCTTGTCAACCAATCCACGTCATGCCAGACCATGTTTGCACGCAGCCTCCCCCACGCTCCGTGTCCTGCAGCGTTAGCCTCGATGCTTTCACTACAAAGCAATTCTCCCATTTTGCCCATGCCAGTGATCGAATTCGGCTGTGAAGAACAGCGGAGCATAGCTCCGTGGGCTGGGACTTAGACTGGCTCGTTGCCTGACTGGGTTGCCAAAGTCAAGGTATATAAGTAGCTCTGTCGCAGACCACAAGCTTTTTCTGGTCTGAGAACCACCACAATCACGCAAAAATGGTCGGACTGCTTTCAATCACCGCGGCGCTTGCCGCGACTGTGTTGCCAAACATGTGCGTATCTTCGAAATCCTGACATGATGAAATGTGACCCCGGCTAATCGCTCTCTTTACCTCTCCAGTGTCTCTGCCGTTGGTCTGGATCAGGCTGCAGTTGCCAAAGGACTTCAATACTTTGGCACAGCTACGGATAATCCCGAGCTCACGGATATTCCATACGTTACTCAGCTGAACAACACCGCGGACTTTGGTCAAATTACCCCTGGAAACTCGATGAAGGTGACTATGCCGTGTGTCTAGCTCATGGGATTGTTACTGAATTCTCGTGATAGTGGGATGCCACAGAACCATCTCAGGGCACCTTCACGTTCACGAAAGGCGATGTCATTGCAGATCTGGCTGAGGGTAATGGCCAATATCTCCGATGTCATACTCTGGTTTGGTATAATCAGCTACCTAGCTGGGGTATGTGTCCTTCGTCTATCTGTGGAGCCTTGTGAAGGGAATTGACAGGAATACTAATGACTATCGCGGACAGTGACTAGCGGATCTTGGACTAATGCTACTCTCACCGCCGCATTGAAGAACCACATCACGAATGTGGTGTCGCACTACAAAGGGAAATGTCTTCATTGGGACGTGGTCAATGAGGGTGAGTCATGCGTCTCCTTTCTCTACCCCCATCCGAAAGCCTGACAGGCTTCCAGCGTTGAATGACGACGGAACCTACCGCACCAACATCTTCTACACCACCATCGGCGAAGCCTACATCCCCATTGCCTTTGCCGCAGCGGCTGCAGCCGACCCGGACGCGAAGCTGTTCTACAATGACTACAACCTCGAATACGGCGGCGCCAAAGCCGCCAGCGCCCGCGCCATTGTCCAGCTGGTCAAAAATGCAGGTGCCAAGATCGACGGGGTAGGGTTGCAGGCCCACTTCAGCGTCGGCACCGTGCCGAGTACGAGCTCGCTCGTCTCGGTGCTGCAATCTTTCACTGCGCTCGGGGTCGAGGTCGCCTACACGGAGGCCGACGTGCGCATTCTCCTGCCCACCACCGCCACTACCCTGGCCCAACAGTCGAGCGATTTCCAGGCCCTGGTGCAATCCTGTGTGCAGACAACGGGCTGCGTCGGCTTCACTATCTGGGATTGGACAGATAAGTACAGCTGGGTTCCCAGCACGTTCTCGGGCTATGGGGCGGCGCTACCCTGGGATGAGAACCTGGTTAAGAAGCCCGCGTACAATGGCTTGTTGGCCGGCATGGGGGTTACAGTTACCACTACGACTACCACCACCACTGCTACTGCCACTGGTAAGACTACGACTACCACGACGGGTGCCACGAGCACGGGGACTACGGCTGCGCATTGGGGGCAGTGTGGAGGGCTCAACTGGAGTGGACCGACGGCGTGTGCCACTGGGTACACCTGCACTTATGTCAATGACTATTACTCGCAGTGTCTGTGAAGTATAGCCCAACCTAAACCTGCCGGCGTGCTTGCTATTCAGTCAGTGAGATTTATATATCACAATACTCAAAATTTATTGCTCGACCTCTGAGGTAGTACCCTGCAAGGTCTTTAGAAAGGAGAGACCAGATGGCGCATTTTGTATGGTTATTGACTGTTAGGGGAAGCCTCTTGATACAGTAAAATCGCTCAAGGGGCGATATCTACTCCTCCTTCTCCTCCTCCTTCACCTCCTCTTCCGCCGCCGCATCCTCCCCACGACGGGGCACCTCCCGCTCCCAGTTCATCTGCTCGGGCTCCCCGGCCTCGAGCGCCCGAGCCAATGCCGCCGCGTCCCGCCGCTGGCTTCGCCGGGCCCGGGCGTTGTTGGGTTGGGGGGCGGGGCGGACGAAACGAGGTGTCCCCGGAGGGACGAAACGGGTGCACGTCGCACGGACGTGCCCGAAGGCACCGCAACGCGTACAGAACTAGAAAGAGCAAGTATATTAGCGAACCTGAAGGGATTGAACTGTTCGAGAGATGTGCTTGCGCTTGCGCTTACCTGGAATTTGCGGTCCTGGTGCGGCCCCGCCTTGGGGCCTTTGCCCCCGCCCCGGTCTCCGCCCTGGTTGGGCTTCCGGCCCCCGGCCCTGGATGCTGCTGCTGCTGCCGCCGCCGTGCTGGTTCCCGCTGCGCGGGAGGACATATTCGGTCGTGGGGAGAGAGAAGAGCTGTAGATGTGACGAGGTGGACGAAGATGAGGTTGATGTGGACGAGTTGCGTGAAACGGACGCGACGGACGAGGAGAGGAGAGGAGAGGAGAGGAGAGGTGAGGTGAGGTGAGGTGAACAGGAGGGTAGGAGACTAACTAGAGCTCCTCCACAATGAAGCGGATCCTACCGGTTGCTGTGCTTGCATTCACGCATATTGACTAAGCACCTGTTCGCGGTGGTGTCTTCATATTACTCCTCGATTTAGCGACTGCTTACAATAATGCTTCTGGTGAATACGTTATACTTATAGCCACTTTTCTCCAGTGATACTTGAGTGAAGTAGTCAATATAGATAAGGACAGGTATAAGGAAATGGTACCATTCACAATGTCATAAAGTAAATCTGTGCTTGATGCTTGAATGATAACGGTATCCAATAGGATCGTATTCATCTGGAGTCTTAATTTCAGGTGAGTCAATGTTTGATTTGGTGAGGTGAAGGCCTCGATCCCTACCGTTCAGTTGCACCACTGCAGATGCGGCTGAGTTTGGACGTGTACTAGGCGATCAGTGGGCTGTGGAGTTGAACACACGCGTGGCCGCTTAGCGATTGGGGTGGCTCAGAGTGGCTGCAATATTGATTCCCATTGTGCTAATCGTGAGAAAGAGTAGTCACAACCCGTGGGGTTCTTCGGCAGACAATCTTCCAGTAGGCAACCGTCGCTGAAGACAAATAAGCTGATGTCTGTCCAGTGATGACTTTCTCTTCAACCATCAACAGTGTACGTGCGAGTGCTTCAAGCTATATAGTGAGTCTCAATTCCATATCTCAGTCTGGCTACAAGGATGCACCACTTACTCAACATTTTGCGGGGTGGTCTATTTCCATAGTACTGGAGCTGACGTTTCATCAATCCCAACATAGTTCCTGGTCTATATTCACAGACCCATCGATCTTTACTTTCTTTCTTCATCCGGCTCTCTCAAAAATCACAATCCCGATCAAGAATCAAAGATGGTGTTGTACCGCGACGACGAGTTCCGTCAGAACGCGCAGAAATGGGAACAGAAAGTTGACGTCGACGACTCCGGGAGGTACAAGGTCGCTTGCCTCAACGCTACGACGTATCGGGCGTATGAAGGTCCCCTCAACGGGATTTGGTTCTGGTTCGAGAGAGAGGAGTACTACGTGCTGGTCGGCTGCCCGCCCTGCATTAACCAACCACGAGGAATTCAGGATATCGTTCCATATTGCCCAACCCAAGCTTCCTTCTATCATCAAATCGTGACGACATATTCCTATGTCTCATCTTCACTGCATGACACTCTATCAGCATAGAGCCTCGTTCTATCCCTTCATTTGAAGCAAGAACACACCACTCAACACCAGAAGCCCAACCAATACAGAGCCAATCTGAGACAGTCAAGTCATGTTCATCTCATGCCAAGCTAAGACGGATAAAAGGTTCGGACTACTGCCGTGGTATAATGAAATATGCTGACACCGGACATGCATCTTGATAATAAGAATGCAGCCTAAGTCCACATATCAACGAAGACTGAAGCTAGAAGCCGGCCCCTGCCAGTTGAACCAAAAACATTTCGCCGATCATGACCAAGATCTCAGCCACGACCACCACGACCTCCATACCCAGCGCCTTGAGAGTGATCTTGAAGCAGCGCACCCAAAAAGGCCGTGCGACGGTGGTCCAGGCATCCTTGATGCCAAGCCTTTCACCGGTGCCTCCAACCTCGGGCCCCACCTTGCCATCAAACCAGCGATCGAAGGGCACGAAGGGCACATCCTCCTCGGGGAGCATGGAGGCGGCCACGCGCACGAAGACCACTCTCGCGGGCAGGGTGACCAGCAGGGAGAGTATCGCCGGGATGAGAACAACCACCACAAACCGGAGATGGCCCCCCAAGGCTAGATGCCCCTGCGTGACACCCGCCACACTCACAAAGGCCCAGCTGCCAGCCGGCACCGCCACGAGATACATCGTGTACAACACGCACACGAGGGCATTCTGCAGCGCCGCCGCCGGGGCGATCGACGGCCAGTACCCGAGGAGGCCCCGCGTATGCCGAGATCTGGCGCCGCGCGGGGATCGGTCCGCGATGATCACGTGGACCCAGGCCATCTGCACGGTGGCCAGGCACATCCGCGCGAGGAACTCCATTGCGAACGAGGCGAGCGTGAGGCGGGCGGGCCCCGAATAGAATATCGGGTTGAGAAAGAATCCCACACCGCGGTCGAGGATGTAGAAGGGGAAGTACATGCGGAATCCATGCAAGCATGAAACGATGAGCCCGCCTCCTCCTTCTCCTCCTCCTTCTCCTCCACCACGGGCGCGGAGGTGCTTGATGGCTGAGCGCAATCCCCTCGTGATGGGCTTTACCCTCAAAGTGAACGGATCTACAATCTCGGGATCATCGCCATGTGCGCTTTCGAGGCGGATGGAGGGACTCGGGTCGGCATCCTCGATCGCGGCCAGCATCATGATCACATGGTTGCAGGTGTAATCGACCTGTCTTCGGTCAGTATGGTTCGAGACTCACTAGTGAACGGACCGACTGACCAAGATGAGTGCAAAAGCAAAGGCAAGGAAGGTGAAGAGGAAAACCAAGGGTGGGATCGCCTGCGAGACCCCGTGTCTTGCCGGGGTTGCAGCCGAGCAGATACAAATTCGGTGGCGTAGCGTGTAAGCACATGCGTGATCGACGACATAGCGATGGATCGAGAGGAGTGAAATCAGATTCGAACGAAGAATTACCTCAGCATGGAGGGGTCCATGGTTTATAATATGCCCATGGCGCTGATGGTTGTTGACGATGTCTCACTTTAGTCTCGAACACTTCTGCGCCAAGGCCCCGTAGTGCGCGCCTACCATCATAAGCGACAGTAATCCGGACTTCTGGTCACTTTCGCAAATCAGAAGCAGTAAGATACTGCCTTTGCACTTCTGCAATAATATTCAGCCAGCCCCCAAAACACGCACGGGTCACGACCGAAAATGGGAAGACAAGGCTTGCGCACACGCCACGGTTATGGTGGTCGTATAGCAAGATGTGGACCTGAAGAGGGGAAACATGTGGGGTATTTTAGGATGTATAAGCGCTAATTCCAGGCTCCGCGCTCCGCGCTCCGGCTCCCAAGCCCTACTAAAGTTTTGGTGCCTGGATATCATCAGCCCAGACATGCCCAAATCAAGATTTGGTTCGAGGTGCTCATGTCGAGACACCTTACTGGAGGGTGGAAGTCACAAAAAGCAGTCAGTAGATCAGCATGTCGTAGTATATCTTTTCTACTGGCTGGTTCCCATCATACCCGACTACTTATAAACAACAAAATAATTCGAATTCTGTTGCTTCTTTTCAGCTCAGCTCTGTGTCTATCAAGAAAGCTCAACTTGGCGTAATTTACTGCTTACTTTCAATTTCCACGCCGATTTTCTAGTCTGGAAAGGTACCATGCCCTGCCATGGCTTGTGCATACATACATTAATCCTGTCAGATCAGGTCATATCTGCCTGCCACATACCGGAAAAACCGACACTATCCATAACCGGACACCACCAGGAACGGCATAGCATATATAGCTAATCTCATTTCTTTTTCTTCTTCTCCTTGTTCGTTTTTCGCTTTGCCCCCTAACTGTATTCCATGTCCTACTAATAGACAACATGGAAAGTGTGAAAAAAACATATAATAGAAGGGATTCGCTGGTAGTCACCCACCCAACTACTAACCTCCCGGCGTGTGGCTTAAGTACGGCTGAGCGGACGGGAAGCCCTGTTTTCCATATCCTGTGGTTGTATGTACTAGATGCACTTTTTAGTTGATATATACCTAGCCAGCCCTTGGATTGAACACTGGAGACTTACGGAACCTGTTACGTGGTTGCTTTATCTCCGCTGCTGGAGTACTTTTATTTTTTCTTTGTAATACCCTACTCACCCCTTTGTATCCTGCTACGATACTAGATTCTGTAGTCAACAAGAACTCATTCTTAAAACTAGAATCTAGTAACTCCTAGAGCTGAAAAAGCATCTGGGCTTGGTTTTAACTACTTTTCAAGCAGGCGAAAAAATCTTGTACAGTACAAATACAAGCCGGAAAAACACGGGCGGCGATCTGGTCGTCTGGGTAAACTAGCGGGTAAGCTAGCAGATAAGCCCACCCTAACTAGCCCAGTTCACTAGATACACATAATACAGCTTTAGCACGGGGAGTAAGAGCTAGAGTAGTTCTGCCAGTAAGGGACGACTTGACTGTCGAGCTTGAAGTCTTCTTACTCTTATCTACATTTCAAGTTATAAACAAACTACTAGTATTCAACGGAACGTTGCAGGCAGCGCAGCAAGGAATGGCCAGGTCGGACAGAAGTATAACTATATACAACCAGAGAAGAAATTTAAAATCCATACTGAAAAGAATGACCAGGTCGGACAAAGGTAGAAGCGCAACGCAGTAAATAATAAGCAAGAACGCCCCAATCTATCCCCGACAAAAGTAAAAGAAGACAGTATTACACACCAAGCCTCAAACTCGTATTCCAAAAACACCGTCGCCTTGCGGTAGGATCATCTGTCATCCAAGCTGCAGCATAAGGTTAGCTGTGCTCGCTAGCAAGAAGAGTGATACATACCAGGTTTTCGGAAATATCTATCCAACACAAGCGTCGCCTCTCGGTGGGATCGACGTTATCCAAGCTGCAATACTTGGTGAGCTGTGCTCGCTTGCAAACATAGTAGCACATACCAGATTTTCGAAAGTATCTATCCAATACAGGCGTCCGGTGACGCGTCTCGGGGGGGTATCGCCGCGGGCCGTTTGATCTGCTGTTCAGTAAGCAATAACCGACCTGGTTCCGGTACAACCAGGCCCAAAGAAGTATGGGGGGAAAGGAAAAAAGTGGCAAGAAGTGACCAGATCGGACAGGGGTAAGCCATATATAAACAGAAAACAAGACAAAAGCAGCCTGAGACTCAAAGGAATGACCAGATCGGACAGAGAACAAAAACAAAAAGTAGCAAAGAAGTAATCAGATCGGACAGTAAAGCTATATATAAACTAAAAAACAAGACATTGGCAACCATAGACTCAAAGGAATTACCAGGTCGGACAAGAAAAACCATATATAAACAGAAAAGCAGAACGTGGCAAAGGAGTAACCAGATCGGACAGAAAAGCCATATATAAACAGAAAACAAGACGTTGCCAACAATAGAACCAAAGAAGTAACCAGATCGGACAAAAACAAAACCATATATCAAACAAATCAAAAGATTAACTCGATGTATATTCTAATCAAAAAAAAGACACAGAGACCAAGCAAGGCCAGAGCCCCTAAAGTATAAGGATTAAATAAGCCGACGGGAGTACTCGGACGAGTACTCACCATATCAAATTCACGAATAGACGGATTGGTCAGATCCTCATCACTCCAGACGTTAACGCCAGGAACAAGCCATCGAGAAACAGTAGTAACAGTGTTAGTCTCCGCCCACGAGACCTTCTTCTTCGGCTTTATTTTGCGGACGTCGCCGTCCACAGGCTTTACTAGGATCGAACGAGGGGACGCGCCTTCGAGAGAACGCACAGGCAAAAAGAAGAACAAACAAGCAGAAAAAACACAAGTTACAGGCTGCAAAAAGAAAATAAAAGAAGTAGCTGCTTTAGAAGGGTGTACCGGACCCTCCTTCGGCGAAAAAGAAGAAGAAGAAACAAAGAAAGAGAGCAGGAGAACACGGAAGAACGCACGAGAGATCATCTTGAAAATCGTAGAGCGTTAGAAACGATACTAGCATCAAGAGAATCAAGCGGTATGGGGAGGAGAAGAAGAGAAGAAGAGAAGAGGAGAGAGAAGAAAGAGAGAATAGATAAAGTAGATAAACAGCCGTTGTTGCTGGGCAGTGGAGGAAGAAACCCGCACTGGTGAATAAAAGACAAGCGCAGTATAAGCACTGATGCTGGGGAAGGAACTCTCCTATTACTCCATCTCCCCATCTTTCACTCCTGCTTGCCTTGCCTGCTGAGCACGAATTAAAGTCGTGATAAGATAATTCAGTAAGCTGTGAATCCTATGAGGCGTAGGTACTATAGAAGCGCATAACCATACTTAATTAACCTATCATTCTACCTTCACAATATAAAGCATCGCTGGTCTCAGTCAACCACCATATATACTTTCCCCAGAATCTTCCCGAAAGCCACATACTCGTAGGCCTTTTTTAGCTGGCTAAGCGTAAAGACCTTGGAATTGAGAACAGGCCGGAAGTCAGGATGTGCGTGGATCCAACGGTACATTTCCTCTATCTGCACCCGACTCCCAACCCAAACCCCACGCGCAGTATACAGATTCAGCCAGGCCTCGAGCAAACTGGGCATCTTCTGCCCTTCCGGCCTGCCACCAGCGATTCCGACCACCGCGATTGTACCGTCCAGCTTGACGCATGCTGCGCTCTCCCTCAAGGTGATTGGGCCGGCGATATCGACGACGAGGTCCACTCCGCAACCACCTGTCAGTTCTTTAGCCAAGGCTCCCCACTTTAGGGTTGTTTAATAGTTGATGATATGATCGGCGCCGAGCTCACAGAGAAATTCGACTTTATCGGGAGAGCTGGTAGTTGCGATAATTCTGGCACCAATACATCTCGCAAACTAAAGCGCAAAAAGACTGACGCCGCCTATACCAGTAAGTGTCAGAATATGATAGCATCGGACGATGGAGGATAGTAGCTAAACCTGTACCTTAAACTAGAACCCATTGTCCCGCCGTAACCTGCTTCCCAGGTAGCCCAAACAGTGCATTCCAAGCCGTCAGCCCCGCACAGCTCAGCGTGGCAGCTTAAACAAAGCTTAAGCTATCCGGCATCGCAACCAGTGCTTTCTCGTCGAAGGCGCCAGCTGAACGAAAGACACTGTTAACCGAGGCACCTGTGCCATACTGCGCGATTTCCGCGTTCAAAGAGCCGGTAATGTGCTTTTAATTAAGCATAATAATCACTCTATCTCCAGGCTGGAACCGAGTCACGTTCTTACCGACGGATAAGACAACGCCCGCGCCATCCGATCCAGACACAACACCCGGCTTGACGGTCCAGGGGTAGTTTCCGCGACTAATCATCACATCACGGGGCTATCATTCTCAGCGAGCCGCACGCAGGAGTATAGGCTCGGGAACGTACATTAAGAGAGGCACCTCAGACTATGACTGCATTAGTTAATGAATGCAGGTAAAGGAGCTTACTGACGCACTCTAAACAAGAACCTCGTGCTTGCGTAACGCTGGTACTGGGACTTCGCCATATATTAGAAATTCGATCCCATCCTGGCCTATAACAAACTATTGTCGAGCAGTTGCTGGAGTATCGGTAGCCATACTTAAGTAGAATTCAGATAGAATAGATAATAAAACTGATTTATTCCGTATCAACGCTGGACTCTATATCATATGAAACCGTTAGCCTCTCCAGATGACGGTAGCTATTAGTAATAATTTGTCAGCTGCACAGTATAAGCGTGTAAGCTACTTAGTAAAGCCTGAGCACTGACATTGGAATATTCCGGCATAGAACTTACATAATCCATACTACCTAGTAGATTGCTTGTGAGCTTTGGCGCTAGGCCCCGAGTCCGATAAATAAGTGCACACTGGTATTCTTCATCTGTCTACTATATCTCCCCGTTCTCTCCCATTCCATCTACTCCCTCTGTCATCCTGCATCCAAATCTTCTGTTATCAGTCTTTCAACAGACAGTAACAACCTCTTCATGTGCGTATAGATATATATCCCTATGCTTCTTATTACCCGAGTTTCTATATCCCAGGCTCATATTATTCGGTGATTAGTTCATAATTCACAGTTCTGGCCGTCTTCGCTCGTCAGAATTCATATTGTATTACTCGTGTCGAAATGCAAGATACCTGCATCTATTTCCAATACTAAGATGGCAGAGAAGTAAGCTCGACTCGATCTGCTCTTAAACCAACTACTACCGCTCTTGACTACCTATCAATTTGTGCGCGGATCGGGGGGAGAAAAGCCCACCTCTCTTCGGGTCAGATCACCTGAACCTTCTTTTTTGCTTCCCTCTCGATATCCAGCTAACCGATACTGCAGCCATAATTTGAAGAGAGAAATGAGAAGTTTTTACAGGTAGGATGGCATATATCTAAGAGATAATCAGTCCATCTCGACAGGGATTATTTAAAATCGGTTCTTATACTCGTTACCTCATTCTTCACTCCTAGCTTGAATGGTTGATTCCGCTCGTTCTTATACTTATTGTCTTCTCTAATAAAATTAGCAGAATTATCTGCAGCAGTTATATATATTTTTATTATATAGGCTACGGCCGCGGCGTAGATTTAGAGGGAGGGAGGGGGGCGTGTCAGCGTTCCGGAGTGATCCAGCCCACGTGATCCGAGGCGATTCACCTTGAGAACTCAGATAATTCGACCATCGAGAATTCAAAAATCGTTCCATATAGCCTACGTGATAAACCCGCATAAATCCATTCTTGTCTCTTTTGGATGAACTTCAATCATAAAGCTTCCCCACAATCTTCGTTATTATATTGACTGCCGGGGCTGCAATCGTAATCAGACAGATATCAAATAGTCAAGCAATAGAAGATGGTCTCGTGGAATGGAATCCCTGCAGGGAGCTACAAGATCCCTCTGCAGATTAAAATAAGAACTTTGATTGCCTTGGTATATATAGCAAAGAGCAGAATTTAGTTCATTAAACTAGTAAATCCTAATCGGTTGATAATTCCATCCATACCGATCCATTTCGTGCCAGCGAGGCGGCGGTAGTCATAAGCATAGCAGGACGATACTATATACAGATTTGGGGACTATAAGAGGGTTCTAACTCGCGTGACTACCACACATAGAGCTGAATAGATACCTGCTACGACCTTTCCTGTAGAACCACCTCTAGCCGATTCATCGGCACAGCAGCAACCCACTCCAGTCGCGGTGGAAGAACAGCTTCGTGATCCAAAGCATTAGCACCGGACAGATCTGCCGGGTGGATGGAGTATCGCTTAAGCAGCCGCGAGAGAAACAGATATAGCTCGAGATATGCAAAGCTGTGCCAGCGAAAGGTTATTCTCTTTTCCCCTCATATAATGCATAAAAGATACCTACTGATTACCAATACACGTAGACGCGCCCTTAAAGAACGGGATATAGTAGTCATCTCGCCGCGACGTCGTGTCGTTCTTTTCCTAGACGAGCCACCGGCCAGGCCTATAACATTCGGGGTCCGGGAATGCGGTCTCGTCGCGGAGATACCAGATCAGGGAACTGAAGATCATCGTCTAGTATTGGTGCATTAGTTGGAAGTTTCAGCGTGAAAAAAATATTAATACTGGTAGACTTACCCCTTCCGGAAGATACTTCCCCACCAGCGAAGATCCCACGCGCGGCACAATGCGCGGAAGCATTACGGCTGCGGCCCCGGTCCATCTAATTCCCTCTTTAACGCAGGCTACCAGGCGGGGGATGGCTTCCAGGACGGACATATCGCTGGGCCATCCGGAAGCGTCCAGCTCGGCCACTAGCCCCGCTTGGAAGGATTGGTTGAGCGACAGTACATATATAATATAAGCCAGAGTAGCAGACGTTATATCGGTGCCGGGACCGAGCATCTCCTTGGCTTCCGAGAGTGCGGACTGCTCGGACACTCTGGCCCCGGCCATGACTTTAAAAAAGCATAGACGGGGCGCCTTCTCACTGTCTTTCGTTGCGATAAGTTGGGAATCGGCCCACTGTCTTCCGTTAGTAGCCATGCACGGTACCTTGTTCATAAAGAAGAATATACCTTGTCGAAGCGCTGCGAGCTAATCACCGAGAATACCTCCCAGTCGGAGAGTCGGTAAATCCAGGCTGCGACCGAGTACCATAAACCAACAGCAAGCGGAAAGTTCACATACTAGATATAATAGCATTAGCAGTGAAGGAATTGGATCCTGCCGTCGCTACATACCACTGACATCTTCGAGGACTTGAGATCATTTTCCTTAATAACCGCAAGCTCACCTCCGTTTTAAAAAGAATCAATTCCCCCAATGGCATTTCCAAAAGCAAATAATGCTACGTACTAGAGTTAGCTAATACTAAAAAGTAGTATCGCGAACACGCACAAACAATATCTGACTCTAAGGCGCGACAAGACGGTCCGAGATCAATAGGCCCTTTTATCGTGGCCAGACTCAAACACACGATCCACTTATCGATCTGCTCTAGTATTATCTCGGTCAACGCGGGAACCTTGCTACGATTAAAAAGAATACCCATGTGACGTCGACGCTGGGCATGTTCCTTCGTGTTACTTCGTCGCATTTGCGAGTCAGCTGACAAATCACGCAGATATCGTCGGAGACCTTACGTGATCGAAAACAGCGCAGGGTGGCCATCCTGGACGAATTAGTTATACACGCGAGGGTCTTTAACGAACGGGCTATTCGGTGCATGCACTGTTTTGTAGATATCGAGGGAGTAGAATAAGATCTGGTTGGGCCCGATCCGGACGAGGAGACCTAAGTATGGTTCCACGGAGTCAGATAAGTTTCCAGTCTTGGTTATTGCAGTCGTACCAAGCCTTTGGTGAAGTTTGGATAACTTCAGCGTGATTTTACCTTAATACTCGGTGGGAAACTCCCAGAGTAGACGGGAGACGGGAGCCAGAATTCCTGCATTAGGGATGGAGGCCAAAGGGGAGAGGAAGTAAGTGTATACAAGCTTAAGAATCAGTCAAATAAATCAGCCTGGGATTTATTAATGGCCTATACTCACCCAAGCGATAGTCGCAGCTAACGCTACCAAAGCAATCGATATGATCAAGCCCATGTTGTATCTTGCTTGCACCTGTTCTCCCGACCCGTGCAACAGATAATATATGTCAACCCCGGCCGCGGATCCCGAGAATTGTGTACACCCATCCAGGACTGTGTAAAACAGGATTCTTCACCGCATGTAATTCAGGGATTCTGTCCGATATGTGAATATTTAGGCTTCTGGGTCCCGCATAAAGATCGCGTCATCCGCACCCGCAATGTCACTTTATCACCTCGGCTTGTCACACAATGGCGCAATAGACCACACAAAAATTAACCTTCACGACTCAGCATGCATATAAGGCGTTATCCACGTAGAATAAAGCGGGGCAAAAAGGCGTGATCCAGCCTGTTGGTTCGGTCTAATGCACGTTTTAGGTCGTGATGACCGGCTGGCCAACAAGGATCCGATGTTTAATACGAGGCGTGTCTGCAGGCTCTGCCAGTGCCGAAATTCCATTTTAATTTGCTAGAGGACCAAGACGAGCGTAACATTAAGCCATAACGGCCAAAAGTAATTCGACCTCGACAGTTGTTAAGACGAATAAAAGCGATGAGATTGTGCTGGTTAGTTGTTCACCATAAGTTGTCAGCCAGGATTATTATACTTATGAATTATAGGAGCGCCTCGGATACAAACAGGTAATAGACGAAGAACGCCAAAGATGGCTGGTATTGACAGTTTCAGGTTCTCCATCGAAGCTACTCACTCTTCGAGAACTTCTCCACCTCATTCGGTGAGTGTCACTGCCTGGTTACGGAGGGCAGAAATTAACTTAGAACTTTGTAGCGGTCTTGTACTTTGTCGGCGGCGTTCGCGTCACGTTCTCTACTAGCATCGCGGTAGGGGGACCTCTCGCCTACTGGTGTGTTTCGTATTCCTCGACTTATGATTCTGTGCTGAAACAATTTCAGGACGAGTTATATCGTGACTTGTATATTTATCTTTATTACTACAGCCGTCATTGCAGAGGTTTGCTCCGCAGCCCCAACAGCAGGTTTAATCTACCTCTGGGCTGCGGAGGCTGGAGGGCGTCGGTTCGGGCGCTTGTTCGGATTTATTGTCGCTTGGTGGAGTACGACCGCCTGAACAACGTTCTGTGCTAGTATATATCGTCACAAGGTTTACTTAATCGCGCTGACAGATGCAGGCAACACCCAGTCCACTGTCAACTATATGCTATCTGTGAGTTCGACACTTTTAAATATATTCCGGATCATGCAACCTCACAATTAATAGGAATTGACCGTCTTTGAAGTCGATTTTCCCACCGACACAGGGAACATCAAGTTCCGTGCGCTGCAATGGATCTGTACGGAAGTGATGTTAGCATTGGCAGCGTGGATCAACCTTGCCTCACGTAAGTCACCGACTAGGCGACAGATTGGAGAACTGATAACCCTCAGCCCGGATATTTCGATACGTCTTCTGGCTATCGACAGGCGCCGTGTTCCTGGACTTCATCCTAAATCTCATCTGGCTCCCGGTGGGCGCCCACAATACCTACGGCCTCCGAACCGCCCACGAAGCTTTTATGACCACATATAACGGCACCGGTGCGGTGCGCCAGCCGGATGGAACTGGTGTCTCTCGTACCTCGCAACCGCCGGGATTCTCATCGGATTCGATGCCTCAGGTCATGTCGCGGAAGAGACGAAGAACGCGTCCCTCAACGCAGCGAAGGGTATCTTCTGGAGCACGGTCATCAGCGGCGCGCTAGGCTTCACAGCCGTCATCCTGTTCCTCTTCACATCCGTACGTCAGCCACACGAGTCCCCAATTATTCCAGAGGAACCCTCAGCTAACCTTTTACCCCCCATCAGCCCCCAATCGACATCCTCTTCTCCTACGATGCCCCGCAACCCTTTGTCCCACTCTACGCCGTCGTCCTCGGCCGCGGCGGCCACATCGTCATGAACGTGCTCTCCGTGACAGCGCTATGGCTCAACACCGCCATCGCCATCACGGCCGCCTCGCGCCTCGTCTTCGCGGTCGCCCGCGACGGCGTCCTCCCCTTCTCCACGTGGACCTCCCGCGTGTCCGAGGAAGGCCAGCCCCGCAACGCCATCCTGGTGGTATGGGGCGTCTCCGCCCTCATCACCTGCACGATCCTCCCGTCCGCCGTGGCGTTCACCTCCCTGGTCTCTGCCGCGGGCGTTCCCTCCGCTGCGGCGTACGGGCTCATCAGTCTCGGTCGGTTGACGCTCACCCGGAAACAGAAGCTGGAGGCGAAGTGGTCGCTTGGACGGTGGAGGGTACCCTTCCAGATTGTGGCTGTTGTATGGAATGCGTGGGTTGTGGCGGTTTTATTCTCGCCGTATGAGTTTCCGGTTCAGGCGGGGACGTTGAATTGTAAGTTTGACTTTCTGTTTCCCGAAATGAGCTCGTGGGGGCGGAGGCTGGGTTTGAGGTTGAGGAGATATGCTAATGGTTGGTGTGGTTGGTTTGGTTAGATGCGCCGATTATCATGGCGATCGTGACCGTGTTTGCGGTGGTGTCGTGGTGGGTCACGCCGGCGGACGCGTGGTTGAGGCAGGAGTTTATTGAGCAGGCAGGGGCTGCGTCGGCGGCGTCGGTGGATGAGTAGAGCTTTTCATCGTCACAGATTTGAGGCAGGTTGGAGATGTGTATTGATTTATAATTGGGGAAGAAATATCTGAGGAACAAGATGATGATGATGATGATGAAGATGATGATGATGATGATGATGATGAAGATGATGATGATGAAGATGAAGAAGGAGAAGAAGAAGAAGAAGAAGAAGAAGCAGTTGTCGGTTCCAGGTTTTGTGGACATAGCTGGATTACGGAAAGGGGAGGTAGTGCGATGGCAATCCATGATACCAGCCTGCACCAAAAATACTTCTTCCACAGTGGAACCTCTTGCCACCTACAATATGACCACTCATGCAGATATTGAAGCAAAACCTGGGCGCTGATCATTATCATCACTGTTATAGAAACTTCGCCGATTTTCATTCGGTCTAATGCTTCTAATATGTATTATTATTCGCTGTCAAAATCAGAATCCGGCATGTCCATCGGGCACACCCACAACAGGGACACAATTGAATGTTGAACTCAAATAGCAGGGGGAGTTGATGGTATCTGAAGAAAGAAAACAAATCGTGTGTACAAATCCCTCTTCACAGATAGCTGCAGAGCTCTACAGGGCGAATCGCCAAACCTCAACCAGCCGCCATGTCGATCTTCTTCCCCCTCATACTCCGCCACTCCACCCCGACCGCCCCCAACAGACTCAAGCAGCCCAAAATCAGCGCCAACTGAAACACCTTCACCAACGCATCATTATACGCGACCAACACCGCTGGCAGATCCTCCGCACCGACCAACGCCCGGAACCCCGTCGTGCCAGCCGCGACCACCGCCTCAGGGCTCAATCCGGGAATATCCAGCGCGGCGATATTGGCGATCAAGTGCTTGGAGAAGATATTCTCCGCCACCGAGACGAACAGCGACCCGCCCAGCATCTGCAGGAACATGACGATGGCCGTGCCGACCGAGACCTGGGAGAGCGGGAGGACCGCCTGCGCCGAGACGCCGCCCTGCTGGAAGCCGAAGCCCACACCTAGGCCGTACAGGAACAGGAACCCGACCCATTTGGCTTGCGAGATGTCGACCGTGAAGGTGGTGATTAGCCCCGCGCCCAGGGACATGATGGCGCTGCTGAGGAGGAAGAACGGCGCGTTGTAGCCGAAGGCGGTGGTCAGAGCGCCGGAGGCGATGATGCCGACGACATTGGAGAGGATCATGGGGAGGGAGTCGATTCCGGAGCGGACGGCGCTGACGTTGCGGATCGCTTGGAACTACCTCATTAATTAGGGATTAGTTTGTGGGTGTGTTTGGGGGGGGGGAGAGGAGCGAAAGGAGCGGGAAGTACCCAGATGGGGATGTAGTAGATCATGGTGAAGAATGATCCTCCGATGCAGAGACCAAACAGCGACGCAGAGGCGATGGTGCGTTGGCGGGCGATGCCAGTGGGAACGGTGGCGTCTTCTCCGAGGAATAATTGGAGACCGACAAATGCCAGAAGCGCCAGTCCGAAGATCACGAACAAGGCAATCACGCGTCCGCTAGACCAGAGATATGTGACCCCTCCCCACTGCAGGGCGAGGAGCAGGCAGACGATGGCGGGGACGAAGATGACGGTCCCCAGCGGATCGAGGCCCTTGAGTGTCGCAACCAGTGATTTTCTCTGGGTTTGTGGTTTTGCGGGTAGTCGCAGCAGTGTCAGAAGTCCGATGGCCGTGACTCCGCCGAGGGGAAGGTTGATGTAGAAACACCATCGCCAGGTGGCGTGGTCAGTGAAGGCGCCGCCCATCTAGAGCGTCAGACGTTAGTCTTTGTGGGAGCTTACACAGACTGATGGAGAATGGCCGACTAATCGCACTTACCAAAGGCCCAGCGACAGATGCAATCCCATACATCCCTCCGAGCATGCTGAAGAACATCGGCCTTTTCGCCGGGGCGACCGTGTGGGCCAAAGTCACCATCGCACCGGTGAAGATGCCTGCGCTCCCCAGTCCTGCGATCGCGCGACCGATAATCAAAGTGACAGAGTCCGGCGCGACACCGCAGATGAGAGAGCCCAGTTCGAAGACAAAGAGCGCAGAGAGAAAGACCCATTTAATGCTGAAGAGAGTGTAGAGCTTCCCGTACAGAAGCTGGAATGCTGTTGCGTCGCGGTCCGAGGATTAGCCACCGCCGTTCAAGAATCGCCTGACGGGGTCGATGCACACATACAGCAAGTGGTCAAGAGATATGATGAGCCGTACCAGCCGACATCGTCTAGGGCATGGAATTGATCGGTGATTTTGGGAATAGCCACTGCCATGATCTTCTCGACATGTTAGTGATTACATAATAATTTCATAGGAGGGTATAGATTGTACCGTGTTGTCCAAGGCCACGCAGAAAACCGCCAACATCAGACTTATGGTGATGACAGCCAGTTGCAGTCCCATGGGGTAGAACTGAGCCTCGTCGTTATCTTCATGTTGATTGCCGACGTCAAATGATGCAGTGTTGTTTTCCTTCAATTTCCCGTGTAGAAGCCTGTTAGACATTGAGAGAACCTCGGGCATATTAGGCAAGTTAGAAGAATCTTGCCACACCGGAATGATGAAGTATAAACCTTCTATCCAGTTGAAAACACACACAATTATTCCAAGAGTTTCAAAGAGCTTTATAAAGCATGAGTCGTCTGCAGGGCTCCACACAGGGGAAGTATGCAGAAGAATGGTTGGTCATCATGGTGAAATGAAGTCCGATTAACGCCTATAATGCTGCTTTTTTAGGATGATTTATCAACCCTGGCAATCGTTCATATGCAATCGGGTTCACTCTCAAACCCGATGATATAGATACTACATTATGCTTTGCTGCCTCCCGCTTGGTAGCCAGAAAAGGGGCTGCCACATGGTGTTCCCACCCAAGAAATTTCTTAACCCCATTTGCTCGAATTTTACTTGCTAACTTTATCTGGCTCGGATGTTTTTTTCGCGATAAAGCTGCCGTGGAAATTTGATGGTTTGTCAGCTCGGGGTCGAAAACGAGGCCGAGGAGGCCGCAAACGGCCAGTCGCTGTGTAATCGACTCAATGATCCGCAAACTCTGTCTGCGACAGACTTTCGTTCAAGAAAAAAGCAAAAGTATAAGTTGAACTTGAAATACCTGCATGTCGGGATTATCTCCTCATCCAACCATTCTAATTTATCCACCAAGTAAACGACAAACATGAGCGCAGTCCTCATCACCGGCGCGACCGGCAAACAGGGAGGCTCAGTAATCAGAAATCTCCTCGCCAAGAATGCCCCCTTCGATATCCTCGCCGTAACACGCAATGCACAGTCTGCCTCTGCCCAAAGGCTCGCACAGCAATCACCCAGGATTAGTCTGGTCGAAGGTAACCTGGATGATCCGGCAGCGCTATTCCGCGCCGCCAAGAGCGGGAGCTCCACTCCGATATGGGGGGTGTATAGTGTCCAGGTCAGTCGATCGCACACCACATCGGTATCATCGAGATATTGACCCAGCACAGGCTGCCGATCCACGCAACGATAACGAGCGTCGACAGGGTCTGGCCCTGGTCGACGAGTCCATCAAGCAAGGCGTGAAGTTTTTCGTCTACAGCTCCGTGGACCGCGGCGGCGAGGCCTCCATCAACAACCCCACCGAAGTACCGCACTTCATCTACAAGCATGAAATCGAAAAAGGCTTGATCGCAAAGTCAGAGGGGACCGACATGCGGTGGACGATCTTACGGCCCACCGCCTTTTTCGAGAACTTGACGCCCGATTACTTTGGCCGTGTCTTTGCGACCGCGTGGCAGATGGCGCTGAAGGGCAAGCCTCTCCAGTTGATCGCCACCAGTGACATCGGCTTCTTTGCCGCTCAAGCCTTTCTTCATCCTGAGAAGTCAGAAGGGAAGGCTTTCTCCCTGGCAGGAGACGAGTTGACGTATGATCAGATGGCGACAATTTTCAAGCAGAAGACGGGAAAAGACGTGCCCACCACCTTCAGGATTCCGGTCAAGCTGATGATGATGGCAGTCAAGGAGCTTGGAGTGATGTTCAAATGGTTCCATAATGAGGGTTATGGGGCTGATATCGAAGCCCTGAGAAAGCTCAATCCGGATCTGAAAGACTTTGGCACGTGGTTGGAGACGGAGAGTGGATTCAGGTAGTTTAGCGTCGATGTGCCGGGATAAATGATCCTGTTTACACACTATGAAGTTATGTAGAATGCTAATTAATTAGTTTACTGTACTATACTCCGTTTAGTTAATGAGATTGTTTGTGAAGTCAGCTGACAGACCATCTCAAAGAGGACTAGCACCTGCATGAACATAAGTACGACCAAGAAGTCGCTAGCCTCACTCCCCACTCCCCATCACCCACCTCCAGCTCCTCGCAATCTCTTCTAACAAATGTCTCTTATTCTTTCCTCTCACCCAATACAGGTTCTCGCACCGACGAGTCAATATCCTGTGAGTCGATTTTCGTAGAGATCACATCATTAACACCGAGATTGGAGTATGGACAGACACCACGATGACGACGACGATCCTCCGCAATGGCCCCGTCGGCACCCCGACCCTCAGGGGCGAGCAACGCAGATACGAACTGTCACACGGTCCGAATCTTCCTTCCCTCAGTCGCCAAGGCGTATCCACATGAACAACGGACATGATTGGTCAGATGGATCCTTTCCAGATATTGGCTGTGGGCCACCGCCACCCGCACAGCCCGCAATCAGAGTACGCACGGACGAAAAGGATCCGCTGCCCGTCGGCCAACCCGAGCCCTATCTCTCGATCAGTCATGTTCGGTTTCACATGCAGTCACGGCCGCCGGGACCACTGGAGACAAAGTACAATACACCTCACACATTCGTCTGCTCAGACGATGATCAGCCTGTGGTGAGCTTGATTAGTCTGGCCGACCTCGCGCGCTGGCGACGGCGATTCCCTCGTTTGGAGATGCTCATTGAATCTCTGACTGGGCCCTGCCGGTACGAGATACTTCACTTCCATGCCGTCCTTCAGATCCCAAAGGAAGGCGGGACCCCGGGATACAGCTTGGAGACCCTCTTCGAGCTAGGCCGGAGAAAGATGAGCAGTCATGCATTCGATGCGGACCAATGGGTGTGTTACAACTTCCTCTATCGAGATGGGATTCTGATCAAAAAGCATCCCTCGACCCTCTCTCCTGATCCACACTCTTATGCGCTGGCAGTTCCTTTTGAAACCAGCTGGTTGGGTGGTGAGGTATTGCTTTCTGACTCAGGTCCCGAGACGGAGAAACTCATTCGAAAGATCACGATGGTCCAAGAGATTTGCATTGCCAGCAATCACAAAAAGACCCCCGAGACATCCAATCAGCAGTTTAACTCCGACAAGATGGGGATCCCAGTTGTGGTTGCTCTTTGGAGCTTTGAGCAAGCTTCTCCTGGCTGCCCTGGGTCTCTGCAGGCAATTAATGTCAGTGTGCCGGAGCGCCTTCTGAGTTCTTCACTGTCAAGTCCTGAGACTGGAACAAATTTAATAAGCCCTTTACCCTGTAAGAATGACATAAAGCCTACCACTTCTTGTTACTTGTTCACTAATCTCTGGTTTGAGAATGAGCTAGGCACAACAGATGGCGCGACTGCGAGGACCTGGAGCACTGAGAAATGCAAAAGCTGTGTCGTACTATCGCAGGAGGGTGACAAAGAAGCACATGTCACTGGGCTTGAGCCTTGCACAGGTCACACAGACTCCGGTCATGCTTTTAATATGCACCCAAAGCGTGAAGAAGATGTGGCAATATCGACAGGGAACAAGATAGCTTTGGGTAAAACCGAGTCCCAGGAGGGCGGCAGTGCTAGTGACGAAAACGACAGGGAAAGCATCTACTCCCGGTGCTCTAATAACGGTGATGGAATACAGGCATGTATGCACGAGCTAGCCGCAGACCTCGCCAAGGCCGTGGATATCTACGATCTGAATCACGAGGTCATTCAGGATATCGTCAAAGCTCTCCCTGAGCTGCTGACAGCCTTTGCACTGAGTCTAGGCCAAGCATCCTCCAGTCAAACCCAGCGTGATATCATGGTATTCATTCACCAACATCGACGGTTAGTCTTCGCGAAGAGGCAGTAATCTACTTGCAGCTGACCTTTTGCGCCGCGTCCTCAGAAAGATTGCAACCATGTTCGAGCAAGCTCTCCTCTCACGCAGTACTGAATTTCTGAAGCAGCGCTCGGCTAAAGCGAGGTCTGTGGACGATACGATGTGGTTTGAGGGTCAGCAGAATGACGAAGCGTTACACAGCATGAGCCTCCCTCATCGTGAACTCGCGGATCGCCGAAAAAGCCGCATGAAGCAGAGTGAAACCGTCAAGTCCGGTGAAGACACAACCACTGCGAATAACAATTCTGAGGCTGGCAGCAGTCGCTCGCAAACGCAGAACTATCTGCTCTTGATCCAGGCTAGTTCTGCATATTCATTGCTGTTGAAGAGGATTCGACGTGAGCGTATGATCGCACTGCCAGGACCAAGACATGGAGCCAGGATCCGCGAAACGATTCTTGAGGCTCTGCCTAAGACTCAACGGATCAGTAGAAGAGCCCCCAGTCAGAGCTTCAATATCACACTCAAGACGTATTGGGATCCGGTCATTTTCATGGAGGAGCAGCGGTATGAAGAGACAGCAGACTACGCATTTGAGAGAGTTATTACAACAACCGGCTGCTTTTCTTCAGCACAGGCCCTGACCATTTGGGAATATATGGACCAAACGTGGCCTTGTACAGGTTGCGACGTGTTGAGCCTGGTGAAGACAACCATAACCAAGGGGGTCAAGGAACCTGGTAACGTTGATCATCACTTATGAGACGAATTCGATAGCTGACATTTTTGTCTACGGTAGTTACCCTTGTAGACGGTACTCGAGTCACTTGTACCCGAGGCACATTTGCAGAGGAACGGTCATCGCGCCAAATGCTCTTCGAAATCTGCGGAACGGGGCCCGCCATTGCAGAGATTGGCGAGCAGGTAGCATGGATGGCCTCCGCGTTGCGGACCTGTCCTTTGGAAGGGATGGTTGTCTATAGCAAGCCTATCGTGCATACCACCAGGCCGCATTACGGTGGTCACAGTCCACAATCAGCTTTTCTATTTGAGCTCACAGTTGAACTCAGGGAGAGTATGAAGAGCATAGAGCCCCTTAACGGGCAGTGCTGGCACAGAATGATGGCGAGTCCAGTGGTAGTGGAAGGTTTCCCAATCCGTCGGCGACCGTCGCACGCGTCCGAGGGTCTGGAATTACCGCTAGGAATGCTGGCTCAGCTGGTTGATACGACTCGAGTATCCCGATTTGACGAAAAGACACTCTTGAAGGGGTTTACCAGCATAGCTATTGTGACTGGCTATTCCCAGAATATTGTCTCATGGCATTTCACTCAGGAGAACCGGGGCCGTATGTCTCATTTACGCAGCGAAGAGTGGCCAGGTCTCTCTGTTGCAGTCCATGCCCTGAAGGCAGCTCGGCATGTAGTAGGTTGGTGTCCAGAGATAAAGCTATTTGCAGGTCTGTATATCGATTTCCTGACTCTGACTACGAGTCTTTTGATGTTTGACACTAACGCTCTGGCTCTAGGTCAACAGGGTGCGAGCTACAGCATTGGAAATACCGGACTACCATACACTATTGAAGAGCAAGAGCTTTTCAGTACCTCCACGCTCTCTGCAGGCCCAATATTGGCAGACGGCATACGCCCTGTCCTAGGTCAAAGAGACATTAGAGCACCGCGATCGTCATTCATTAAGAAGATGAAATGGCTCTTTCAAAAATACGTTGTTCTATGGGATGAAGCGGATCAAAGAGGATGGCTGGTTAACGGAGCTAGCGCTCTGCTACATCTTATCCGAGCATCGATTTATGAAGACCGCCGTGATAGTATATCTGAAGCCGCTCGCCATTTGCATGAGGACCAGCTACACGAGGCTAAACGGCCGTATCAATGGGACTCAGCTTTTCAACTGCTAGTTCATCCGATCAATCGCAAGATAAACATGTCCGGGAGCGGAGAGAATTTAATTACGTTTCAAGACCGTGCTGAAGACTACTTTACCTTGCTGGAACAAGCAATAGACATTCAGCTCAGAGCCACAAGTCGGCGCGGGACGGCTGGTAAAAAGCCAAGGTCTTTGCTGGGCGGGTGGGATTTCCGGGACCTCACGACGGAGGACAATCCTATTTACCTGCGACAGACAGTTCTACCACTTGAAGGTCGATCCTGGGTGGACTTAACTCGTGCGATTTATGCAGTCACGTTATTTGGTCGGGGCTTCGGTGACATCATACAACCTGCGAACTGGCCACAACCATTTGCAGAATGGAACACAGTCCCGACTGGCAGGTTCTATCTCACGGCCAGCGCTCGAGATATCAGAAATATAGCGGAGGCAAACGGTGACCCGGACTCTTATCCCGCAAGACTGACCCATGACCTGCTTTGGTGCTCTACAAAGGCCAGCAGCACACATCCATTGCAAAAATTCGAGGAGAGATCCAAGAGCACGGAGCATGTTGACATGCTTGTACCTGTCGCGATGTTGAGCGAAGCTCAAGAGACGACCGTGGCCTCAGATTGGGACGTAGGGGCTATGATCTTTGGGTTTAACCCGGACGATGCATGGTATTGGGCCGACTACGGATATCCAACTAGGTCTAAGCCTGCCGTTCAAGAATTGGGACCAGACTACTTCAAAGACAGCGCCGGTGATAGTCAAATTCCATCGATCTATACGGGTGTAAGGCGTTCATCGGCATGCGGGGCGTCTCAGACGATGGAGCAGGGGCTCTTCAACTTGGCAAATACCACAGCTGGCCCGTCAGAACACATTCTCCATCAGCCGTCCAATAGAAAGCTGACACTCGCTCACTACACGGTCGGAATCATTTGCGCCTTACAACATGAGCTGATGGCAGTCCGTGTTCTTTTCGACGAGGTCTTCGAGCCGGTCACAATGCCAGCTGGGGACCACAACCATTACGTTCTGGGCCGCATAGCAGAGCACAACGTGGTCGGCGTCTGCCTACAGCACGGCTCAGATAGCACTGAATCCGCGCGGAAAAGTGTCCACTACATAAAGCACAGCTTCCCCGGGATACGTTTCTGTCTCCTAGTTGGCATGGGCGCAGGAACGCCCTTCGACGCGCACGACATCCGACTAGGCGATGTTATCGTCAGCGACCCCCGCCGCCCGTACTCGGGAGTCATACCGTACGACATCACCCAAACCCCCCTAAGCGGACCTCTCACGCTCAACGGATTCCCCCTCCCGCCGCCCACCGACCTCACACAAGCAATCAGCGCCCTCGAATCCAACCCGGACGGTGCCACCGCCTCCCTAGATCGCTACATCCGCCAGATCGAGCTCCTCAAAATCCAATATCAACACCCAGACCCCGACCCCGACCGCCTCTTCCTCAGCTGTTACTCCCACGCCCTCCCCAGCGACCCCGACTGCCACCGCTGCTGGTCGATGTTCGAGCTCCGCCGCCCGCCCCGACCCACCCTCCAGCCCTGCATCCACTACGGCCTCATCGCCTCGAGCACCGCGATCCCGCGCGCGGGCTACCACCGCGACCTCCTCATCAAGGCGCACAACATCCTATGCTTCGAGACGGAAGCCGCCGGCATCGTCGATGTCTATCCATGTGTCCTGATCCGCGGAATCTGCGACTACGGCGACTCGCACCGGAACACCCGGTGGCAGCACTACGCGGCTGCGACGGCGGCGGCGTATGCGAAGGTGCTCTTGGCCAGTGTGAATGGTGCCGATATACATGGGTATGGGCATGCGCATATGTATGGGAATACGATTGGCGGGAGAGACCCAGTGGAGCGGAAGAGACGGCGGGAGTCGCCTGATTCCGGGGCGGGGGTGGGCTCGTCGAAGCGTCCTGGTATGTTCTATGGGGCTTGATCTTGTCTCATATTATGCCACGTAGATTGCGTCTTTGTTATCCTGTTGTGTTTTAGGGTCGATATAAGTCTGATTATGGTACTACTTGCGCGTTTTCTTCTGGAGATTGGAATTCGAAGAATACGCATACTTCTATGCCATACCTAATTTCGGTATCCCATCTTCCCGGTTGAGTGTCATCTTTATCTGATCTGATTCATTTCGGGCGAAGTGCATAATATACTAGTACCTTATGAGGGCTTCTGGGCGAAAGGAAGGGGTGTCTCTTGCGATCATGAGAGTAATTATAGCATGTGTAGCGATTCGACGAAGCTCAGGCACGGCACCGGCAGAATGGACCGATTCCTTGGTAGAGCGAACTGACTGACTAACGTACTTAGGCGATCTGTATGGACATCTCGCTTGGGGAACCACCGAGTCACGTGATCGATTCACTTAGGCATGCTCACGGCAACTAGTACTCGTACATGTGTGTAGGGGGGCATGCTCGCGTCTGCTTCGCTATACATTGCATGACGCTATCTGACATGTAAGCATGGGCGCTATCTTCTGAAATAGCCTATGTGTGAATGGGGACGTCACATGGTGGGTATACTACATAGCAACAGGAAAGACGAGATGCGGTCTTCACCCTTCACCTGGCGAGCAAGAGAGACAACAACAGACAAGAGACTGTGGAGATGGCACCGTGTATTGGAGTGAATTGATATATAAGAGTCATCAACCAGATTGGAAGCTAAAGCTTGTATCCAGTCGCAAATCTATAAACCTGCCGCTTGTTCGCGGCAAACTGGAAGGTAGATTACATCTTCACCACCCCCTCACCTTCCCGCTCTTCACGTCCTTTCGGCCCTCCAGGCATCCCCCGCAACGCGCGCACCCTAGCCCGCATCCCGACCACAAACACGGCCAGCCCGACGACCCACCACGAGAACAGAATCGGCAACGACTGATGCAGCGCGGGCCGGTTGCAGCCGTCCGTCCAGATATACAGCAGAACCTGGTACAGCTCGTAGGCAGGGAGGGCGTTGCCCCACCTATAGAAGCCGGGCGACAGATCGAAGGGGCCGATGGTGCTGGAGACGTTCAGGATGATCCAGGTGAGCATGACGAAGGACATGAATTTGGGGGGCACGACGACGGTGGTCGCGTTCAGCCACAGGTAGTTCACGTGCATGACGAGCCAGAGGGCCATCCAGGTGCGGCCGAAGGCGTTGCCGTCGCTCGTGCTCCAGTCCTCGCGGAAGGCCCAAATGTAGCCGGCCATGGCGAGGGCACCGAGAAAGGTGTAGCACAGGGAGAGGCACATCCGGAACAGGGTGTGCCGGGTCACGGACAAGGTGGAGGTGAAGGCGGCGAATTCGGCGGAGATGCCGTTCACCGCCATGATGAAGAAGAACTGCATCAGGATGGGCATCACCATGCTCACGGTGTTGTAGAAGAAGCGCGGTCCCTGGTTGGTGGGCTTGATGTCGATCGCCGAAGCTGCGATCGGGGCGAGCAGGGTCTGCGCGATGGATGGGTCGGAGACGTTGACGTGGGCCATCGCTGTCGTGCCGTTGAGTTGTCCGTACGCGCCGCTGGTGGCTGTGACGAGGGCCTCGAGGCTGGCGTAGATGGTTTGCGCGTAGGCAGCGTATCGTGCCCCGTTCCACACGTACGTCAGGGCGGCCGTGTTGTCGTACGCCTCCGCTGCTTCGTGAGAGGCGAGGGCCCTGGAAAGTTGCGTGGAGGCATTCGAGTTGGCGTAGATTGCGCCCCAGTAGTGACCGTGGCAGACAGCTCGCCGAACATCGCCTGTGGAGGGAAACTCGCTCGGGGAGTGTTGATGCACGCTGGGGAATCCGGGGTCTTGGAGCTGCGAGTAGGCGGCAAGAACGGACTCGCCAACCAGACCTTGGTCGTAGTCGACGTAGAGGACCTTCATGTGTTGAATTCGGGATGTATCATGAAAGGTCGTTCCGTATAGGTAGCACATCATGGCCAGAAACAGCAGCTGAAGTAGGACAAAGGAACCCCCGATCGCCCCGATAAAGGGCTTAGGCGGTTGCATTTTGCCGGTGGTTTTAGCAGCCCAGGCTTACCGAAGGGAGTGTTAGATATTTGCGATAGAAGTGAACGGCTGTTGAAATGGCCCGGAGGGGGAAATGCAGGAATCTCGCGGCGATATTCAGCCGACGGCTGCTTATAAGGTCGCTCCTATCTACATTTTCACACGATAAACCTTGGTTCTATGGGTTGTTGGGATAGTCCCTAATCAAATAAGCCGAGTCGGACTTACCAATATAAGAGAATGCATGCTTCATCCAGACTCAAAGTCCCGCTGACTCAACAAAAGGCCTGCAGGAGCACTGGGAAGCTCACTTGTGGAGAGCCGAGCACACATGTGAAGAAGGAGGCGTTCGGCTAGATGTGGAGAGGTAGTCTTGGTTTTCGACCTCATCAAGCACTGCCCGAAAACCCGACGTGTTGATCGTCCGGATTGTGTTCCTGAAAATGCGTGCAGACTTGCAGATCGAGTCCAGATCGATCAATTTGCCGATCCTGTTTTATCATATAATCCGAATCTGGCGGGGCAAGGATTCTCGGCGACGATTGCTGAATTGTATACCGGGCGGATCATGTGTGGGATCGACCCGTTTCAAGTTGTAGGTAGAATCGAATGGACAGCGAAGTATCCAGGGGATGACCTGCTCACTTGCCTCGCAACCGTGTCAGAACCTGACTGTACATCTTGCTTACACCCCAGCACTTTAGCGACCTCATCGCCGAGATAGATTCGTCCAGAAGTCTCGCTCGACCCTCGTCTGTCATCATACTACCAACTCCTGCTATCTTGACGCGACCCGACCCACGCTCTAGCCACTCATGCAACGAGGCACTTCTGTCGTCTAAGGTCGCAATGACAATGGACGGCTCATCCGCTGCACCATACGTGGTTGTAACATGCAGGGCCGAGTATGTCCACAACAGAAGGGCGGACTTGAGAAAGAGAACAGGGGTGGAGAAATGTGTGCACCAATGTGATCGCACGGTTTCAAACAAGCGCGCGGCATAATATATCGAAAGTCGTCCTTGCTGAGGCGTGGCTCTCCACAACGCTCTGAGCTCGTTAAGCTCGTCGGGTCGATACCGCTGACATTTGACTCGCAAGGCCATTGGTATCAGTGAGATGTGTGGAGCTTGACTGATCATAAGGGCAGAGAGGATCATAGTCCGATGGGCCACAGATGCCTTGAGCTCCGTTGGCGGCAAATTCTGTTCGTCAGCATCTAGCAATGAAAGAAGACGTCTCAATGCCTCCACTGCCACCTCGCCCTCTCGATCAACTGCAGGTGATTGCCGTGAATAGGTACTACTAGCCTGCACAATGTTGCAAAGTAACCGGAGGATCGCTTGTTTTCCGATCATCCCTGTACGGTTCCAGGAAAGAACCCAGTCTCGGTCTGACACCGTCTCATTCAGCCGCGATGGAGCTTTCGCTAATCAAAACTTAGTTCAATCAAGAGACATAAAGGCAACTGTCGCTCACCTGGAGGTGGGAAGCTAGCCCAACATGAAGCACTCCGTGCCGCCCATCGATCCTCAGGCTGTGGGAGCGTGTTTTGCAATTCCCGTTCGTTCATGAGGGTCGTAAGATCGAAATCGGACTGAAACGCGGAGTCGAGCAACTGCCTCAGAGTTAGCAAGCAGCATCGTTTACCCTGCCGAATTTCTTACCCAGACAGCAAAGCCCGCTCTACGCCGTTCCTCATCAAGAGTCCATATCTGCCACCTTTGGGGCAGAGACATTTCCAGCCGCGCCATCTTCTGGAAGGACGTAGCGTAGGCAAACAATTGCTTGCGGCGGGCCAGAGTGACTGGGATGGCCTGATACAGCTCCGCCAACTCCAGGTCCCTTCGCTCACCGGAATACGCGAGCGCCAGTTGATTCAGCAGAATGACCTGCGTCATCCAAAGCTCACGACTGAATTTGTTTTGCTGCTCACACTTATCCCGCACGAACCTGATCTCAGCTATCGTTCTCCTACGTCGGGTCAAGGTGTCAGACATACCAAGAAATTAGTCTGTCGGCGCACCATCTCGTGCATCGCCCTGGCACAGCTATGGGCCTTGGGGAGATCAGAGAATTGAGCCCCAACGGCGCTGACTGCGAATATTAACAGCCAGTGAGTCTTTTGGTTATTGAAGGTGGGTTTGTGGAGTATGGGCAGAATGGGGTGGAAGTGTTCGAAATAGAGCTGCACCCAAGCATTGAGAGCAATTGTAGGCGGGAAGCGGAGCTCCAGGAACGGACGATGAAAAGCAGTGGTGTGCATGGTTCTAGCCACATGAGCGACGTTGTCCACCACCGTGGGCGAGACCTCAGGAACATGAGCTAGGTTCTCGCGATCTATCTGCTCCAGAGAGCTGTCGTCCATAGCCGGAAAGCCAAATTGCGGATCCGTGCCATCGACCGCGGGGTGATATTGTCGTAGCTCTATAGCCTCCGCATCGGGACCAGGGGAACAGCCCTGGTGGTACATTTCTACCAAGGTAGTCGGGCTCAGAGGCGTAGCTACTTGATAGGTCTCTGTGACAGGGGGATGGGAAGCATGACCAGCATGTTCCACTCCGGTAGGCGCCATTCGTGCTACTTCATCGTTATCCGGAAAGTTGGGCGCTGTATAGGCCTGCGGATCAAAACTCAAGTCCCGGTCCAAATCCAGACCCAAGTCCCGGTCCAAGTCGAAAAGGCTGTCAAAATCCTCGGTCGCGAAATCAAAAACTCTAGAGCCATAGTTAGGATTGAAGGGTTCGAGTAACTGTGTCCAGCCGCCGATGGCTGCAACACCGGGAGCGCCGGACGTAGCAGCTTCAAGTGAGTCCAAGCCATGAGAGGCTGTTTGAGTCGATGGCGATGGGGGAAGGAAGTCTGCGACAGCCGACTGCGTGACGTTTTCGCTGCTTGCAGTCGATAACAGCGTCGCGCTTTGTGTTTCGGCGGCAGCAGCAGCAGCAGCAGCCCGGGGACATTTAGTCAATTGGTCATCGACCGGACCACCGGATCCTGTCAATCTTCGCTTCTGAGGGGCTTCGTAGTGACATTGGATCTTATGGCTCTGGCAACGATGGCAGGGAAGTCGTCCATCACAGCGGAGCTTGGATTGATTGCACGGTTTGCACGCGCGGGCAACCCGGCGCCGGCCTTCGTCCCTGTCGCAATCCGGTCGATTACCGCGTTGATGAATAGTACCGAGATGGCGGGTCAAAGAGTCACTGTTAAACTGTTAAAGCTCGAGTCTCAAATGTACAGCTGCACCGTAGCGGCCGGTATCACCTACACTCGGCCAAAGGTCTGTCCGCATTCCGAGCAGGCAAAAGGACGCTCCTTAGTATGGGTGCGGATGTGGCGCTGATAGTGCTCCCGTCGCTGGAAGGTCGCGTTGCACGTGTCGCATCGCAGACGCGGGGTCTGCATATTGAAGGGGGATCAGCGATGGTACAGAGCAGTTCGCCAGCCTGAAACAAAAGTCATCATCGGTGGGGGATTGTGCGCAAGGGGGAGGTTGCGTGGGGAGATGAGTCGAGTTGGGGACGGCAGGAAAGCACCAATGGAATATCGACACCGTTGAGGCCATTCTGCCGACTCCTTCCGGCTTGTCACTTCTACACCACAGCGTCTGTCCTCCTCCTCCATCGTCCATCACATCTATTCGTCCTCCCTTTCAATGGTGTTCTTGATTAGTCTAAGTACTCACGCCCAATTTGCTGCTCACAACCAGCGCGTCATTTTCATTCCTGTTGGTCTTGGCCAATTTACTCACATTTGTCCCCGCCGGACCGTCGGGTACCACAATTGTGGGGAGCCGAAACATCCCCTCACACTGCCGGTGCACCCAGTCCAACCTCACACTCCACTTCAACGCGTGCTGCAAACCGGGATTGGATATTTGATGATTGCTAAGTCTGCTAGAGGTAGGTAAGACCACCGAGCCAAGACTCTGGTACAAATCACCAGCCCCTAATGAGCTATGTACAATACAGTGCAAAGTGCTACTAGCTAGGAGATGCTCAGATCACGCCGCCGCACTCTCCACCAGCAGCCGTTCCGCCTCGCGAGCCGGGTAGGAGCTCCAGGCAAACGCGAACATATTCTGCGGGACCTCAGCCTCGGGCACGAACTGGCGCAGTTCGTCCAACACCTCGGCTCGTTTCTCGTCGTGCGTCTTCGACATGAACTGCACGGTGATCGCCCGGTTGTAGCGGACACGGTTGTAGAGCTCGAGTCGCTGCGGCACCTGCTCGGGCGTGGTACAGGAGGTGAAGACCGCGCCTAACGCGGCGCCATCCTCGAAGGACTGCGCACCACCTTGGCCTTGGTCTGTGGGTTGGAGATTGTGTTAGCCAGGATCTCACTCGGTCATTGACAATTAGGGCTGTAAGGACTGACGCGGAAGTGTGGGATGCGCTGCGTCGCCAGCGAGGGCCAGTTTGCCCTTGACGAAGGTTGTGGGCGGGACCCGCGAGGCCAAGCTCCACAGCTTGAGATCTTCGGCCTTGCGGCACATAGCTTGCAGCTCCGGACCGAACGACCGGTATGTCTCGAGCAACGTCTCCATGCTCCCACCCTCCAGCCAGGAAGAGTCCTTCACGGTAGAGCCGGGTTCCGTGGGGTAGATTCCCGCTACGTTGAGCAAGTCCCCATGGCGGCAGGGATAGAGGACCAGCCTTCTATCCTCAGAGGCGATGGCATGGACGCCGTCCAACCCGAGCTTTTGCATCAGCGCCGCCGTCTCGGGGTCCGCCAGCATTTTCGAGACCGGCACCAGAAACCGGAAGCAGTTCTGGCCGGTGCTAACCTTGCGCGGATCTTCACCGGTGACACTCTTGACGGATCGGGACTGCATCAGTGAGTGGTTGGATACAGCCGCGATGGTGACTGGAACTTACATGAATGCCGTCGGCGCCAATGATCAAATCTCCAGTGACGGTCTCACCACCTTCCAAGCTGACGACACCAGCATCGGCATCCTTCCACGGGATCAGCAAAAGCCAGCAGCAAGTTATCAACCAGACCCACAACAGAAATCACACGCGAGCAAAGACGAATATTCGGTGTCCGCCCATCGATCTCCCGGGCCGCCGTCGCACGCAGGGCATTATGGAGATCCACGCGATGCGTCAGAACCCAGTCATCGGAAATCCCAAGAGTCCTCTGCTGCTCCTCGGTCACCTACACAACGACGAATTCATTAATCCAGCCAGAGCCACAGCACGGTGAGCAGTTGACAACGCACCACCGGAGTATAAATTAGATTAGCATCCGAATCCCACACCTGCAACATCTTGCACTGGACGGCCCGCAGGCTGCCAAAGTCACAGCCCCAGTCGCGCAGGATCCGGGTAGCGTTCGGCGGCACGTGAATGGCGGCGCCAACCTCGTTCAAGAAGCTCGATTGTTCGAGGACCTAGATACATAGTAACCCAATCAAATCAGCATTCCAAGCTCCCAGGTATAAAGTGAAGGTTACAATAGTGGCGAAGAATAGGGTCATAGGTAACGCACCTCGACCTCGTGACCCGCACGAGTCAGCGCAATGGCGGCCCCGAGGCCCGCGAGCCCAGCCCCGACGACCACGACTTTCAAAGGCATGCTGCTCGTGTGTTCCCCTCCGGCGATAAGCAGGAAACGCAATCCTCGGCTGATATCAGTTTGCAACGCGGTGCGGTATAGTACAAGACATCCGGCCCATCGATCCCGTCTCTTTTAAAGAACGACGAACAGGGATTGCCCCTCCCACTCGGCTTCACCACCCGGCTCTTCTCCGCAACAGCCGATGGCGCGCGGCGGCGGCACTGCTTGGGCCTGCCCTGCCCCACCATAGGCCATCCATGCTACCATGGGAAGGTGTGATGCAGATCCAAGATCAGCATCATCGCTTCGTCCGCGTCGGTGAGCTCGTAACCTCCAACCGGAGCCGTACTAGTCCAAATAAACATACCGACACGTGAATCTCCTCAGAGGCTACATGCCTTATCGACCCCTGGTAGAGTCTGTACCAGTCATACGGTGGGAGGAAACGAGTTAGTACCCCTCTCCCAAACCATACCCCTGCACCGCGTTGTTATTCGACTCCCCATGTTCACCTGTACAAAGTAATCAAGAAACCTTTACCATGATTACGGTACCAGAACTAGGCGCGAGGTAGTACCCCCCGATCTCGAGCAAGGATGTCTTCAAGGGGGGTGGAACTACAAAACCAGAGACTGCATCTCGAACTCATGGATGTAGCCCGCCAGCTCAACCAAGGTAGATTACCGCGGAGTTCGAGCTAGGCTTATCGCGGGCTCGGATCCTGGATCCTTCGGAATGGGCGTGGGTGTACCTGAGCAAAGTGTATCGAGATGACGTCATTCCGAGAGCAGACCAGCCGTGGCAGCCTGACTTAAGGTCCAGATCTCTGATCCGATCCAGGGTTTAGTCACGTGAGTATGGCCAGACCAACCAACTTGACCCTCATACATGGTAAAGGGGTTATGAAGGGATTCCCCGATAGAATGATAGATTGTGCTGTGTGAAGTGCCTACTGAATTTGAATGGCTCAAGGGCATAAAGTTAGGAGATCTAGCTCCCCGATGGGTTAGAGCTCACGAACAACTCCTCAATCAAAAAAATCAGAACCTAGTCATCAATTGCAAATCTATGAATCTATAAGTACACATTCGTAGGTAAACACTCAACCCTAGACGCGAAAAGAAACCCCGGCAATGCCAAACAGAAGGTGAGAAGGTAAGGGAGGAGAGAGGAACGATTAGAGCGTCTTGCCCCGCGAGCCATTGCGCTTGGGCTTGAAGGGGGCCTTAGGCTTGGGCTTAGGCTTCTCCACGCCGCTGGGCTCGGGACTCAGCACGTCACGCGGGGGGTTCTTCCTGGCGCCGTTTTGAGCCGGCTGCTTGCCCTTCAGCGACAGCTTGGGGTCGACATTGGTGAGTCTCAGGCCGGGGATGTTGCCCGTCAGACCCATCTTGCCGGCGACGGACTTCTGGAGCTGGGGCGGCTCGGGGCACTGGAAGCCCTTGACCGCGAGCTCGTTGGCCAGCTGGACGAGGCCGGGCTTGTCGAGGCGCATTTGCTTGAGCAGGCGGCCGCCGGCCATGCAGCCGAGGTAGGAGGAGTAGGCGCGGTGCTTGGTGATCTCGTCGACCTCGGCGGCCATGACCTGGTTGACGACATTCTTGGAGCGGGCGGGGTCGGCGGCGGCGGCGAGAATGTCCGCAGCGTTGGGGTGCGGCTGGATGGGGAACTTGCCGGCGTTGACCGTGATGAAGAAGCTCTCGCGCTCGGTCAGCAGCATGACGGCGCGGCCGTCGTTGCCGGCACGAGCCGTGCGGCCCACGCGGTGCACGTACTGGTCCGAGTTGGCAGGCAGGCCGACCTGCACCACCAGGTCGACGTTGGGGAAATCCAGCCCGCGGCCGACCACGTCGCTGGCAAACATGACCCCGGAGGTGGCCTCCCGGAACTGGTTGGTCGTCCGCGAGCGCGCCGGCTGCGACAGCCGCGAGTGCATCTCAAACACTTGGGCCTGGCCCATCAGCAGCTTCTCGAACGCCATGCTCATCAGCGCGACCAAGTTCGAGGTGGCGCCGAACACGATCACCTTCTTCGAATTCTTGCCCTTCATCTCCTCCTTCAGGAGCGCGTGCAAGGCCGTGTAGAGCTGCTCAACGCCGGGCACGACCACCGAATACTGCGGTACGCGCTCGTGGGTGGCGGACTCGTTCGGGTCGAGCGTCGAGATGTGGTGGTATCCGTCGCGCAGTACCACGTTGATCACGTCCTTGACCTTGGGCGGCACCGTAGCGCTGAAACACATGCCCTGCCACCCGGCCTCCCTCTTGGCGGGAAGCTTTCTCAGGATTTGCCGGACATCCCGCAGGAAGCCGGCCTCGAGCATGGTGTCGGCCTCGTCCAGGATGACTGTCTGGATGTTCTCGAACTTGTGCTCGCACTCCTCATCGTTCAGGTAGTCCTGCAGACGGCCCGGGGTGGCGACGAGGACCTTGGGGTCGCCGGCGATGAACGCGTTGAAGGCGCTGGCCCTGGCCGTGCCGCCGACGGCAACGTGGCATTGAATTTCACGCCGTCGAGGCAACTGGGAGGTGAGCCCATTGCACGTCTTGGCAATCTGCAGCGCCAATTCACGCGTGGGGGTGATGATCAGGACGGCGACCTGGCCCTTGGGGATGGAGGTGTCACCGTGCACCAGCTGGTGCAGGGCCGGCAGCAGGAAGGCGACCGTCTTGCCGGTACCAGTTTTAGCTTGGACCAGGCAGTCACCGCGCCAGCCGTTGGGCTGCAGCTGGGTCATTACGCGGTGCTGCACGGGAGTCATACTGTCGAAGCCCAACTTTTCGATAGCCTTGAAGAGCAAAGGGTCTAGTCTGTCAGACACCGAGGCGTAAGTAACCCCACTGTCATCAGGAGTGCCAGCGACGGATTCCATGGCGCGGGAAGTGGTGAAGTTCTGGACCCGCGGAGAGACAGTGTAGACAGAGTTGACAGAGACGGTGGTTTTGGCTGCGACACGAGGAGAATTCCAGAATCGTGCAGGGGGAACAACGGAGGGAGAGATCTTGATTGATGTGACTTGGGATAGAAGACGACGACTTGTCATGATGGAAGGGGGAGGGAGGGAGGG